ACAACTTGGGACTTTTAGCTTTTGTTAAATAATGTAGAACACCCTTCTGTCTCTGTGTTTGGAAGGTCTACATATCTTGTAACCACTCATTCATACAAATATATACAAATGCAAGAACTGACTTAATATTCACTTGTCTATTGTCCTATTGTTCAATCTGGTCTTTGAGATACTATATATTTTAGTTGATACACCTGTGTGATGTGTCTGATATACATAAATAAAAATGTATTCACCCCGGACATGAGACTTGAATAGATTTTTAGAACTGTTGAATCATAAACAGTGTCTGATACAGTCTGCATGTTTAAGTTACCATGGCAGTTAGTAAAAATGTGAAGACCAACAGGCTATGAAAAAGTTATTATTTTGTAACCTCTTTTTTTAAAGAACATACGTAGTTCATACACAGCTTTATTGCATTTAGTCACCCCGCTAATTTGGCAATTGAAAGCCATGACCGTTATTACCTTCCTCAGGGAACGGCCTGCTGATTTCAGGGTGCCATGTTGTTGTTTTTATGTGCTGCTCTAGAGCTCAATGGCCCAGCAGACTAACCTGAGGACAGGGGGAAAGACTCATGTTAGTTTTTTTATTAAAGTCTGGGAGACTGAGGGAGGAGAGGGCATACATTTTGAAGTACAGTGAATCCAACCAGTGACCCTTGATTATATGCTATATCAAAGACATACGGACAGCAATAATGAAGGTTCTATAAGTATACTATTACGAGCGGAGCCTAGTTCTCTGTGCTCTGGAGAGATCGTAGGTAGTTGGCCAGAAGGCTCTGGAGGTCCTTGGATTATTCTCTCTTTAGCACCTGGAGAGGGATGTATAGACGTCACAGGAGGTTGGTGGCACCTAAAATTGGGGAGAATGGGCTTGTGGTAATGACTGGAGCGGAATCAGTGGAATGGTATCAAATACATCAAACACATCGTTTCCAGGTGCTTGATGCCATTCCATTAGCGCCGTTCCAGACATTATTATGAGCCATTCTCCCCTCAGCAGCCTCCTGTGATAAACGTACTGAGTGTGAATGAAAGAGCAAGAGAGTTAACATGTAACAAGTATTACATTGTTGATTTGAGGACTAAGGGGGCCTTCAAATCAGACAGGGATGCGTAAAAGACACAGCAACTCAATGGGAGGAGTGTGTTGGGGGAGGACCTAGCATTGTGTTGCGATGTCCGTCAGAAAAGTTGCATAGACGTATACATTGAAAACGTAGAGCAGTGTTTCTCCTCACCACACCGCTGCGTCGGCCATTCCATTGGTCCTTAAATGAAATCTCCACCCATCTGGGCCATGCAAAATGAACTCGCCCAGTAAGAGGGGAAGTTACAGACATGATACAACTTGAACCACAGAGTAAGGCGGCCTTCAAATCAAAATGCATATAACCCATGTACGACGCAGCGGTGTGGTGAGGAGAAACACTGCTCCTCAACGGAACCTCCTCCATTTCAACCAACAATGCAGAGATAGGAGTAGTTCGAAATGCCCCACAACACAACCTCAGCGCCCTTGCCTGTGCGCATGGCTGCGATGAGCTAAGCTGGCCTTGCGCTATGGTTAGAAATTGCGGGGGGCATTAATCATCTCACCCTGCAAGGTGTCTGTTGGGAGAAGCATGGGAATGGGGAGGAGAGGGAATTGGAGTGAGAAGAGGTAGGCCAAGCTATGCGACCTAAGTGTAAGAATGGGGGGAGGAGTTGGGAATGGGAGGTCTGGAAATGGGGGCCCCTGTCTGCTGGCCGTGTGTTCCTCGATGGCTGTTGCCAGAGCCTGATGTTGACATGACCATTCTTTATGTAATAAGGGCTGAGGACTGCGGAGAGCCTTCTCTGGTGGTTGAGGCCCATCTGCGGTGGGCCTGGGGTCCCTACTTGTGTATTTTCACAGATTTATCAAAGGATCCAGGCAGTGGGAGAGCAGGGTTTGGGATGCATGTTCCCCGGTTTTGGATACACTAGGGGAGGCGGCTGTCTGATGGAGTGTCAGTCTTCTCTGCTGAAATGCTAGCACTAGTGTAGGCATTGGTATGGGTGGAAGAAGTGGGGCCTAAAAGGGTAATTTTGTGTTCAGACTCTGCTGATAGTCTGGTTGCGCTGAGAGAAGGGAAGTCAAAGGCACGCCCAGATAATATAGCTGTTGATGACTCTTTATAGGGTTGGGCAGAAAGGGTGTAAGGTAGGTTATTTTTTTTAGCAGACACTCTTATCCAGAGCGACTTACATGAGCAATTAGGGTTAAGTGCCTTGCTCAAGGGCACATCAACAGATTTGTCACCTAGTCAGCTCGGGGATTAGAACCAGCGAACTTTCGGTTACTGGCACAACGCTCTTAACCACTAAGCTACCTGCCGCCCGGACCTGATAATATAGCTGTTGATGACTCTTTATAGGGTTGGGCAGAAAGGGTGTAAGGTAGGTTTTCTGTTGGTCCCAGCTCATGGTGGCGAAGGCTGCTTTGAAGAGCGAGGAGGTAGATGTGGTGGTCCCGTTAGGGGGGATGGAATGTAGGAGCATCATATCAAAGGGGTTGACCCAGGAGTGTCAACGTGAGTGGGCAAGAGAGGAGCAGGGTAGGTAGTTTTTCTCTATCCAGAATTCTGTGAGGAAGGGCAGAAGGTATCTTGGGAGGGAAAGGAGGAATGTGGTTCTGTTGACAAGGCTGAGGTTGGGGCATTGTGGATTGGGACGTGGGTTATTGCTAGTGGGGAAAAAACAAAATGGGAAGTGTGAGGAATGTGGGGAGGTAGAGACTGTGAAGTATGTTGTGTTATATTGCAGACAGTATGGTGAGGATAGGAGGATTGGAGGATATTCTTTGGTGAGCTGACTGTAACGTGTAACCACATTTTTGCTTGTAACTATTTTGGCCTCAAATGACAGGCAGAGCGAAATAGCAAGTTGTTGTGGTTTCTTTAGTCCACCTGCTAGATATTTAAGTGTGTATTTCACTCTCCAGCCTGAAAAAGGCAGCAATACGCATTACAGCGTCTAGTGTGCCAGAAACGGACAAGAAGAAGAAGAAGAAGACACCCACACAGATAGAACAATGAGATGTACTTATAAAAATCTTTGACACCAATGGGCGTTACTTCCGGTTTTCGCATGGCTCCCGCCCCACTCACAACCATCTTGTTTCTTTTTCTGAACAAAAAAAAGGTGTGAGACAGAAAAACACTGACGGGGGAGAAGCATATTAGAAATTGTAGAAACTTGACGGAAAGACGGATGTAGCGATACAATACGATATGAATGGAAGGGGAGCAGGCGAGGTGGAAGAAGACCAGCCGCACCCCGTACTCAGCTAACGTTAGCTAGTAGCTAGCCAGCCAGCTAGTGGCTAACCAGTTCGGGACGGATTAAGTAGCTAGTCAGACAGCTAGCTAAGCTAGCTAGCCTAGGAAATTGAGAACAAATCAAATACATCGTCGGATGTCTGTGAGAATGAAATCGATGACAATGCATCGTACGTCGATTTGAGACGCCCCATTGAAGAGACCACCGCTACTAGCTACAGGGATTTTATTTTTTATTTTTTTCTGTAGCTAGAGCGGGATCATAACAAGCCGTGGTAAGTGTTGCAATTTATTGTCAACAATGATGGCTAGCTAGCTAGCCGGCCAGTGTAGCGCTAGTTAGCCAGTTTGCGAATCTGGCCTTAGCGTGTATTTAGCATCAGAATAGGTTACATATCAATTGACTGGCCAGCTAGCTAGCTAACCAGCTAACTGACATTGCTGGCAAGGCACAGCTAACTAGCTTACTAAACTAACGACCGTATGGTGTTTGCAGACATCCATAGATGGCTAATTAGCCATCATGCTAAACTTAAGTCAGCTGACAGTGACATGCCTGAGCCCAAAATATTATGTATCATCCTAACTATGACAGTCTGATGTGGATAACTAGCTAGATAGTTATCTCAGTGACCACACTTATTTGAGCATACACTGACTTGTACACGTGTAGTTAACAAAGTTGAAAGTGAGTGAGACTCATGCATGGCGAGGCGAGACTTAGGTTGAAAATATATCCCATCTTCAACCTAGTGCGAAACCCGGGTTCGAACCCCGTCTGTCACACAAGACTCATTACATGGCATGATGACATAGACATAGAATGAATTACACATTATGGTTTTATTGTAGCCAAGCATTCCATGACCCGATTCCTTCTTCCATAACTAGTTTGTCTAGCTACATGGCTAGATCAGATCATGTTTGTGCTGTCATGAGCAATTCCCTTATTTGAATGCACAGTCCCCCACGTTAACTTACCCACAGTTCAGCTGCTAGCTACCTACTTTACTACGATTCACATCACACTGTAAAAAGGGTGAATACATACAGGAACAAAACAGGGAAAAATAGGGAATGGAAATTAGTGCAACATTGGAGAATTGGATCAACTTCAAACCAAAAATATAGGCCATAAATCCACGTCAGCGGCAATATCTCCCTAGTGTTTATTACTTGACAACACCTATTGGTGATATGCTCAGTGCAGCCACTGATGACATCGCAGATAACTAGATCAAGATGTAGGTCTTCTGTGCTAACATGAGTCTTGAATTGAGCACCAATAGACTGTTATTGTGTAACAGAGCGTAGCATATTGAATATTTGACCCTAAAGTCATGGGTTTGGTTCACTGGATTTCTATAAAGACCATACAGTCCATATAATGTACAGACATGGCTTGTCCTTTTCACCCCCCCCCCTACACACACACTCTTGCACTCTCACATACACTTGTCTCTCACACACATTATTGTAAAGGGTTTGTTTAAAGAGAGCATCCCAAGCCCAGTGGAGGCCCTGGGGCGATGTCTTGATGCATTCACTCCAGACTGAATCACTGGAGCTGGTTACGTTAGCTCTGCTCTTTCCTCTCCAGCGTTCACACTCAAAACCAACCAAGACCTAGACTTAGGCATTTATCCTTTCTTTATTCCTTGAAGTAGGCTAATCACTGATCTCACATGACATGACTGGAGAAATCATCACGGTGGAAGGCACCTATGCAACCATGTGAGATCAGTGATTATTTCAAGGAAGGGGAGGGAGAAAGGAGGATGCATTTGAAGAGTGTTAGAATAGGCCCCTAGGCAAATAGGGACTTGGCTGTTTTTAACGGGATAGTTCACCTCCAAAATCTTCATTTGTCAGGTGGTTAGGCTACATGTCATGATATTCCACACCATATGATGTAGCCTATTTGCAAATCTATTAGAAATCTGCAGGCCAGACATCAATCTTATATGAATGGGAAATATTGGTGCCGGGTAAATCCATTTGAATTCAATCACTTTTTGACAGCATCCCTTTTTGATTTAAACAAAACATGTTTGCCCGTGGAAGATTTGGTCAGAAAGTGACTTGTTGGACCTGAATGCCAAAACATTCAGGAGATAAAGGTGCTCAAAGTTGACCCATTTTGCATACCCCATACCATGAGACATCCATGTCTTCATCACTGGAAAAGATGAACAGTTGAATTTGCTGTCATTTAAAAGCTTACAAACATGGTTGTCAAACTATTTAATATTTATTTAAAATATATATATTAAATGTTTTAACCATTCACTTCAATTATCTAAAAACGCGTAAACTTTAATAAACAATTTAAAAAATCATATGTTGTTGCTTACTTTACATACTTCACAGCGATTTATATGGTACAATGATTCCCTGCACTATTCATTGTTAGTTTTTTCACATAAACTTAAATTGAGCGAACAGTGTAGAATTTTATCAACCAGGAAATTAGAGCGATTTCCACTAGATAACACAGCCACAAAGTCAGACCAGCTTTCCCAGTTTGACAACAGATGCCGCTCCGGAGGGAGAAATCAATAGGCGAGTATTCCAGCCAATCACAACACTGGCGTGTAAGTAATACTGTGAAACACTATCAGTCCACAATCACTGCAGATATATTATGGGCATTTTCTGAAATTACAATGCAAAAATAAAAATACAATCCTATGTGTAGCACCTTTTTTAAGTTGTTATAAGTAAACCATGTCTTCTCTCTCACAGCACTTTGATTTACACTTAGACAGAGTGACTGTGTTTTATATAGTGTGTGTGCACATGCCATGGCGAGCTGTAGTGAAAGTTTGTGTATCCATCACCATGATATGGACGCTAGCTCTCTCTGCCGAGGTTGAGACGAGTTATACATTTTTTATATGGGTTTGTTATTAAGTGTACTTTGTGAGAACTAACCTCTCTCTTTCGGTTTCTCTCCTCTCTCCGCACTTGTTCTCTACCTATCTATTTCTATACCCTTCTTTACTCCTGTCTCTCTCTACCTCTATTCCCCGACTCTCTCTCTGCCTCTATTCCCCGACTCTCTCTCTACCTTGTCTCGCTTATTTTCTCTTCCACTCTCTGTTCTGTCCCTCTCGCTTTATTTTCCCACCATATCCACCTTTCTCTCTTCTTCTCTATCCCATCTGTTTCTCCTCACCCTCTCTTCTCCACACCCTCTCTTCTCCACACCCTCTCTTCTCCACACCCTCTCTTCTCCACACCCTCTCTTCTCCACACCCTCTCTTCTCCACACCCTCTCTTCTCCTCACCCTCTCTTCTCCACACCCTCTCTTCTCTATCCCATCTGTTTCTCCTCACCCTCTTTTCTCCTCACCCTCTCTTCTCCACACCCTCTCTTTTCCACACCCTCTCTTCTCCACACCCTCTCTTCTCCACACCCTCTCTTCTCCTCACCCTCTCTTCTCTATCCCATCTGTTTCTCCTCACCCTCTCTTCTCCTCACCCTCTTTTCTCCTCACCCTCTTTTCTCCTCACCCTCTCTTCTCCACACCCTCTCTTCTCCACACCCTCTCTTCTCCTCACCCTCTCTTCTCCACACCCTCTCTTCTCCTCACCCTCTCCTCTGTATCCCATCTGTTTCTCCACACCCCCTCTTCTCCTCACCCTCTCTTCTCTATCCCATCTGTTTCTCCACACCCTCTCTTCTCCTCACCCTCTCTTCTCTATCCCATCTGTTTCTCCACACCCTCTCTTCTCCTCACCCTCTCTTCTCTATCCCATCTGTTTCTCCACACCCTCTCTTCTCCTCACCCTCTCTTCTCTATCCCATCTGTTTCTCCACACCCTCTCTTCTCCTCACCCTCTCTTCTCTATCCCATCTCTTCTCCACACCCTTTCCCTCTCTCTGTTTCCTCTCCCTCTATCTCCCTTGTCTCCTCTCTCTTTCCCTCCTAATTTTCTCCCTCTGTCCACCAGGCCCTGGCTATGCCCTCGAGTGTGCGGGCGGGCAATCTAAAGGACCCGGATGTGGCTGAGCTCTTCTACAGAGATGACCCCGAGAAGCTTTTCGCTGACCTCAGAGAGATCGGCCACGGCAGCTTCGGGGCGGTCTACTTCGTAAGGGAACCTAATATTGGGGGGAGGGGAGTTTTGATTAAGAAAGTGTTTGTGTGTGTTTGCTTTCCTTATCAACGTGTGTGACAAGGTGTTTTGAGAGTTTGTATGAGCCAGAACCTCTTGTTATTGTTTTCAGTATTTGAAGGTTTGAATGGAGTGTGTGTGCGTGACTGTCCTTCTCGATGCTGTGTCCGACAGGCTCGAGATGTGCGCAACAACGAGGTGGTGGCCATCAAGAAGATGTCCTACACTGGCAAGCAGTCCAACGAGGTGAGCCAATGCAAGTTGATGAATAGAAACGGATGTGTTAGTGCTTGGCTGGAACAAAAGCCTGCACACTCAGGACCAGAGTCAGAGAACCCTTACATAGGCAATTCAAGAATGGCTTAGACTTGTCCCTAAACAATCTACTTTTTGTCTATTTTCATGATTCCCTGTGGCCTGGTGTTTAGTATTAACCCCTGCTCTCTCTCGTTCTCCTCAGAAATGGCAGGATATCATCAAGGAGGTGAAGTTCCTCCAGAAGCTCCGTCATCCCAACACCATCGAGTACAGAGGATGCTACCTCAGAGAGCACACGGCATGGGTCAGTATTAGCAGTGTGTGTGCCCCCAGTACACTATTTGAGTGTCTGTACTAATAGTCCGTCCCCCCTCTCTCCCTCAGCTGGTGATGGAGTACTGTTTAGGCTCAGCCTCCGATCTTCTAGAAGGTTAGTACACCAGGGAAACAACTTTTGAGTTTTAAGGGCATTTAGCATGTTTTTGAAGCTCTGTATATAACTAGACTCTCTCTCTTTCCCTTGCTCTCTCTCTTGCTCTCTGTCTTGCTCTCTCTCTTTCTTTTTCTCTAACTCTCTCTGTAGTTCACAAGAAGCCACTACAGGAGGTAGAAATAGCTGCAATTACCCATGGTGCACTGCTCGGCTTGGCCTATCTTCACTCCCACAACATGATCCACAGGTAATGTTATAAAAAAGATATGCCATTTAGCAGACACTTGTTTTTGTTGTTGTTGTTTTTTTTACATCTACTGCAACCTCTTGGTCTATGCCACTGTATTGTCCATACGCTGTCACTGTGCAGTGTCTTAGAGCAATTCTGGCCGTTCAATTCCAGTTCTGTTTTCACTGCTATGTCTTTCAGTCTCTCATCATGCGTTTCAATAATCATTCCATTGTTTGGATAATCATTCCATTGTGGCCTTAATAGCCTGGGCCCATATTCCCGATAGCGATGGAACTCAGGCCTACGAGTGTTTTAACCTTGCATCTTTCCTACAACGGCCGAAGATGTAACATGCGTTTTCGTTGGAGCGTGTGTCATCACTGATAGGATCGCAAGAAAAGGAGCGCTGCTCTCGGATCAGCTTTCTCCATTCAAATATTTCCTTAACATTAATTATTTCACAATACTGACGCAATCAGAGAGAGAGAGAGATATTACCACCTACGGCTGCAAATATTGAGGCAGCTTATTCTAATGTTTGCCCAATAAAAATGCTATAAATCACAGATTTGGCACATCATGCAATATTTTGAGACAAGTTATAGACAGTAGCCTACAAGTAGAAAAATAAAACTCAATTGATTGAACATGAAATGTATTTCAATATGATTGAAAAAAGGCCTATCGCTTACTGTTTATATTTTTGTGCAGTCATCTCGGTTTTCATCTGAAGCATCTTTTTATACTTTGCTTGTTTGTATCAATTGCAAAGACATTGGCAACTTTGTATTTGTAGTCAACATTGTTCTGAAGTTTTCGCGGTCACAGAGAGACGGGTAAACCATGTGATTCTTTTTAGCGGAGTATTAAGTGATTCGGGAATGCAAAACAGCATGTAATGACACAATTAGCTGGTCTGAGGTAGGCGTTAGATTACGAGCGTTTTCAAGTACAACGTTAATAACGATCGCTTGCCGATTTTAACGATGCTCCTATGAAGGTTCTAACGATGAACTTATAGCCTTAAGATGCTTTTGAGAAACCGGATCCTGGCATCTTCTATACTATAAATGCTATATAGGGTATGTCACCCTCGCAAAAGAGGTTTCTAGCCTTAAGGGTCTTTCCTGGTTTAGGGTTAAATCAGGGTTATATATAAATTTTTTAGGGGGTGGAAATGATCATGGGTTAAGAAAACACTCCAGGCCACTATTGAACGTCTACAATTGTATAGAAAGTATGCAGAAATTATAATGGACCTACACTACCGGTCAAAAGTTTTAGAACACCTACTCATTCAAGGGTTTTTCTTTATTTTTACTATTTTCTACATTGTAGAATAATAGTGAAGACATCAAAACTATGATATAACACATATGGAATCATGTAGTAACCAAAAAAGTGTTAAACAAATCTAAATATATGTTATATTTGAGATTCTTCAAATAACCAGATGGGATGGCGTATTGCTGCAGAAAAATCTGTGGTAGCCATGCTGGTTAAGTGTGCCTTGAATTCTAAATAAATCACAGACGGTGTCACCAGCAAAGCACCCTCACACCATAACTCCTCCATGCTTTAAGGTGGGAAATACACATGCGGAGATAATCCGTTCACCCACACGCGTCTCACAAAGACACGGCGGTTGGGACCAAAAATCTCCGATTTGGACTCCAGACCAAAGGACAGATTTCCACCGGTCTAATGTCCATTGCTCGTGTTTATTGGCCCAAGCAGGGCTCTTCTTCTTATTGGTGTCCTTTAGTAGTGGTTTCTTTGCAACAATTTGACCATGAAGGCCTGATTCACACGGTCTCCTCTGAACAGTTAATGTTGAGATGTGTCTGTTACTTGAACTCTGTGAATAATTTATTTGGGCTGCAATTTCTGAGGCTGGTAACTAATGAACTTATCCTCTGCAGCAGAGGTAACTCTGGGTCTTGCTTTCCTGTGGCGGTCCTCATGAGAGCCAGTTTCATCATAGCGCTGATGTTTTTTGCGACTGCACTTGAAGAAACGTTCAAACTTCTTGAAATGTTCCGTATTGACTGAACTTCATGTCTTAAAGTAATAATGGACTGTCGTTTCTCTTTGCTTATTTGAGCTGTTGTTGCCATAATATGGACTTGGTCTTTTACCAAATAGGGCTATCTTCTGTATACCCCCCCTACCTTGTCACAACACAACTGATTGGCTCAAACGCATTAAGGAAAGAAATTCCACAAATTAACTTTTAAGAAGGCACACCTGTTAATTGAAATGCACCTGTAATACAAAGAAAAACCCTTGAATGAGTAGGTGTTCTAAAACTTTTTGACCGGTAGTGTGTGTATATATATTTTCAAATAACTGGCCCGCAAATTGATTTTGACAAAAAAATCGGTCCCAAAAAAATCTGTGCGGCCCTCCGTAGAATTTCTAAATCCCGATGTGGCCCTTGAGCCAAAAAGTTAGCCCACCCCTGCATTAAATTAAATGTTCAACGTCGTTATCTCTGCACTGTCAACGTTAACAATGTGTTACCGTTGTGTTAACATTGTCAACATTTTTTTTTGTCACTTTGTGTTAACATTGCTCCTCTCCTCTCAGGGACGTGAAGGCAGGGAACATCCTCCTGACAGAGCCTGGCCAGGTGAAGCTGGGAGACTTTGGCTCTGCCTCCATTGTTGCCCCCGCCAACTCCTTTGTAGGAACCCCCTACTGGTGAGGAGCTAGAACTGTGGACTGTTCAATTCCTTGAGGGCCAAAGTACTTGCGGTCCTCTCCCGTGAATCTACAAATCCTCCCCCACCCCCTGCCCTACACACAAGGGATGGTTCACTCTTTTTAACCAGTGGCTGATTTTAAAGGGATGGTTCACTCTTTTTCCAGGATGGCTCCGGAGGTGATCCTAGCGATGGACGAGGGTCAGTACGATGGCAAGGTGGACGTCTGGTCTCTGGGCATCACCTGTATAGAGCTGGGTAGGCATCGCCACGGCAACAAACTATTCAGTCTCCATGGTACTGTAGAGAGGGAATGCCGCCCTTTGACACTACATCAAGAAAGAGATAGTTTTAACTTCTGAAATCTATCAATGTAGTATAATATAGGAGATATGAAGGCGTCTTGGCAAATGGCTCCACAGTGAACTTTGAACCCAGGCCCTCAGAGTGACCCCTGTCTAAGTGGTCTGACCAAATCCCTAACCCCTGGGAGTTGGGAATAGTCTATGTTGTGTCTGTTTGTCCCGACATTGTTACTGGGATTTAAAAGACTCAGCGCTAAGCTGCTTTGGCTGTTAGCTAACATGTCCTCTCTCCCTTCTCTCTCTCTATCGCTTGGTCACTTTCTCCCTCTCTCTATCTCCCTTTCCTTCTCTCACTTGATCTCTCTCTCCTCTTCTTTTTCTACCCTCTCTCTCTCTCTCTCTCTCTCTCTCTCCCTCCCTTGTCTCTCTTTAGCGGAGAGAAAGCCTCCTCTGTTCAATATGAATGCAATGAGTGCCTTATACCACATCGCCCAGAACGAGAGCCCCATCCTAGCGTCCAATCACTGGTGAGCATCACTCTCCCCCTCTTATCATGCACAATCTCTCCTTGTCTGTCCATTTTTCTTTTATCTCCTTCTCCCTCTTTCTCCCTCATGCACATCTCTCCACTCACTTATCAGTCTGTCATTCACCTAACCCACTCTCTTGCTTAACTCCTTTTTTCTTGATCTGTCCTTTACATCACTGTCTCGTTTGTCTCTTAACTCGCTCTTTCGCTCGCTCACCAGCTCTCTCTCTTTCTCTGTTTTCTCTCTGACTGAACTCTCTTCTCTCTCGCGCCGCAGGTCTGATTATTTCCGTAACTTTGTGGACTCCTGTCTGCAGAAGATTCCACAGGACAGGCCTATCTCTGATGTGTTGCTCAATGTAAGAGTGCAACACACACACACACCTCTTCCTCGTTCCTCCTCTCTTCCTCAATTTCTCTCTCTAACTCTTTGCACTCCCTCTTCCCCCACCCCCCCCTTTCTTCCCTTCCTTCCCTTCCTTCCACCGTCTGTAGCACCGGTTTCTGTGTCGTGAGCGTCCCCTGACGGCGGTGATGGACCTCATAGCGAGGACCAAGGACGCAGTGCGGGAGCTGGACAACCTGCAGTACAGGAAGATGAAGAAGATCCTCTTCCATGAAGCCCAAAACGGACCCACCCCAGAGGGAGGAGAGGAGGAGGAGGTAGGGGCTCCCCCCCATGTTAGTAAGGCCCATAATGGACCTCCTCTGGTTGTAAGGTGGGGAGGAATACTTTCCACTCTGTCATTTCGGTTAGTAGTGTGGAGTAACTACAATGTTGTTGATCCATCCTCAGTTTTCTCCTACCACAGCCATTTAAATTCTAACTGTTTTAAAGTCACCATTGGCCTCATGGAGAAATCCCTGAGCGGTTTCCTTCCTCTCCGGCAACTGAGTTAGGAAAGACGCCTGTATCTTTGTAGTGACAGGGTGTATTGATACACCATCCAAAGTGTAATTAATAACTTCACAATGCTCAAAGGGATATTCAATGTCTGCTTTTTTTATTTTTACCCATCTAACAATAGGTGCCCTTCTTTGCAAAGCATTTGAAATCTTCCTTGGTCTTTGTGGTTGAATCTGTGTTTGAAATTCACTGCTCAACTGAGGGACCTCCAGTAATTGTATGTGTGTACAGAGATGAGGTAGTCATTCAAAAATAATGTTAAACACTATAATTGCACACAGTGTATCCATGCAACTTATATGACTTGTTAAGCACATATGTACTCCTGAACTTATTTAGGCTTGCCATAACAAAGGGGTTGAATACTTATTGACTCATGACATTTCAGCTTTTCATTTTTAATCAATTTGTAAAAATGTCTAAACGATTTAACTTTGATATTATGGGTTATTGTGTGTAGGCCAGTGACACAATCTCAATGTAATCCATTTTTAAATGTAGGGTGTAACACAACAACATTTGGGGAAAGTCTAGGGGTGTGAATACTTTTTGAAGGCAATGTATCTTATGTTAACTTTCTGTCTCTGCCTGTGTGTCTCTCTCCCTGCCTGCCTGTGTATAACGTCTCTCTTTTTCCTCTCTCCCTCCCTCTCACCCAGGAGGCGGAGCAGTACCTGCTGCGTACGGGCACTGTGGGCAGCATGGAGAGTTCCCAGTCTGTGCCCAGTATGTCCATCTCCGCCAGCTCCCAGAGCTCCTCGGTCAACAGCCTGGCAGACGGCTCCGACGACAGCAACGAGATGGCCATGATGACCGAGGGAGAGCACACAGTCACCTCAAACTCCTCCATTATACACCGCCCTACTGTAAGTCTGAGAGAGGTGTGTGTGTGTGTGTGTGGCGTGTGCGCTAGAGAGAGAGAAGATGGTGGTGTGTGTATGTATGTGGTAAATATGTCAGGTTTGTGCAATTGTCTGTGTTTGTGGACATTAATTAAACTTCCCTCTCCTTCTGAATTGTCTCGCTCTCTCCTTGTCCCCCTCCCCCAGGGTCAGGATAATATCTATGATGACCCATACCAGCCAGAGATGGACCAGCAGCAGCCCTCGTCAGCCGCCCGCCGCAGGGCCTACTACCGCAACCGGGACCACTTCGCCACCATCCGCACGGCCTCCCTGGTGAGCACATCCCCAAACCCCTCACTCTGACCCAACCACTAGCACAACCGCTAACCACTCTCTCTGACATGACCGCAAACGCTAACCCCCAAACCTCTCTTTCTCTGATACGACTGCTAACACAACCCCCTAACCCTTCTCTCATACTACTATGAACGCTTGTTTGTTTTCTTACAATTACTTTGCCTGAGCTTGATTGAGTTAGCCTGCGGTCCAATGGAACAGTCCCACAACTGGAAACCACGCCCATCTGTCTCTCCAGACAGACTCAATCAAACGCTCAAAGATTTCAGATACTATTTGAACCTAGGTCTGATTGACACCACCCATCTGTTTCTCCAGGCAGGCTCAATCGAAAACTCCGATTTCAGATACTATTAAGACACATTCCCTCTCTCTTTCCTCCCCTCCCCTCTCTCTCTCTCTCTCTCTCTCTCCTTCCCACTCTCTCTTCCCTCTCTCTCTCTTCCCTCTCTCTCTCTCCAGGTGACTCGTCAGATCCAGGAACACGAGCAGGGCTCAGCGCTGAGGGAGCAGATGTCCGGCTATAAGAGGATGAGGAGGCAGCACCAGAAACAGTTGATGGGCCTGGAGAACAAGCTGAAGGCTGAGATGGACGAGCACCAGCTGAGACTAGACAAAGAGCTGGAGAACCAGAGGAACAGCTTCGGAGGGGAGGGGGACAAACTGGGCAAGAAACACCAGGCCATCCTGGAGAAGGAGGTGAGGGATGGCGGGACTGGAGGAAAGGAGGAGGTATGGAGGGGTGGAGAACCAGAGCTTCGGAGGAGAGGGGGTCAAACCGGGCAAGAAATAGGGAAGGAGGACTGTGGAAAGAGGAACAAAATGTGTTAGTCTTCTCCCTTCACCCCCCCCCTCTCTCTCTCTCTCTCCAGACCAAGGCAGCCCTAGCTGAGGAGAAGAAGTTCCAGCAGCATATCCTGAGCCAGCAGAAGAAAGAGCTGACCAGTCTACTGGAGTCTCAGAAACGCCAGTACCGCCAGCGCAAGGACCAGCTCAAAGAGGTACAACCTTATTCCAACCACACGACTACCTTATTCCAACCACACGACTACCTTATTCCAACCACACGAGGTAGTCGTCTGGTTGGAATAAGGTAGAGGGTGGGTCAGTCACATGGGACTGACCCACCCTCTAACTCTTCCCCCTATTGTTTTGATTGGCTTGTGTCACCCTCTAACCCAGGGTTCCCCAACTGGCGGCCCGCAATTTTTCAAAGAAGATTTTTCAAAGAAAAATATGTTTTTTTATATATTTCTTCTTGTTGCACATAGGACTGTAAAAATAGCAGGAAATAGGCTCCAGGTTATTATTATTATTATTATTATTATTATTTAGAAATCTTTTCCCAAGTAGTCCCACGCATAATAGAGAAACAAGTCATCATATACAAATGTAAGCAAGGTTTGAAATTATGTTTTAATCAAATATTGTATCTGTTTGGGCTTCTTGCGGTTAATTTACAGTCTACAAATTATTTGTAATTATGTTCCGGCCCCCCAACCATCCGCTCAAGAAAGAAAACGGCCCCTGGCTGAATCTAGTTGATGGTCCCTGCTCTAATCCTTCCCCATGTGTTGTTTCTACTAGGAACTGAATGACAACCAGTCGACACCTAAGAGGGAGAAGCAAGGGTGGCTGTTGTCAGCCTTTAACTAGGGGTGTGAACGTTTAAACGAAATTGGGATCCTTAACGTTACGAAAAAATCCCTAAGGGGAAAACAATTGTTTAGTTTTTTCCCCCACAAATTTGTTATCACAGTGCAGCTGGCTCGTCTGCTCTTTCTCTTCACTAATGATACAAGTGTGTGTTCAGTCTTCAGTCTGTTCCCCTAGCCTGTTCATTGATGATAGTCCCTGCTTTACTGAAGTTTTTTTACTGCAAGAAATTGTGAAATACAGCATTCCATTGCAAGATAAAGATTTTGATTGCCGATAGATAGGCCTAGTGCGCGGTTCTGACTCCGTCTGTCTGGACCTGCCTATACTGTGCCCCTACCCTCTCTCTCCATCCCTATACTGTGCCCCTACCCTCTCTCTCCATCCCTATACTGTGCCCCTACCCTCTCTCTCCATCCCTATACTGTGCCCCTCCCCTCTCTCTCCATCCCTATACTGTGCCCCTCCCCTCTCTCTCCATCCCTATACTGTGCCCCTACCCTCTCTCTCCATCCCTATACTGTGCCCCTCCCCTCTCTCTCCATCCCTATACTGTGCCCCTCCCCTCTCTCTCCATCCCTATACTGTGCCCCTCCCCTCTCTCTCCATCCCTATACTGTGCCCCTCCCCTCTCTCTCCATCCCTATACTGTGCCCCTCCCCTCTCTCTCCATCCCTATACTGTGCCCCTCTCCTCTCTCTCCATCCCTCGCTAGCTTGCTATGGAAGATGCAGGCAGCTCGAGATGATTTGATTGACAGTTCTGGTCGCCTAGTGATGGATGTTAGTTCCGCTTCAGAAGCGGCATTCCTTTACAGACAAGTAAAATGTCTGTTCAGTGGCACTTCGAAAAACTATCTCCAGAGAAGGTTTTGTGTCGGCATTTAAAAAGCCGTTGTGTACAGTCGTGGTCAAAAGTTTTGAGAATGACACAAGTATTGGTCTTCACAAAGTTTGCTGCTTCAGTGTTTTTAGATATTTTTGTCAGATGTTACTATGGTATACTGAAGTATAATTCCATAAGTGTCAAAGGCTTTTATTGACAATTACATTACGTTTATGCAGAGTCAATATTTGCAGTGTAGTCCCTTCTTTTTCAAGACCTCTGCCATCCGCTCTGGCATGCTGTCAATTAACTTCTGGGCCACATCCTGACTGATGGCAGCCCATTCTTGCATAATCAATGCTTGGAGTTTGTTAGAATTTGTTGGTTTTTGTTTGTCCACCCGCCTCTTGAGGATCGACCACAAGTTCTCAATGGGATTAAGGTCTGGGGAGTTTCCTGGCCATGGACCCAAAATGTCGATGTTTTGTTCCTCGAGCCACTTAGTTATCACTTTTGCCTTATGGCAAGGTGCTCCATCATGCTGGAAAAGGTATTGTTCGTCACCAAACTGTTCTTGGATGGTTGGGAGAAGTTGCTCTCGGAGCATGTGTTGGTACCATTCTTTATTCATGGCTGTGTTCTTAAGCAAAATTGTGAGTGAGCCCACTCCCTTGGCTGAGAAGCAACCCCACACATGAATGGTCTCAGGATGCTTTACTGTTGGCATGACACAGGACTGATGGTAGCGCTCACCTTGTCTTCTCCGGATAAGCTTTTTTCCGGATGCCCCAAACAATCGGAAAGGGGATTCATCAGAGAAAATGACTTTACCCCAGTCCTCAGCAGTCCAATCCCTGTACCTTTTGCAGAATATGGCATCCTCGCTGCCCTTCTTGACACCAGGCCATCCTCCAAAAGTCTTCGCCTCACTGTGCGTGCAGACGCACTCACACCTGCCTGCTGCCATTCCTGAGCAAGCTCTGCACTGGTGGTGCCCCGATCCTGCAGCTGAATGAACTTTAGGAGACGGTCCTGGCGCTTGCTGGACTTTCTTGGGTGCCCTGAAACCTTCTTCACAACAATTGAACCTCTCTCCTTGAAGTTCTTGATGATCTGATAAATGGTTGATTTAGGTGCAATCTTACTAGCAGCAATATCCTTGCCTGTGAAACCCTTTTTGTGCAAAGCAATGATGTCGGCACGTGTTTCCTTGCAGGTAACCATGGTTAACAGAGGAAGAACAATGATTTAAAGCACCACCCTCCTTTTTAAAGCTTCCAGTCTGTTATTCTAACTGAATCAGCATGACAGAGTGATCTCCAGCCTTGTCCTCGTCAACACTCTCACCTGTGTTAACGAGAGAATCACTGACATGTCAGCTGGTCCTTTTGTGGCAGGGCTGAAATGCAGTGGACATGTTTTTTGGGGATTAAGTTCATTTTCATGGCAAAGAGGGACTTTGCAATTAATTGCAATTCATCTGATCACTCTTCATAACATTCTGGAGTATATGCCAAATTGCCATCATAAAAACTGAAGCAGCAGACTTTGTGAAAATTAATATTTGTGTCATTCTCAAAACTTTTGACCACGACTGTACCCTTACAGACAGACAAACATGCCGTAGCCAAGGCGCTCTCAAGGGTATATGACTGCGGTACATATAACTTAATTGCCCGGGCCCTTAGCGTTCATACATACATAATAGGACCATTACTCTGCATTGATGTGAAATTTGATGAGCCATTTGTCACATCCCTACCTTTTTAACCCTTCCCCCTGTGTTGTAATGAGTGGCTGGTGTCACCCTCTAACCCTTCCCCCTGTGTTTCTACTAGGAACTGAATGAGAACCAGTCGACCCCTAAGCGGGAGAAGCAGGAATGGCTGGTGCGTCAGAAGGAGTGTCTGCAGCAGCTGCAGGCGGAGGAGGAGGCAGGGCTGCTGAGGAGACAGAGGCAGTACTACGAGCTGCAGTGTCGCCAGTACAAGAGGAAGATGCTGCTGGCCCGACACAACCTGGAACAAGACCTGCTCAGAGAGGTATTGTAGGACCTATAGTATAGGTATATTACAGGGGGAGATTGACCTGCTCAGGGAGGTCTAGTCTCGTCCACCAGCCGGCTCTCTCTCTGTCAAACCATCTGGTTTCACAGCGCCTCAGAACTGAACTTAAATCAAGTTGAATGGAAGCTTATGGCAGGAGCGGAAAAACAGCCGCCGGTTTTAATTGGCAGATCTCTGTCCATCACAATCTAGCATAACCCTTAGAACCTCCCCCCAACATTATGGACTTCAAGCAGAAGTTATTTAAACAAAGAAGTGAGTTTGGAAAATCTGATAGTACGCATCTTAGAAATGTTTTTTACATATAAACTTTATATGCCTCAAATCAGAATCAATTGGGCTTCCCAAAAATACTATGGCTAATGTGATAGAACATTTATTTTGATTGGCGATTTATCGCAATTTTTCAAAGTCACATCTAATACAACTGTTGCCTCGATTTAGAGCCACACGTCATAGTCGTGTGATTTGCTCAGAATTTGAATTGATTAGGTTTGGGCGTTATCCATATTTTCATATCGTCATACCATCCTTCTCTCATCCCGGGATTTACGGTATTACCGGCTTAGTGCACAAGGGGGCGCCAAAAAACACAAAAGCCCATTGGGTGTCTATTACTAGAATACTAACAAAATGTGTACAAGTAATAGCAAATTTCCATGGAGGCTGCTTGCTAAATATGCTAACGAGCGCAAATGAAAATAAATGAATTGCAAAGACAGGCAATCCAGGACATAAAGTTATACATGTATAGGTATGCGCTACCGAATGTCATTTTTGTTAAGTTTGGACATTTACAAGCGAATGTGAATGAGAGACGTGCAAATGCACAAAGTTTTGAAGCATGCTTGTCTGAAGGAAGAACAGTACTAGCTTTGAAGCAGCGCGTGTACACACTGTGTCTGTGTGGAGTCTGGAGTTGCTAGGGAAACGGGCCTGCTGGCTCTGCTTGGAGAAGATGGGGGAGGAGCTGAGAACAGAGAGGAGAAAAAAACGCAAGGAGGGAAGAGTTAGCAGCTGTACAAAACACGGCAGAAAGATAACACTATGCTGCCACGTGACCTTATTAATTCAGCCACTTAGATAGCTAGCGAGTTTAACTTAGGGGTCGCGTTAACGAGAAAAAGCTTGCTGTATTTTGTAACTGCAGATCTAAAATGCTTCTTATTGTAATTTTTGCTCGGCTTCAGTTGCACTTCATCACTCAGATGAGTTCACGAAAAGGCATTCTATCAGCAGACAGTGCAATGACTGATGTGGAGCTACTTTTCTCTGCTACTTTTCTCGGTGTAGGCAGCCTACTTTTCTCTGGTGAAATATTAACTTTAAGTAAAACATAAGGAAATGTAGCTGGCTACATTCTTTCTATGATAAACATTAGAAATAGGATGGCCATGCATAGTTTTTGTAAAATATACCTTATTCATTGTAAGCTCATTTACTTGTATGGCTACCACTGATGACAATTAAGCAAATTTTTGCTGAATGTGTTGCGCTAATGTATTTTCTGTGAAGGAAAACTATAGTTGAATGTTCCTGATCAATCTATTGAAGAAGAAAAAAAAAACTTACTTTTGATATAAAACGCGACCCCTGTCAATACGCAGCTGGACTCACCTGATCCCGCTTTCTCTCGTTGTGCTATTTACAAACAAACACGTGACTGGCACAACTGTTCTGGAGATCTACGGTAAGCTTCATAATGTGACAGGTGAAATTAAGAACGCGATCTGCTTTATATCTTAACGTATTGCACAAGTTGACTGCAAGTATTTACTTAAAGTATACTGAACAAAAATATAAACGCAACATGCAACAATTTAAACAACTTTACTGAGTTACAGTTCATATAAGGAAATCAGTCAATTGAAATACATTTATTATGCCCTAATCTATGGATTTCACATGACTTGGCAGAGGCGCAGCCATGGGTGGGCCTGGGAGGGCATAGACCCACCCACTTGGGAGCCATGCCCACCCACTGGGGAGCCAGGCCCATCCAATCGGAATTAGTTTTTCCCCACAAAGGGCTTTATTGCAGACAGAAATACTCCTCAGTTTCATCAGCTGTCCAGGTGGCTGGTCTCCTGTGCCAAATTCTCTGAAACGACTTTATGGTAGAGAAATGAACATAAAATTATCTGGCAACAGCTCTGGTGGACATTCCTGCAGTCAGCATGCCAATTGCACGCTCCCTCAAAACTTGAGACATCTGTGGCATTGTGTTGTGTGACAAAACTGCACTTTTTAGAGTGGCCTTTTATTATCCCCAGCACAAGGTGCACCTGTGTAATGATCATGCTGCTTAATCAGCTTCTTGATATGCGACACCTGTCAGGTGGATGGATTATGTTGGCAAAGGAGTAATGCTCACTAACAGGGATGTAAACAAGTTTGTGCACAACATTTTTGAGAAATAAGCTTTTTGTGCGTATGGAACATTTCTGTGGTCTTTTATTTCAGCTCATGAAACATGAGACTAACACTTTACATGTTGCGTTCTTGTTCATTATAGCTACAAATATAAAAATGTATTGAAATAGTTTCAACAGTTTTGACACTATTGAAAAACCATCCCGTGGCTATTTCCAAATACCCAGAGATACGGTATACCGCCTAAGCCTAATTAGCATGTCATTCAGTAAATCCACACCCCCTAAATTCCAAACAGTCCCACACTGTTACCAGGCTCAATGCGCCAGCAATTCGAGCCTGGGGACGAGGTTAAGCCTCGCCCAATCCACCCCTACACCTTACGCCCTAGACACTTCTGTTCTATTTCGTTGTTTTATATATACAGTGCCTTCGGAAAGTATTCAGGGACCTTGACTTTTTCTACATTTTGTTAGGTTACAGCCTCATTCTAAAATTGATTAAATTGTTTTTTTCCCCTCATCAATCTATACACAATACCCCATGATGACAAAGCAAAAACTGTTTTTTAATTTTTTTTGCTAATTTATAAAAAATACAAAACTGAAATATCATATTTACATAAGTAATCAGACCCTTTACTCAGTACTTTGTTGAAGCACCTTTGGCAGCGATTACAGCCTCGAGCCTTCTTGGGTATGCCACTACAAGCTTGGAACACATGTATTTGGGGAGTTTCTCCCATTCTCTGCAGATCCTCTCAAGCTCTGTCAGGTTGGATGGGGAGCGTCGCTGCACAACTATTTTCAGGTCTCTCCAGAGATGTTTGATCGTGTTCAAGTCCGGGCTCTGGCTGGGCTACTCAAGGACATTCAGAGACGTGTCCCGAAGCCACTCCTGCGTTGTCTTGGCTGTGTGCTTAGGGTCATTGTCCTGTTGGAAGGTGAACCTTTGCCCCAGTCTGAGGTCCTGAGTGCTGTGGAGCAGGTTTTCATCAAGGATCGCTCTGTACTTTGCTCCGTTCATCTTTGCCTCGATCCTGGCTAGTCTCCCAGTCCCTGCCGCTGAAAAACATCCCCACAGCATGATGCTGCCACCACCATGCTTCACCGTAGGGATGGTGCCAGGTTTCCTCCAGATGTGACGCTTGGCATTCAGGCCAAAGAGTTCAATCTTGGTTTCATTAGACCAGAGAATCTTGTTTCTCATGGTCTGAGAGTCCTTTAGGTGCCTTTTGGCAAACTCCAAGCGGGCTGTCATGTGCCTTTTACTGAGGAGTGGCTTCCATCTGGCCACTCTACCATAAAGGCCTAATTGGTGGAGTGCTGCAGAGATGGTTGTCAAAACTTTCTAAAAACCTGTATTCGCGTTGCCATTATGGGGTATTGTGTGTAGATTGCTAAGGAAATAGTTTTATTGAATCCATTTTAGAATAAGGCTGTAACAACATAACAAAATGTGGAAAAAGTCAAGGGGTCTGAATACCTTCCGTATAAAAGTTTATAACGAAATTGTGATCCTTAACATTAAGAAAAATCCCAAACGAAATTTTTTTTTGCAGTGCATTTATCACAAAACATATTGTTTTCTGTGTTGTAGCCTAATTAGATTATAGGCTATAAAGGACTGGGGGAAGTGGTGTAATTTAAAGGTGAAATATGCAGGAATCGCTCCGCCATTTCCTGGTTGCTAAAATTCTAATAGTTAGCCTAATTTCAGTGTATGTGATAAAACAAGTGCTCAGTGTAGAGAATCCATTGTACCATCTAAACCGCTGTGAAATATATTTTCAATAACCAAAAATATAGTATTTTCAGTTGTTTGAAACAAGTGTACAGAACCGAAAGTAAAAGACTCAAAAACAAAACTTTAAGAACGGGAAGCATAGAAATGGCACACAGAACAGATCTACCGCTTCTTAGACTTGCTTTCAATGAGTGACAGATCTATACCACATTTCTATGTGAATTTGGTCAGGCACCCAAGAAGTTACATATTGTAGCTTTAAATAAAACCAGAGAGAAAGAGGCTAACTTTAAGCTGCTAGGGATATTCAATGTCTGCTTTTTTTACCCATCTACTAATAGGTGACCTTCTTTGCGAGCCATTAGGAAGCCTCTCTGGTCTTTGTGGTTGAATCTGTTTGAAATTCACTGCTCGACTGACGACCTTACAGATATTTGTATGTGTGGGGTACAGAGATGTGGTAGTCATTCAAAAATCATGTTAAACACTATTATTGCACACAGAGTGAGTCCATGCAACTTATGTGACTTGTTAAGCACATTTTTATATACAGTACCAGTCAACAGTTTGGACACCTACTCATTCAAGGGTTTTTCTTTATTTGTACTATTTTCTACATTGTAGAATAATTGAGATTCTTCAAATTGCCACCCTTTGCCTTGATGACAGCTTTGCACATTCTTGGCATTATCTCAACCAACTTCACCTGGAATGCTTTTCCAACAGTCTTGAAGGAGTTCCCACATATGCTGAGCACTTGTTGGCTGCTTTTCCTTCACTCTGCCGTCCGACTCAACCCAAACCATCTCAATTGGGTTGAGGTCGGGGGATTGTGGAGGCCAGGTCATCTGATGCAGCACTCCATCACTCTCCTTCTTACACAGCCTGGAGGTGTGTTGGGTCATTGTCCTGTTGAAAAACAGGGCGGCAGGTAGCTTAGTGGTTAAGAGTGTTGTGCCAGGAACCGAAAGGTCGCTGGTTCTAATCCCTGAGCCGACTAGGTGAAAAATCTGTCTGTGCCCTTGAGCAAGGTACTTAACCCTAATTGCTCCTGTAAATCGCTCTGGATAAGAGTGTCTGCTAAATGACTAAAATGTAAATGTATTCCCACTAAGCCCAATGCTGTGGTTGCCATGCTGGTTAAATCACAGACAGTGTCACCAGCAAAGCACCATAACACCACCTCCTCCATGCTTTACGGTAGGAAATACACATGCGGAGATCATCCGTTCACCCACACCGCGTATCACAAAGACACGGCCGTTAGAAGCAAAAATCTCAAATTTGGACACCAGACCAAAGGATACATTTCCACCGGTCTAATGTCCATTGCTCTCTTCTTCTTATTGGTGTCCTTTTAGTAGTGGTTTCTTTGCAGCAATTCGACCATGAAGGCCTGATTCACACAGTCTCCTTAAAAACAGTTGATGTTGAGATGTGTCTGTAACTTGAACTCTGTGAAGCATTTATTTGGGCTGCAATTTCTGAGGCTGGTAACTAATTAACTTATCCTCTGCAGCAGAGGCAACTCTGGGTCTTCCATTCCTGTGGCGGTCCTCATGAGAGCCAGTTTCATCATAGCGCTTGATGGATTTTGCGACTGCACTTTAAGAAACTTTTAAAGTTCTTGAAATGTTCCGTATTGACTGACCTTCATGTCTTAAAGTGATGATGGACTGTCGTTTCTCTTTGCTTATTTGAGCTAATATCGACTTGGTCTTTTACCAAATAGGGCTCTCTTCTGTATACCCCCCTACATTTACATTACATTTTAGTCATTTAGCAGACACTCTTATCCAGAGCAACTTACAGTTAGTGAGTGCATACATTCTTTTTATTTTTTTCATACTGGCCCCCCGTGGGAATCGAACCCACAACCGCCATGCTCTACCAACTGAGCTACATCCCTGCCAGCCATTCCCTCCCCTACCCTGGACGATGCTGGGCTAATTGTGCGCCGCCCCATGGGTCTCCCGGTCGCGGCCGGCCCACGACAGAGCCTGGATTCGAACCAGTATCTCTAGTGGCACAGCTAGCACTGCGATGCAGTGCCTTAGACCACTGCGCCACTCGGGCCCTACCTTGTCACAACACAACTGATTGGCTCAAACACATTAAGAAGGAAAGAAATTCCACAAATTAACTTTTAAGAAGGCACACCTGTTAATTGAAATGCATTCCAGGTGACTACCTCATGAAGCTGGTTGCGAGAATGCCGAGTGTGCAAAGCTGTCATCAAGGCAAATGGTGGCTATTTGAAGAATCTCAAATATCAAATTATATTTTGATTTGTTTAACACTTCTTTGGTTACTATACGAGTCCATATGTGTGATTTCATAGTTTTGATGTCTTCACTATTATTCTACAATGTAAAAAATAGTAAAAATAAAGACAAACCCTTGAATGAGTAGGTGTGTCCAAACTTTTGACTGGTAGTGTGTGTGTATGTATATATATATGTATATATATGTATATATATATGTATGTATATGTATATGTGTATATATATATGTATATATATGTATGTATATGTATGTATATGTATGTATATGTATGTATATGTATGTATATGTATTGTGTTATTATGTGTAGTATATATATATTTATATATATGTATATATATAGTATTATGTTATGTATAGTTATGTTATTATTGTATATATATGATATATAATATATATGTTTGTATTAATTTATTATATATTATTATGATATTATTATATTATTATATAATATTATATATATATATATATGTGTGTATATATATATGTGTGATTAATATATATATATATACATATCATATATATATATGTATGTGTTATATATAGTGATATATAAATAATATATATATATATATATTATATATATATATATGTGGTGTAGTGTAATATAATAGTATATATATATATGATATATATGTAATGTTTATATATATATATATATATATGTATGTGTATATATATATATATGTATGTGTATATAACGCCAAGGTAGTGGGTTCGATCCCGGGACCACCCATACACAAAATGTATGCACGCATGACTGTAAGTCGCTTTGGATAAAAGCGTCTGCTAAATGGCATATTATATTATTTTATATATATATTGTGTGTGTATATATATTATATATATTTATATATATATGTGTATTAATGATGTATGTATGTATGTATGTTTATAGTATGTATGATATTATTATTAGTATTATTATGTATGTATTATGTAGTATGTAGTGTATGTATGTATGTATGTATGTATGTATGTATGTATGTATGTATGTATGTATGTATGTATTGTATGTTATTGTTGTATGTTGTATGTATGTATGTATGTATGTATGTTGTTATGTATGTATTGTATGTAGTTGTGTATGTATGTATGTATGTTTATTGTTGTTGTTTATTATTATATGTATTTATTATTGTATATTATGTATGTATGTTTTGTATATATGTATGTGTATTTGTTTTGTATATATATGTATATGTATTTGTTATGTATGTATGCTGTATTATATATGTATTATGTTTGTTATTATGTATATGTATGTATGTATGTGTGTGTATATATATATATATATATATGAGAGCTACTACATATCACACTTTCACAAAATGCTTGAAGACATGGCTAAAGGTCAATCAGATTTGTGAACATGGTCCCTAGCTGTGTGTTGCCGCTTTCCATGTCTGTTGTCTGTAACTTGTGAGGTGTGGAAACACTGTTGCTTTTATGAATTTTGTCTTGCTGCTTTTTGTTCTATGCTGCTCTGTCTGTATGCTACGTCTTGCTTGTCCTATGTTGCTATGTCTGTATGCTATGTCTTGTTCTATGTTGTTATTGTCTATATTGTAATTGTTTTTAATAACCTGCCCAGGGACTGCGGTTGAAAATTAGCCGGCTGGCTAAAACCGGCACTTTTACTGAAACGTTGATTAATGTGCACTGTCCCTGTAAAAATAAACTTCAACTCAACTCAACTCAACTTAACTTAGTTGACACGTTTCCTACCTTCTCTCTCTCCTGTTTCTTTCTCTCTCCCCAACTCTTTCTGTCCTTCCCACTCTCTCTCCCTCCTCCCCTCCCTCCAGGACCTGAACAAGAAACAGACCCAGAGGGACCTGGAGTGTGCCATGCTGCTGAGGCACCACGAGTCCACCCAGGAACTGGAGTTCCGTCAGCTGGGGGCGGTGCAGCGTACGCGGGCCGACCTGATCCGCACGCAGCACCAGACGGAGCTCACCAACCAGATGGAGTACAACAAGAGGAGGGAGCAGGAGCTCCGGCAGAAACACACCGTGGAGGTCCGCCAGCAGCCCAAGAGCCTCAAGGTAAGGATAGGATAGTATACGATGAACTTTGGGCTGTGGTGGAGGAACAGAGAAAGGGAAGCGGGAGCTAGTGGGCTAATCTGGCTTGCATCCCTGTTCTCCACCGTCTCCCCAAAGTGTGCACACTTAGGGACAAGGGTGGACAATCGGACGTAGCCTATGTGGGGCGCTAGAAGGGAATTGGGGATCAAGGGGTATTCTTTTTGACCCCGAACCCATTCTGCTCACTCCCCCCCTCTCCTTCCTTCCCTCACTCCCCCCTCTCCTTCCTTCCCTCACTGCCCCCTCTCCTTCCTTCCCTCACTGCCCCCTCTCCTTCCTTCCCTCACTCCCCCCTCTCCTTCCTTCCCTCACTCCCCCCTCGCCTTCCTTCCCTCACTCCCCCCTCGCCATCCTTCCCTCACTCCCCCCTCGCCTTCCTTCCCTCACTCCCCCCTCTCCTTCCTTCCCTCACTCCCCCCTCTCCTTCCTTCCCTCACTTCCCCCTCTCCCTCCTTCCCTCATTCCTCCTCCCTGCCTCACCCCCCCCCCCCCTTTCCCTCATTTCCCCCTCTCATCCCCTCCCTCCCTCATTCCCCCCTCTCATTCCCTCTCTCCCTCATTCCCTCTCTCCTTTCTCCCCTATCCCAGTCCAAGGAGCTCCAGATCAAGCGTCAGTTCCAGGACACGTGTAAGATCCAGACGCGTCAGTACAAGGCCCTGAGGAACCACCTGTTGGAGAGCACTCCCAAGGCCGACCACAAAGCGGTGCTCAAGAGGCTGAAGGAGGAGCAGACCAGGAAACTGGCCATCCTGGCCGAGCAGTACGACCACTCCATCAACGACATGCTGTCCACACAGGCTGTGAGTAAGGCAAGGACCCTACCGTGCACCTCTCCTACACCTGACAACTACGACGACGCTATACTACAAAACAACTATACACACACGCAGACCCACACAAAGACACGCACACACTGCAGATAACACCAACTATACATCAACTACACACACACATACATATTAAACCAGCTACACCAAAAATGTATTCCAACAAATTTCAGTTCAACAAACAGACTACGTCCATGCTAAACTCTAGAACTACTAAAATTACAAATTAGGACTACAAATCCCACATTTTGAGTGGTAGACATCCCCAAACCGTCCATTAGGCCAGGGTGTGCTCTACTGACGTCCAGCCCTCCCACTCTTCCTCCTCTAGCTGCGATTGGATGAGACCCAGGAAGCAGAGTACCAGGTGCTGCGAATGCAGCTGCAGCAGGAGTTGGAGCTGCTAAACGCTTACCAGAGCAAGATCAAGATCCACACAGACTCCCAGCACGAGAGAGAGGCCAAGGACCTGGAGCAAAGGGTGTCTATCCGCAGGGCCCTGCTGGAACAGAGGGTGAGAGCGAGATGGAGAGAGGGGGTGGAGGGTTGTCTGAAGGGATTATGTGTGTGTGTGTGTGTGTGTGTGGAAGGGTGTTAAAAAGTGTTAAACAAATCAAAATATATTTTATATTTGAGATTCTTCAAATAGCCACCCTTTGCCTTTATGACAGCTTTGCACACTCTTGGCATTTTCTCAACCAACTTCACCTGGAATGCTTTTCCAACAGTCTTGAAGGAGTTCTCACATATGCTGAGCACTTGTTGGCTGCTTTTCCTTCACTCTGCGGTCCAACTCATCCCAAACCATCTCAATTTGGTTGAGGTCGGGGGATTGTGGAGGCCAGGTCATCTGATGCAGCACTCCATCTCCTTCTTGGTAAAATAGCCCTTACACAGCCTGAAGGTGTGTTGGGTCATTGTCCTGTTGAAAAACATGATAGTCCCACTAAGCCCGTATCACTGCAGAATGCCGTGCTAGCCATGCTGGTTAAGTGTGCCTTGAATTCTAAATAAATCACACAAATCACCCCCACACCATAACACCTCCTCCTCCATGCTTTACGGTGGGAAATACACATGCGGAGATCATCCGTTCACCCACACCGCGTCTCACAAAGACACGACGGTTGGATCCAAAAATCTCCAATTTGGACTCATCAGACCAAAGGACAGATTTCCACAGATCTAATGTCCATTCTTGTGTTTCTTGACCCAAGCAAGTCTCTTCTTCTTATTGGTGTCCTTTAGTAGTGGTTTCTTTGCAGCAATTCGACCACGAAGGCCTGATTCACGCAGTCCCCTCTGAACAGTTGATGTTGAGATGTGTCTCTTACTTGAACTCTGAAGCGTTTATTTGGGCTGCAATTTCTGAGGCTGGTAACTCTAATGAACTTATCCTCTGCAGCAGAGGTAAATCTGGGTCTTCCATTCCTGTGGCGGTCCTCATGAGAGCCAGTTTCATCATAGCGCTTGATTGTTTTTCAACTGCACTTGAAGAAACTTTCAAAGTTCTTGAAATGTTCCGTATTGACTGACCTTCATGTCTTAAAGTAATGATGGGCTGTCATTTCTCTATGCTTATTTGAGCTGTTCTTGCCATAATATGGACTTGGTCTTTTACCAAAAAGGGTTATCTTCTGTATACCCCCCCTACCTTGTCACAACACAACTGATTGGCTCAAAGCATTATTTATTTTTTAAGGCACACCTGTTAATTGAAATGCATTCCAGGTGACTACCTCATGAAGCTGGTTGAGAGAATGCCAATAGTGTGCAAAGCTGTCATCAAGGGAAAGGGTGGCTATATGAAGAATCTCAAATATTAAATATTTAACCAAAAACACTTTTTTGGTTACTACATGATTCCATATGTGTTATTTCAAAGTTTTGATGTCTTAGCTATTATTCTACAATGTAGAAAATAGGAAAAATTAAGAAAACCCCTTGAATGAGTAGGTGTTCTAAAACTTTTGGCCGGTAGTGTACATGACACCAAAAAGGATAGGCCACTTAAAAGATTATTGGGACACAACCAGTTTGTAGTCTTATTGCATTTTTCTCTCCTTCTCTCCCCCTCTCTCTCTGTCTCTCTCCTTCTCCTCTCTCTCTCTCTCCCTTAGATTGAGGAAGAGATGCTGTCTCTGCAGAACGAGCGTTCAGAGCGTATCCGTACTCTACTGGAACGCCAGGCCCGGGAGATCGAGTCATTTGACTCGGAGAGCATGCGTCTTGGCTTCAGCAACATGGCTCTGACGGGCATCCCCGCTGAGGCCTTCAACCAGGGCTACCCCAATCCCAGCCCCTCCTCTGGCCCCGGGGGCTGGCCCTCCCGCCCTGTCCCTCGCTCCGGGAGCCACTGGAGCCACGGCGTGCAGAACTCGGTGGCGCCCCCTTCGTGGCGTAGCCAGAACAGCTGCAGCGGTGGAGAGTTCAGCCGTGCCGAGTCGATCACTTCGTCTCACGGCCTGGGGAGGGATAGTGAGATGAACATGAGTGGTAGAGGCCACTCCTCCAACTCCTCGTCTTCCTCCTCTTCCTCGTCCTCCCACCATCACCATCACCAGCAGCAACAACACTACCTCCCCCAGCACTACCACCACCACCACCACCACCAGAGTACGCCACACCTGTACCGAGAGAGCCGCGAGCGTGAGGACCGCGAGAGGGAGAGGGACAGGGAGAGAGAGTGGGGGGGAGGAGGAGGACACCACCACCACCACGGGGGAGGAGTTCATCATCACCACCACCTCTCCCAACACGCCTCAGCCCAGTCCCTGGCTCTCCTGCCACCTCCGCCTCCCCCACCACCCATCTCCCTCTACTCCTCCTCCCCACCCTCCTCCTCCTCCTCCTCGTCTTCCCAGGGAGGGGGCTACGGGGGTCTGGTGGCCAGGGGCCCCAGCCTGATGGCCCTGAGGAACAGCCCCCAGCCCCTGAGGAGGACGGCCTCAGGGGGGCCCGGCGGGGCAGGTGGGGGCGACGGGGGTCTTAGCCGGAGCACCTCGGTCACCTCACACATCTCCAACGGCTCCCACCTCTCCTACTCTTAAAGGGGAAGGGCAATGATGGGCTCCACCCCTCAGTCTTAAAGGGGCGGGGTGAGAGAACAAACCAAGCCTGCCCCTTCTCAGAGGCTGCGTCTGAAACGACACCCTAACCCTCGTATGGGGAATAGGGTGTCGTTTGAGATATGCCTCTACTCACTGCTGATGCATTGAGTAGTGGGGGGGGTTTGAATGTCCCCACCCCCTCTTCTACAAGAGTGTTTGTTCATGAAGGGGGTGGTGCTAAAACAGGTTTACCACCACAAAGGGTGGAGCCAAAGCAGGTCCACCCTTCCTATTGTTCAAGGGGGTTCTTATTATTGGGATGAGGTCATCTCTCTCACGAATTCAGGGGAGGGGTTTATATTAGGGAGGGGGCGGGGCTATTAACAATGAGGTCAGACACAGCTGGCCACCAGTAGGGGTCAGTAGCGCAGACTAGCTGCTTAGAGTAGACCGACATCATAGAGTATTACAATGTCTGCACAGACAGACAGGAGGGATACAAGTGGGAGGAAACAGCCGTTTTAAAGGGGAGTTTTTAACAGTAGTAGGTGTCTTTGCTGACATCAAACTTAGAGAGACGAATGGATGTGGAGATAAAACTCAATTAGAAGAGGGTGCTTTAAAATGGTGTAAACTATGTAAATAATGCAGAAACTAAGACGTGAAGCATACTAGTTAATGATGTGTCATATACTGTACATTTGTGGTGAAGCAAGGAGCTGAACCACAAGAGGCAACAACAGAAACAGTTGGGGGTTTTTGGTAATAGGATTTTCAAATATATGACAAATGTAACACTGCCATCCGGTGGCTCGGCTGACCCAAGACAACTCTGCCACTGCCGAGCAATAATTTCCCAGTGAACATTCTGAAAGTGTGTGTGTGTACAGCGCTGAATGCTCGCTTAGTTTTTTCACCCTTGACCCATTCCTGGACACACAGCCTGGTAGGTGTGTGTAGATGTGCATAAAACAGTTTTTACAGTTCAATGCATGAAAGTGATGTACAGAAGTATTTGTATTCATACATGTTTATAGAAATGCATATAAGTATATACCTGTCAGAAGTTTGACAGTAAAATTGAAGATTGTTCACTGTCCAACACCTTTGTCCTACATTGTACTTATAAAGTGTACATAAAAGCACTAACTCTGAAACGCTGGTAGAATAATAATGATAATTTTGCCAAGTTATAGAAATTGGAAAATAGTTTTGAGGAAAAATAGATATGGTTGCTATTATTATTATTACTACTACAGCAGTTGTAATGTTTGTTGTACACTAATTTTGTTTAAAAAAAAAAAAAATTTTTAAAATGTTTTAATTGCCAATTTTGACCACTAGGTGGGGAGTAAGAGCAATGTTACTGTGATGGAGCGCTATGGAAAAAATCTATTGTTTTTATTCTTTTTTTTTAAGAGAAGAAAAGACTACCTTTCCCCAAGCATTCCCTCTATGGTCTCAGGGTCGGAGTCTACTGGGCAGTGCATTGCCACAAAAGGTCGTAGGGTTATAGAGCCAGTATTAAATGTGGACGGGGCCGTTCATGTTTTTAGCTGTATGTAGGAATATATTGAATTCTAGACTTACCATACAGTGTCTCCTAAAGTCAGCCTCTGTAATCCAGCACGTTTTGTGCCATATTGTACCTCACTCTTCTTGTGGTTCATGTTGATACAGACCAGCCAAGCTTGCTGATTGTACACTACAGTACACATCCTATACACTACTACACTCCACCAAAAATACTCTGATTTTGTTGGTTTAATTTATTTGGTCTTTAAATATATATATAAACAGCCAAGAACAAGCAAGTGCATACATTATAAATAGCTTGGGGTCTGTGTGAATATTACATTTTGTCCTTCCTTTCCTCGCGCCTTCCTTTCTGGAAGATATTTCTGGATAGAACAGGATTGGATTGAAGCGAAGTGTCCCACTCTTATGCTTTCACCTTCCCACTCATCATTAGTCAATCAGCAGTCGAGTAAGAGAAAGCAATGAGCCATTTTAAAGTATTCTAACCGAGCCCAGGATCTCTTGTGTAGAGAATCATCTACCATTGGCTCCTAAACTCACACTGCCAACTCTCAACAGCACCAACATTACAACAAAATGATGGGGTGGGAAACATTGGTCTCCAGTGGTGCATTTCAATACTCTAACCTCTGTTACCTCAAGACACATCTGGGGTGGTTTACTTCAGTTTACATGTCGTTCACTACGGAACATGCTGGATTCGTTTTCAGAGGCTGTGATTGTTAAGACTAGGGCATGGAGACAGAGCGGACAGGACAGAGAATGTGTGATGTCGCTGCCCACTTGTAGTGCTGATGTACGCTTAGAGGGGTGGGTCTCAATAGTCAAGTAGTTCCTTTTCCTTGTTTCATCCCCTTCACCGGCATATAGAAAACACAGCACAAGTGAAAGGACTGCATGTTGGAAATTCACTTTAACCTGTCCTTTCGCGTCATTGCAAACAAAGGAGAGATGAGGAGGGGACTCAAGACTATTGAGACACCTCAGTTGGTGGGGCAGGGCAACGGTGATAATGGATGAGAGAGAATCTGATAGAAAGAGGAGGAATGGATGTGTGTGTGGTCGGATATAGGACTGTTGTACAGAGAGAGGCCAAGTTACGTTCAGGTTCAATGCAAAGTGGAGCGGAAGTCTGCTACAGATTTTGTTGTACAGAAACAAGTAATTTTGAAAAATAAAAAAAAAGGAAAAATGACTTCTTGAGGCTGTCTTCATTTGTACGGACTTGGTTGGATTGTGTATGAGTTCAAAACAATGCCCACAAACTACATTAGTTGGTATAACTAACCATGAAAGATGTAAGGTAAAGATTATATTTTGTGCATCCTTTAAAAGGAATTTGACTTGGTGAAAACCACTCCAGGGCCCATAGGAGTGCTGATCTAGGATCAGGTCCCCCCTGTCCATCTAATCTTATTCATTATGATCTAAAACGTGTAACTGATTCTAGATCAGCACTCATGAGATTCTTTATGAATACGACCAGAAGAAGGGTTGGTTTCATTCAGCCTACTCATGAAGGGTTGGTTTCATTCAGCCTACTCCTGGACCAAATTGATTTATCAGTTCAAGAAGGCCAGGAGTGTTAAAAAGGCTCTTACAGACCACGATTGACCAGCCAACGTACCAATCGCTGCTCCCATGTGTCCTCTTAATTACCTTGCTGGTGCCCGCCTACTGGGCGTGGCTAATCTGATAAAGAGATTGAAATGGACACATGGGAGCAGAGCTAGCAACGAAGACGTGTGGGCATAAAATAATGTAAGTAGCTCTATTTGAGAGTTGATAGTGGAGTTTGCAGGGGTTGATGTTTGTACTCATTCATGTGCATTTGCATGCTAGACTAATTACACTGAACAAAAATACAAACGCAACATGTAAAGTGTTGGTCCCATGTTTCATGAGCTGAAATAAAAAATCCCAGACATTTGCCAGATGCACAAAAAGCTTATTTCTCTCATGTTGTGCAGAAATGTGTTTACATTCCTATTAGTGAGCGTTTCTCCTTTGCCAAGATAATCCATCCACCTGACAGGTGTGGCATATCAAGAAGCTGATTAAACAGTGATCATTACACAGATGCACCTTGTGCTGGGGACAATAAAAGGCCACTTAAAAATTTGCATTTTAATGCCACAGATGTCTCAAGTTTTGCAGGAGCATGTAATTGGCATGCTGACTGCAGGAATGTCCACCAGAGCTGTTGCCAGATAATTTAATGTTAAGTTACACTGCCAGGTCTCTGACCTCCTCCCTATAGGCTGTCTCATCGTTGTCGGTGATCAGGCCTACCACTGTTGTGTCGTCAGCAAACTTAATGATGGTGTTGGAGATGTGCTTGGCCACGCAGTTGTGGGTGAACGGGGAGTACAGGAGGGGACTAAGCACGCACCCCTAAAGGGGCCCTGTGTTGAGGATCAGCGTGGCAGATGTGTTGTTGCCTACCCTTTCCACCTGGGGGCGGCCCGTCAGGAAGTCCAGGATCCAGTTGCAGAGGGAGGTGTTTAGTCCCAGGGTCCTTAGTTTAATGATGAGTTTTGTGGGCACTATGGTGTTGAATGCTGAGCTGTAGTCAATGAACAGCATTCTCACATAGGTGTTCCTTTTGTCCAGGTGGGAAAGGGCAGTGTGTTTGTAGCCCTCTGCTAATGCTTTGGCTACACAGGGGCCTTACAGTCTGATGCCATTGTCTCTCATTACAGTCCTTATTGTGCAGATGGTTAATATTTTACTGGTATAATTGTATGCTACGGTGACAGTGCCTTTCCCACATGTTGGTCATTTCCAGGCCCAGTGCTTTATCCTAGCCTTCTAGCATACCTGACATGGCTAACGCTAGCTTCAGGTTCTACCTGGTCCTGCTTACTATTTAGGCGTCAATGTTCATTGATACAGTGCCTTGCAAAAGTATTCATCCCTCTTGGCGTTTTTCCTATTTTGTTGCATTACAGCCTGTAATTTAAATTGATTTTTATTTGGATTTCATGTAATGGACATACACAAAATAGTCCAAATTGGTGAAGTTAAATGAAAAAAAACTTGTTTAAAAAAATTCTAAAAAATAAATTAAGGAAAAGTGGTGCGTGCATATGTATTCACCCCCTTTGCTATGAAGCCCCTTTAATAAGATCTGGTGCAACCAATTACCTTCAGAAGTCGCATAATTAGTAAAGTCCACCTGTGTGCAATCTAATTATCACATGATCTCAGTATCTATACACCTGTTCTGAAAGGCCCCAGAGTCTGCAACACCACTAAGCAAAGGGCACCATCAAGCAAGCGGCACCATGAAGACCAAGGAACTCTCCAAACAGGTCAGGGACAAAGTTGTGGAGAAGTACGGATCAGGGTTGGGTTATAAAAAAATATCAGAAACTTTGAACATCCCACGGAGCACCATTAAATCCATTATTAAAAAATTGGAAAGAATATGGCACCACAACAAACCTGCCAAGAGAGGGCCGCCCACCAAAACTCACGGACCAGGCAATGAGGGCATTAATCAGAGGCAACAAAGAGACCAAAGATAACCCTGAAGGAGCTGCAAAGCTCCACAGCGGAGATTGGAGTATCTGTCCATAGGACCACTTTAAGCCATACACTCCACAGAGCTGGGCTTTACAGAAGAGTGGCCAGAAAAAAGCAATTGCTTAAAGAAGAAAATAAGCCAACACGTTTGGTGTTTGTCAAAAGGCATGTGGGAGACTCCCCAAACATATGGAAGAAGGTACTCTGGTCATATGAGACTAAAATTGAGCTTTTTGGCCATCAAGGAAAATGCTATGTCTGGCGCAAACCCAACACACTGTATGTGATTCAGGCACTGCAATATTATGCATGTTTAGCTTTATGCATGTTTATCTTCATAGTGTGGAATTGAGAACATTATTTACTGTATATAGCTTAAATTGTGCAATTATGTATTGGCCTAATTGCCTTGAATAGCCTTTTGTGTGTAACTTTGCACGGTTAATTCTATTTCCATTTCTCTTTCCTCCTAGAAACCACACACCCTGTTGAAAAAGTACCCAAAGTGAACCGGAGTGTGTAGTGGTGCCTGGAGAAGTGGGTATACTCTAATTTTGCACAAGGAAAAATCCAAACTGCCCGCCCGGCAAAAGGAAAGCCGCCCTGTGTGAAATATTCTGAGAAACAGTGACATACACTCTGATATTGGTCTTTCACAGTCAGGCCAACCCAAGCTGTGCTGTGCAGTAGGCTAATTTTAGGCCTACTATTAAACTGATAAACTGAGTTAGAAATTCACAGGTTTCAGATTTTCCCCAATTTTTCAGGTTTTCGTTCTCAAAGTCATGCTTTATTTTAAGAGAAAAACAACAACATTGTACAGTGCATTCGGAAAGTATTCAGACCCCTTGACTTTTTCCACATTTTGTTACATTACAGGTTTATTCTAAAATGGATTAAATAAATAATGTCCCTCATCAATCTACACACAATACCCCATAATGACAAAGCGAAAACAGGTCTTTAGAAATGTTTGCACATTTATAAAAATAAATGGAAATACCTTAGTTACATAAGTATTCAGACACTTTGCTATGAGATTCGAAATTGAGCTCAGGTGCATCCTGTTTCCATTGATCATCCTTGAGATGTTTCTACAACTTGATTTGAGTCCACCTGTGGTAAATTCAATTGACTGGACATGATTTGGAAAGGCACACACTTGTCTATATAAGGTTCCACAATTGACAGTGCATGTCAGAGCAAAAACCAAGCCATGAGGTCGAAGGAATTGTCTGCAAAACAGCTCCGAGACAGGATTGTGTCGAGGCACAGATCTGGGGAAGGATACCAAAACATTTCTGCAGCATTGAAGGTCCCCAAGAACACAGTGGCCTCCACCATTCTTAAATGGAAGAAGTCTGGAACCACCAAGACTCTTCCTAGAGCTGGCTGCCTGGCCAAACTGAGCAATCGGTGGAGAAGGGCCTTGGTCAGGGAGGTGACCAAGAACCCAATGGTCATTCTGACAGAGCTCCAGAGTTCCTCTGTGGAGATGGGAGAAACTTCCAGAAGGACAACCATCTCTGTAGCACTCCACCAATCAGGCCTTTATGGTAGAAGAGCCAGACGGAAGCCACTTCTCAGTAAAAGGAACATGACAGCTCACTTCGAGTTTGCCAAAAGGCACCTAAAGGACTCTGACCATGAGAAACAAGATTCTCTGGTCTGCTGAAACCAAGATTGAACTCTTTGGCCTGAACGCCAAGTGTCACGTCTGGAGGAAACCTGGCACCCATCCTACGGTGGAGCATGGTGTGGCGCAGCCTCAATGCTTGTGGGTATGTTTTTCAACGGCCGGGCTGGGGACTAGCGAGTAGGGAAACGATTGAACAGAGCCAAGTACAGAGAGCTCCTTGATGAAAACCTGCTCCAGAGTGTCAGGACTTCGATGGGGAGAAGGGTTCACCTTCCAACAGGACACCGGACCCTAAGCACACAGGCCAAGACAAACATGTACATTTAACATTTAATAATTTAGCAGACGCTTCGATCCAGAGGACTTCAGAGCAATTAGGGTAGTGCCTTGTCAAGGGCACATCGACAGATTTTCACCTAGTCGGCTCGGGGATTAGGAACCAGCGACCTTGCGGTTTACTGGCACAACGCTCTTACCCACTAAGCTACCTTGCCGCCCCCACAAATGTAGTGGTTTCGGGGACAAGTCTCGAATTTCTGAGTGGCCCCAGCCTGAGCCCGGACTTGTGAAACCGATTGAACATCTCTGGGAGCAGACCTGAAAATAGCTGTGAAGTGACGCGCCCCATCCACCTGGCAGAGCTTGAGAGGATCTGCAGAGAAGATGGGAGAAACTCTCCAAATACAGGTTGGTTCCAAGCTATGTATAGTGTCATATCCAAGAAGACTCGAGGCTGGTTATTGCATGCCAAAGGTGCTTCAACAAAGTGCTGAGTAAAGGATCTGAATACTTATGTAAATGTGATATTTCCGATATTATTATTATTTATTTTTAAACCTGTTTTTGCTTTGTAATTATGGGGTATTGTGTGTAGTCCATAACAATGCTTAAACCACATCAGGAGACCACTTTTGAGCTCTGGGAAAAATCTAAGACATTTTGTGCAGGCACTATTGTTTGCTAAATAAATGGCCACTGGATTGACGCAAATAATCATGATATTAGTACTTTGTAGCTAGTTAACATTTAATAGAGAAAGTTTTTTCTTTCCATCTACCAGAAGAATGTTATCATTAGCATCGCTATATTTTTTCTGTTCCAAGGCTGTTCCTTAATTGTTTGAAACCTGGACGTTTTACTTCTTATTATGAGGCATGTCTTACCTTGCTTCAAAGTAGCCTATAGCCAAAATCCAACCTTAGAAACATGGAGGCAATTATTTTTATAAAGACTTATTCATATGCGTTTCCTGTTCTATTGGTTGTCTTTCAACGTTATTTCATTGTCTAGCAGCCAAAGGCATTATCCTAATCATATTAGCAACCCATGATATTTGTTGAATCTTTAAATCCCCCTCTTTCTAACGGATATTTCCATCTCTGGCCATGAAACCGCTTGTATGTGCGGTGCGCATTTTAGAACTATGTTTTTCCCGCAAATTGCATTTTGGAACATTCACGCGTAGGCGTAGGCCTACTGCTGCGCCTAAAATGTGAATAAATTATCATTTATATACATTTGAAAAGAAACATTCCGATCTGTTCCATCAGCCCTATTAATTGATACGGCATATACCTCCACTACACTACTTTGATTAAGTGAGTATAGGCAATGCCCACTGAAAAATAAGTGGGTATACGGTGTATACCCTCCACTACACCACTGGGAGTGTGTTTTGGTGACAATAAAACCCCTTTGCCCAGACATCCTTTGGCTCTGTTCTTGCCGGACATCCCTGTGGTCCTTCACATGTCCCTGAGTCAGTACATAGTGTTTAATAGAGGTCATCCAGATCCTTTCCGTTTTTACAACTAGTACAGTAATTGATTTCAGGCACAAGTGTACAGGCCACTGACAGACCAAATCGTATTATAGGCCAGGGGTATAGGGCCACACATTGTAGAGATTTACAAGAATCCTTTAAAGCCCTGAAATAGCCAAGAGTGTTAATTTGCTTACCTATTTTGACTGAGAACATGGTCATTGCCAGCTGTTATTTGCAGTGCAAATTGAGTTTGCAGTCATTTACCGTATGTACATGGATAATTCATACAGTAACAGCAAGTAGGACACTCATGCATGCATACGATGTGCCCTCATAAGCCAAAAATAGCTTGATTTCTTGTCCCCTGTCCTTGATGATGAAGACCGAAATAATGTCCCAAATGGTACCTTATTCCCTATTTAGTGCACTACTTTTGACCCAAGGCCCATAGCGCTCTGGTCAAATGTAGTGCACTATATAGGGGAATATGGTGCCATTTGGGATGATATACAATTAAAGGGGAGGTGCCTAGTTGTGCGTTTCACCGGAAGTCTGACGTCGCACAGTATTCTGTCAGAAAAAAATTATCTACATTCGAACAAATCAGAAGGGTAGCTAAAGCTACACGAGTGGAATAAGACAAATATTGTCGTTTGTCGAAAATACGTTAACCTCTATCGAAAACCCCTGAAGACCACTGTAATGGCCGAGGAAAACATATTCCTTTTCGTTCCGAATTTGATCGGTGAGTTTCTGTTCACATGGATGGTTCCAATTAAATGAAAACTGTCTAAAATGTACTAGATTACTTTAGCAAATTAGCAGCTAGCTAGCTACAGTAGGTGTAATCAGCCTAGTCAATCGTAGTATAATTTTGTCTGTCTGTTTTGATAATAGCCAGTATTGCCATCATGAATTGAATTGGCTATTATATTCACGATACAAGTAGCTATATAGAGATGACTAGTAGTGTAGTGAGGGAGCCAGTGCCAGCCACCTGTATCATCATAAGGATTGTATTGGGTGCCAGACCAGGGTAGGTTAAATACTATTTTAATTCATTTCAAATACTTTATCTGGGCTTGATTGAGCTTGACTGGCAAAATGGAACCAAAAGTTGGAAAAGTAAACATCTCGCCCCTCTGGCACGCAAGGAAAACAAGCGCTAAAACGCGATTTAAAATATATAATTTAAACCCAAATCGGATGGGGGCCTCTACATATCAGTCCTGTCAGGTCTAGGCTTCTTATGACTCATATTACTATCTTAGGATGGGAATGTTTTCTGTAGAGCTTCCAGAAATTCTTTAAGATTATGTAGCTTTCTAGAATGCCTGGAGACCTTTTCTCAGAGAGGGCGAAGGCATCTCTTGAAAGGTCTCTTGTCTAGCTATGGCTCAGTGTGTTGTCACATTGGGCTTGCGAAATCAAGCCATCTGAAAAGTATGTTTTTATCACCACCACCTCTCTTCACCCATCCCTTGGCCCTCCTCTCCTTTCCCCTCCTCTCTCCCATCTCCCCCTCTTCTCTCCTCTCTCTCATCCGATCCTATCCTCTCTGTTAGGCTATGCCCGCATCGTGCTGGCTCTGCTTGCCTTCTACCTGATGCCATGCTGTCCAGTACCAGCTGTGTTCTTCTACCTGCTCAGTGCCCTCCTGGATGCCTTTGATGGGCACGCCGCCCGCGCCCTCAACCAAGGTACCACTATTACTACAATTCATATGTCGTTTTTACCCTGTGATAGATTCAACCCATGATAGATTTATTCAGAATCTCTGGTCTCAGAGTCGGAGGTATTGAGCGTTGTGCTAATATCAAAAATACTTATAAGGGTGCTGTCCACTAAAGGTAAATAATGATTAGGCTACCTGATGAAATGATAAGGACGGGCTGCGCTCCATGTTATCCATAATATTTTTTTACAAAAAAAATTATAATTACAGAAATTAGAAATGTGGAAATTGGTCATCACAGGGAAGATGGATCGTGTGTGTTCGTGCGTGTCGAGCCTGTCTGTGTGCACAAGCAGCTAATCCCTACCTAGGTCCATATCAAAAAGTCACCATGACATGAGACAGGAGAACACTTTTTTCCAACAAACTTAGTATTAGGTGGGTACAATGAAAGTTCCATGTTGGATTGTAAAAGCGTCCATATTGTTCTGGATGTCTGTGAAGTACGTCTTAGCCCCGTTGATGTCGTTGTTTGTTGTGAAAATTGGCGACCAAAATCCTTTACTTGACAGTACTTCAGATCACGGCTATGAAAATCAACAGAATTACTACTCCACTTATTCTGCTCTATGTATTGAACCCAGCAGTAAGTACCAATCATAGTCGACTCAACATCCAAATGGAGTTTAGATTCCAGGTAGACCTTGTACTCCATCAGCTTCTGTGGATCCTTACATTTACATTTACATTTACGTCATTTAGCAGACGCTCTTATCCAGAGCGACTTACAAATTGGTGCATTCACCCTATAGCCAGTGGGATAACCACTTTACAATACTTTTTTTTTTTTTTTTTTTTGGGGGGGGGGGGGGGGGGGGGGGGGTAGAAGGATTACTTTAACCTATCCCAGGTATTCCTTAAAGAGGTGGGGTTTCAAATGTCTCCGGAAGGTGGTGAGTGACTCCGCAGTCCTGGCGTCGTGAGGGAGCTTGTTCCACCATTGGGGTGCCAGAGCAGCGAACAGTTTTGACTGGGCTGAGCGGGAACTATGCTTCCGCAGAGGAAGGGGAGCCAGCAGGCCAGAGGTGGATGAACGCAATGCCCTCGTTTGGGTGTAGGGACTGATCAGAGCCTGAAGGTACGGAGGTGCCGTTCCCCTCACTGCTCCATAGGCAAGCACCATGGTCTTGTAACGGATGCGAGCTTCAACTGGAAGCCAGTGGAGTGTGCGGAGGAGGGGGGTGACGTGAGAGAACTTGGGAAGGTTGAACACCAGACGGGCTGCGACATTCTGGATGAGTTGTAGGGGTTTAATGGCACAGGCAGGGAGCCCAGCCAACAGCGAGTTGCAGTAATCCAGACGGGAGATGACAAGTGCCTGGATTAGGACCTGTGCCGCTTCCTGTGTAAGGCAGGGTCGTACTCTCCGAATGTTGTAGAGCATGAACCTGCAGGATCGGGTCACCGCCTTGATGTTAGCGGAGAACGACAGGGTGTTGTCCAGGGTCACGCCAAGGCTCTTCGCACTCTGGGAGGAGGACACAACGGAGTTGTCAACCGTGATGGCGAGATCATGGAACGGGCAGTCCTTCCCCGGGAGGAAGAGCAGCTCCGTCTTGCCAGGGTTCAGCTTGAGGTGGTGATCCGTCATCCATACTGATATGTCTGCCAGACATGCAGAGATGCGATTCGCCACCTGGTTATCAGAAGGGGGAAAGGAGAAGATTAGTTGTGTATCGTCAGCGTAGCAATGATAGGAGAGGACATGTGAGGATATGACAGAGCCAAGTGACTTGGTGTATAGGGAGAAAAGGAGAGGGCCTAGAACTGAGCCCTGGGGGACACCAGTGGTGAGAGCACGTGGTGCGGAGACAGCTTCTCGCCACGCCACTTGGTAGGAGCGACCGGTCAGGTAGGACGCAATCCAGGAGTGAGCCGCGCCGGAGATGCCCAGCTCGGAGAGGGTGGAGAGGAGGATCTGATGGTTCACAGTATCAAAGGCAGCAGACAGGTCTAGAAGGACAAGAGCAGAGGAGAGAGAGTTAGCTTTAGCAGTGCGGAGAGCCTCCGTGACACAGAGAAGAGCAGTCTCAGTTGAATGACCAGTCCTGAAACCTGACTGGTTTGGATCAAGAAGATCATTCTGAGAGAGATAGCAAGAGAGTTGGCTAAAGACGGCACGCTCAATAGTTTTGGAAAGAAAAGAAAGAAGGGATACTGGTCTGTAGTTGTTGACATCAGTGGGATCGAGTGTTGGTTTTTTGAGAAGGGGTGCAACTCTCGCTCTCTTGAAGACGGAAGGGACATAGCCAGCGGTCAAGGATGAGTTGATCAGCGAGGTGAGGTAGGGGAGAAGGTCACCGGAGATGGTCTGGAGAAGAGAGGAGGGGATGGGGTCAAGCGGGCAGGTTGTTGGGCGGCCTGCAGTCACTAGTCGCAAGATTTTATCTGGAGAGAGAGGGGAGAAAGAAGTCAAAGCATAGGGTAGGGCAGTGAGAGCAGGACCAGCAGTGTCATTAGACTTAACAAACGAGGATCGGATGTCGTCAACCTTCTTTTCAAAGTGGTTGACGAAGTCAGCCACAGAGAGGGAGGAGGGGGGGGGGGGGGGGGAGGATTCAGCAGTGAGGAGAATGTGGCAAAGAGCTTCCTAGGGTTAGAGGCAGATGCTTGGAATTTAGAGTGGTAGAAAGTGGCCTTAGCAGCAGAAACAGATGAAGAAAATGTAGAGGAGGGAGTGAAAAGATGCCAGGTCGGCAGGGAGTTTAGTTTTCTTCCATTTCCGCTCAGCTGCCCGGAGCTCTGTTCTGTGAGCTCGCAATGAGTCATCAAGCCACAGAGCTGGAGGGGAGGACCGAGCCGGCCGGGAGGATAGGGGACACAGGGAGTCAAAGGATGCAGAAAGGGAGGAGAGGAGGGTTGAGGAGGCAGAATCAGGAGATTGGAGGGAGAAGGATTGAGCAGAGGGAAGAGATGATAGGATGGAAGAGGAGAGAGTAGTGGGAGAGAGAGAGCGAAGGTTGCGGCGGCGCGTTACCATCTGTGTAGGGGCAGAGTGAGTAGTGTTGGAGGAGAGCGAGAGAGAAAAGGATACAAAGTAGTGGTCGGAGACATGGAGGGGAGTTGCAGTGAGGTTAGTAGAAGAGCAACATCTAGTAAAGATGAAGTCAAGCGTATTGCCTGCCTTGTGAGTAGGGGAGGACGGTGAGAGGGTGAGGTCAAAAGAGGAGAGGAGTGGAAAGAAGGAGGCAGAGAGAAATGAGTCAAATGTAGACGTAGGGAGGTTGAAATCCCCCAAAACTGTGAAGGGTGAGCCATCCTCAGGAAAGGAACTTATCAAGGCGTCAAGCTCATTGATGAACTCTCCAAGGGAACCTGGAGGGCGATAGATGACAAGGATATTAAGCTTAAATGGGCTAGTGACTGTGACAGCGTGGAATTCAAATGAGGAGATAGACAGATGGGTTAGGGGAAAAATTGAGAATGACCACTTGGTAGAGATGAGGATTCCTGTGCCACCACCCCTCTGACCAGATGCTCTCGGGGTATGCGAGAACACATGGTCAGACGAGGAGAGAGCAGTAGGAGTAGCAGTGTTTTCAGTGGTAATCCATGTTTCCGTCAGCGCCAGGAAGTCGAGGGACTGGAGGGTAGCATAGGCTGGGATGAAGTCAGCCTTGTTGGCAGCAGAACGGCAGTTCCAGAGGCTGCCTGAGACCTGGAACTCCAGGTGTGTGGTGCGTGCAGGGACCACCAGGTTAGAGAGGCAGCAGCCATGCGGTGTGAGGCGTTTGTGTAGCCTGTGCGGAGAGGAGAGAACAGGGATAGGCAGAGGCATAGTTGACAGGCTGTAGCAGATGGCTACAATAATGCAGAGGAGATCGAAATGAACTAAACATCTGGGAAAGGAGAGAGCAGGGCCTCCCTCACCAAAAAAATATAACTCTCCCAACTTCCACCTCAGAAACTATAATTGTTTCACTGAACCACCCGAATAAAACTCTCCCAACTTCCACTTTAGAAATTAGAATTGCTGTAAACTACAGCGGTTCAATGTTTCAAGGAATAGACTCAACTTACTTTATTCAGCTAGCTAACTATGACGCCATAGCTAACTAGCATGCTAGCATCCAATAACACACAGGTAGGTAGATGTCTACTTCGGCCCTGGCTCTGGCCGTCTTGTGGCCCGTCTCCAGTCAAGCCTGCTGGATCAGCATCTGGGAGTGGAAGGCAGCTCCGTTGACCCAGTGCATCATGGAGTGGGAGGACATCTTGTCGTCTCTTAGATATGGCATTCATTAGTGCGGTCAGGTTAAAGCTGAGCTGAGCTGACCCTCCACACGCTTGGTGTTCTCAAGGAGGAGCAGCTTGGTCTCCAGATCCATCTGCACAAGCTTCAGATACTCATCCATCCAGTTTCGCACCGCCGAGGCCTTCTCCTCGGCAAACACCGGACGCAGCATGTCCCCCGTGTCCAACGGTACCTCCTTGTTGGCTATGAGGATCACCTCTAATACCTTGAAGATGACCAGGGCTATCTGCCCCACGGCCGGCATACTGGTCAAGCCCCCCAGAGCAATGCTCAGCCTCTCCACATAGACGGAGGGCCTGGTCGGCAACATGCTCCATCATACTGGAGGAGCGGTCCTGGAGGACTGCAGTGGAGTTCAGCCCAGAGTAGTGGGTGCTGTTGATGCTCACTTCAGGTAGACCCTTGTCATATAGGGCCCTCTTGTACAGTTTGGACCACATCTTGCCCGGAGTATGACAGTCCCTGCCCCATTCCCACAGCTGTTGAACTCAAGTCTAAATCTGTGTCCGGCTTTCAGGCAATCCTGGAGAATAACAGCTAGAACGTTTCTCTCTCCTGTGTCAATTCTATTCTGTTATAAAGTAATGGCATGGTCATGAACCGGAGCTCATTAGCTGCACAAATTTCAATATTGGAGGTTGAAAGTCCTTGTCTGATGCTGATGTATCTGTTGTGTATTGGCTAAAATACTTGCTGGTTGCAACTGTAAGGTTTCATAATACTGGTAAGGAATAGGTCCAAAAGAAAAGGAAAAGCTGCACACTAGTCGTTTGATGCAATAATTTATTCATCAACGTTTCGACAGCTAAGCTGTCTTAATCAGGGTTTCATGTCAAACACTGCAGGTCACAAGCAGGTTTCCATTGGACACTTGCAGGTGTTTGTAATCACGGCTATGGCAGCAGATGATAGGCCTGTCGTTGATCAATTTCCAATTATCAACAATATATATAAAAAAAGGCATAAATGGATATCAAACGATCTTGTGAGTGTTTTAAACATGCATGAAACAGGAGTATGAAAGCGAAGGTATGTCAGAATAGACAGAGTGGAAAGGTGAAAGTCTATCTATATTTATCTTAGTGACAAGTGGGACCCTCCAGTGGTCTGCAGCCGACAGACATAAGGTTGGGCAGTATCCAGAATTGCATACAGTCATACCGTTTCTGTACCATACCGGGGTATACGGTATTTTACACACAAAACTATTTAGGCAACAGGGACCTTGATCCAGGTGTGGATTGAATGTCTCTGCTGTAACGATGAAGCTTGGTCTTGACATTTAGCCACTTAAGAAAGGAAGCAAACCAAATGCATAGCTGGATATAATTTATTTGACACATCTTAGATTTCTTATAGTTATACTTATTGTTATAAGCAGTGGCGTAGCACGCACCCCCGCAGCTCCCGTTGAAGTCGGAAGTTTACATACACTTAGGTTGGTTTCATTAAAACTCGCTTTTCAACCACTCCACAAATTTCTTTTTAACAAACTATAGTTTTGGCAAGTCGGTTAGGACATCTACTTTGTGCATGACAAGTAAATTTTCCAACAATTGTTTACAGACAGATTATTTCACTTACAATTCACTGTATCACAATTCCAGTGGGTCAGAAGTTTACATATACTAACTTGACTATGCCTTTAAACAGCTTGGAAAATTCCAGGAAATGATGTAATGACTTTAGAAGCTTCTGATAGGCTAATTGACATAATTTGAGTCAATTGGAGGTGTACCTGTGGATGTATTTCAAGGCCTACCTTCAAACTCAGTGCCTCTTTGCTTGACATCATGGGAAAATCAAAAGACCTCAGAAAAAAAATGGTAGACCTCCACAAGTCTGGTTCATCCTTGGGAGCAATTTCCAAACGCCTGAAGGTACCACGTTCATCTGTACAAACAAAAGTACGCAAGTATAAACACCATGGGACCACGCAGCCGTCATACCGCTCAGGAAGGAAACGCGTTCTGTCTCCTAGAGATGAACGTACTTTGGAGCGAAAAGTGCAAATCAATCCCAGAACAACAGCAAAGGACCTTGTGAAGATGCTGGAGGAAACAGATACAAAAGTATCTATATCCACAGTAAAACAAGTCCTATATCAACATAACCTGAAAAGCTGCTCAGCAAGGAAGAAGCCAATGCTCCAAAACCGCCACAGAGAAGTCAGACTACGGTTTGCAACTGCACATGGGGACAAAGATTGTACTTTTTGGAGAAATGTCCTCTGGTCTGATGAAACAAAAATATAACTATTTGGCCATAATGACCATCGTTATGTTTGGAGGAAAAAGGGGGTGCCTTGCAAGCCGAAGAACACCATCCCAACCGTGAAGCACAGGGGTGGCAGCATCATGCTGTGGGGGAGCTTTGCTGCAGGAGGGACTGGTGCATTTCACAAAATAGATGGCATCACGAGGAAGGAAAATTATGTGGATATTTTGAAGCAACATCTCAAGACATCAGTCAGGAAGTTAAAGCTTGGTTGCAAATGGGTCTTCCAAACGGACAATGACCCCAAGCTGTGGCAAAATGGCTTAAGGACAACAAAGTCAAGGTATTGGAGTGGCCATCACAAAGCCCTGAACTCAATTCTATAGGAAATTTGTGGGCAGAACTGAAAAAGTGTGTGCGAGCAAGGAGGCCTACAAACCTGACTCGGTTACACCAGCTCTGTCAGGAGGAATGGGCCAAAATTCACCCAACTTATTGTGGGAAGCTTGTGGAAGGCTACCCGAAACGTTTCACCCAAGTTAAACAATTTAAAGGCAATGCTACCAAATACTAATTGAGTGAATGTACACTTCTGACCCACTGGGAATGTGATGAAAGAAATAAAAGCTGAAATAAGTCATTCTCTCTACTATTATTCTGACATTTCACGTTCTTAAAATAAAGTGGTGATCCTAACTGACCTAAGACAGGGAATTTTTACTAGGATTAAATGTCAGGAATTGTGAAAAACTGAGTTTAAATGTATTTGGCTAAGGTGTATGTAAACTTCAACTGTATACAGTGTGGGGAAAAAAGTATTTTATCCCCTGCTGATTTTGTACGTTTGCCCACTGACAAAGACATGATCTGTCTATAATTTTTAATGGTAGGTTTATTTGAACAGTGAGAGACAGAATAACAACAAAAAAATCCAGAAAAAAAACGCATGTCAAAAATGTTATAAATTGATTTGCATTTTAATGAGGGAAATAAGTATTTGACCCCTCTGCAAAACATGACTTAGTACTTGGTGGCAAAACCCTTGTTGGCAATCACAGAGGTCAGACGTTTCTTGTAGTTGTCCACCAGGTTTGCACACATCTCAGGAGGGATTTTGTCCCACTCCTCTTTGCAGATCTTCTCCAAGTCATTAAGGTTTCGAGCCTGACGTTTGGCAACTCGAACCTTCAGCTCCCTCCACAGATTTTCTATGGGATTAAGGTCTGGAGACTGGCTACGCCACTCCAGGACCTTAATGTGCTTCTTCTTGAGCCACTCCTTTGTTGCCTTGGCCGTGTGTTTTGGGTCATTGTCATGCTGGAATACCCATCCACAACCCATTTTCAATGCCCTGGCTGAGGGAAGGAGGTTCTCACCCAAGATTTGACGATACATGGCCCCGTCCATCGTCCCTTTGATGCGGTGAAGTTGTCCTGTCCCCTTAGCAGAAAAACACCCCCAAAGCATAATGTTTCCACCTCTATGTTTGACGGTGGGGATGGTGTTCTTGGGGTCATAGGGAGCATTCCTCCTCCTCCAAACACGGCGAGTTGAGTTGATGCCAAAGAGCTCGATTTTGGTCTCATCTGACCACAACACTTTCACCCAGTTCTCCTCTGAATCATTCAGATGTTCATTGGCAAACTTCAGATGGGCCTGTATATGTGCTTTCTTGAGCAGGGGGACCTAGCGGGCGCTGCAGGATTTCAGTCCTTCACGGCGTAGTGTGTTACCAATTGTTTTATTGGTGACTATGGTCCTAGTTGCCTTGAGATCATTGACAAGATCCTCCCGTGTAGTTCTGGGCTGATTCCTCAACGTTCTCATGATCATTGCAACTCCGAGGTGAGATCTTGCATGGAGCCCCAGGCCGAGGGAGATTGACAGTTCTTTTGTGTTTCTTCCATATGTGAATAATCGCACCAACTGTTGTCACCTTCTCACCAAGCTGCTTGGCGATGGTCTTGTAGCCCATTCCAGCCTTGTGTAGGTCTACAATCTTGTCCCTGACATCCTTGGAGAGCTCTTTGGTCTTGGCCATGGTGGAGAGTTTGGAATCTAATTAATTGATTGCTTCTGTCGACAGGTGTCTTTTATACAGGTAACAAACTGAGATTAGGAGCACTCCCTTGTGCTCCTAATCTCAGCTCGTTACCTGTATAAAAGACACCTGGGAGCCAGAAATCTTTCTGATTGAGAGGGGGTCAAATACTTATTTCCCTCATTTAAAATGCAAATCAATTTATAACATTTTTGACATGCGTTTTTCTGGATTTCTTTGTTGTTATTCTGTCTCTCACTGTTCAAATAAACCTACCATTAAAATTATAGACTGATAATTTCTTTGTCAGTGGGCAAACGTAAAAAATTCCAGTATACGGTCTTAAAGGTACATCACCCAAGCCTAGACAGACATATTGAATACTGTATCGTGATGAATTTAGGAGTCTATGGATTGGGAGTAAAAGGATTGTGTTCTCGCTGTCATTGGTAAAACACACAGCAGGACATCACATTTTCCATACACTGAGTCGTACAGTTTGCAAATGTCTAAGCTATTTGGAGCTTCGCCAGCCAGTGGTTAAAGGTCCTGCACAGTGTTCTCTAATTCCTTTTCACATAATTTGCAGAAATAAATTTGGGTAATAATTTGTATAAATATATTTACTATACACAAATAACCTCTCCCTATCTCTCCCCTGTCCTGTAGGCACTAAGTTTGGTGCGATGTTGGACATGTTGACAGACCGCTGTGCCACCATGTGTCTCCTGGTCAACCTAGCTCTGCTTTACCCCTCCTACACCTTCCTCTTCCAGATCAGCATGAGCCTGGACATCTCCAGCCACTGGCTGCACCTGCACAGGTACATAACATAAGAGCCTAGGAGAACCATGAACTGTACATTACATACGATTTACACAAATTATAATGGATTCAGTGAATGTTTGTGTCCATTAAGTGTCTGTTTTTTTCGCCGATTTCTTTGAGTTCTATTGGGGCTCCTCACCCCTTTCACAGCCAAGTGTGTATAATTCGTTGATGTACATCCATCAGATTTATCTAGGTCAGTGTGGCTAACAGGCATTGGGTGCATCTCAATCCTCTCCTTCATTTGCACTGATTTGAAAGGAATGGACACGTGACAGCAGATTCCCAGTAGTAGGCACCCACAAATTGCTTTAGCGTGTGTTTTTTTTTTCAATGTGGATGGAGAAAAGGCTGTTTTTAGACTACTGAGATGCACCCAGGGGCATCACATGCATGTGTAATGGTGATGACACTGGTGGTGTAATGTCCTTGTACTGAATTAAAGGTTAAACCTCTCTCCCTCGAAGAGAATGAGGTATATAAACGCGATAAGATGGATATGAAAGTAGAGAGAGGAAGAGAGATATAGAGAAGATAGAGAGAGAGAGATAGAGAGCGGGAGAGAGAGGGAGATGAGAGAGGGGAGAGGAGAGAGAGATAGAGGTAGAGAAGGGATATCGTAGCAGGAGAGATAGGAGGATAGGAGAGCGTTAGTATCTCTATATAGATCAGAGAGAGGATCTATAGACGTGATATATTTCTCTCTCTCTCTCTCTCTCTATCTCTCTCTCTCTCCTCCTCTCTCTCTTCTCTCTCTCTCTTCTCTCTCTCTCCTCTCTCTCAGCTCAATGATTGAAGGGATCCACCAGCCACAAGGCCATTGATCTATCTGGAAACCCCATCCTTCGCCTCTACTACACTTCCCGGGTAAGAAATACAGTCACAAACACACCAACATGGTAATACACACACACACACCAACAAAAACACTCTTCCTTTTGCACTTTACATTAACATTTCAGTCATTTAGCAGATGCTCGTATCCAGAGTGACTTACAGGAGCAATTTGGGTTAAGTGTCTTGCTCGAGGACACATCAACAGATTTTTCACCTAGTCAGCTCGGGGATTGGAACCAGTTACTGGCCAAATGCTCTTAACCGCTAGCGTGCGCCCATGCACACATGCTTATTACATACTTTCTCTATCACACACACGCCAACAGGCTGATCTACAGTTGAAGTCGGATGTTTACATACACTTAGGTTGGAGTCATTAAAACTCACTTTTCAACCACTCCACAAATTTCTTGTTAACAAACTATAGTTTTGGCAAGTCGGTTAGGACATCTACTTTGTGCATGACACAAGTAATTTTTCCAACAATTGTTTACAGACAGATCATTTCACTTACAATTCACTGTATCACAATTCCAGTGGGTCAGAAGTTTACATACACTAAGTTGACTGTGCCTTTAAACAGCTTGGAAAATTCCAGAAAATGATGTCATGGCTTTAGAAGCTTCTGATAGGCTAATTGACATCATTTGAGTCAATTGGAGGTGTAGCTGTGGATGTATTTCAAGGCCTACCTTCAAACTCAGTGCCTCTTTGCTTGACATCATGGGAAAATCAAAAGAAATCAGCCAAGACCTCAGACACCTCTACGCAGACGACACCATTTTGTATACATCTGGCCCTTCATTGGACACTGTGTTAACAAACCTCCAAAAGAGCTTCAATGCCATACAAAACTCATTCCGTAGCCTCCAACTGCTCTTAAACGCTAGTAAAACTAAATGCATGCTCTTCAATCGAACACTGCTTGCACCCGCCCGCCCGACTAGAATCACTACTCTCGGCGGGTCTGACTTAGAATATGTGGACAACTACAAATACCTAGGTGTCTGGTTAGACCGTAAACTCTCCTTCCAGACTCACATTAAGCATTGCCAATCCAAAGTTAAATCTAGAATCGGCTTCCTATTTCGCAACAAAGCCTCCTTCACTCATGCTGCCTTTGCTTGACATCATGGGAAAATCTAAAGAAATCAGCCAAGACCTCAGAAAATAAATTGTAGACCTCCACAAGTCTGGTTCATCCTTGGGAGCAATTTGCAAACACCTGATGGTACGATGTTCATCTGTACAAACAATAGTACGCAAGTATAAACACCATGGGACCACGCAGCCGCCATACCGCTCAGGAAGGAGACGCGTTCTGTCTCCTAGAGATGAACGTACTTTGGTGCGAAAAGTGCAAATCAATCCCAGAACAACAGCAAAGGACCTTGTGAAGATGCTGGAGGAAACAGATACAAAAGTATATATATCCACAGTAAAACGAGTCATATATTGACATAACCTGAAAATCCGCTCAGCAAGGAACAAGCCACTGCTCCAAAATCGCCATAAAAAAAGCCAGACTACGGTTTGCAACTGCACATGGGGACAAAGATCGTACTTTTTGGAGAAATGTCCGCTGGTCTGATGAAACAAAAATAGAACTGTTTGGCCATAATGACCATCGTTATGTTTGGAGGAAAAAGGGGGATGCTTGCAAGCCGAAGAACACCATCCCAACCGTGAAGCATGGGGGTGGCAGCATCATGCTGTGGGGGTGCTTTGCTGCAGGAGAGACTGGTGCACTTCACAAAATAGATGGCATCATGAGGAAGGAAAATTATGTGGATATATTGAAGCAGCATCTCAAGACATCAGTCAGGAAGTTAAAGCTTGGTCGCAAATGGGTCTTCCAAATGGACAATGACCCCAAGCATACTTCCAAAGTTGTGGCAAAATGGCTTAAGTCAAGGTATTGGAGTGGCCATCACAAAGCCCTGACCTCAATCCTATAGAACATTTGTGGGCAGAACTGAAAAAGCGTGTGCGAGCAAGGAGGCTTACAAACCTGACTCAGTTACACCTGCTCTGTCAGGAGGAATGGGCCAAAATTCACCCAATTTATTGTGGGAAGCTTGTGGAAGGCTACCCGAAACGTTTCACCCAAGTTAAACAATTTAAAGGCAATGCTACCAAATACTAATTGAGTGTATGTTAACTTCTGACCCACTGGGAATGTGATGAATGAAATAAAAGCTGAAATAAATCATTCTCTCTACTATTATTCTGACATTTCACATTCTTAAAATAAAATGCTGATCCTAACTGACCTAAGACAGGGAATTCTTACTAGGACTAAATGTCAGGAATTGTGAAAAATTGAGTTTAAATGTATTTGGCTAAGGTGTATGTAAACTTCTGACTTCAACTGTAACTGCTGTCTTCCATAGCCGGTGCTGTTTGTCATGTGTATGGGGAACGAGCTCTTCTTCTGCCTGCTCTACGTCTCCTACTACATTGAGGAACCCAATGGTGAGTCTCTTCACTCTACTCTCCCCCCCCCCCTTCTTTTCTTAGTTTCTCCCGCTCTCTTTTCTCCCTTTGCATATCCTTCATTCTCCTTTCTCTCCCGCTCTTCAAATCTCTCTCAATCTCCCTCTGTAATATCCCTCCCTTCTTTCCTCTGTCTAAATACGTTGGCTTATATTCACTCACAAAAGCATAGTAATCCTATGCTAAATAGCTGATCTGTACAGCGGGGCCTACGCATTAGGAAGGGGAAATGTGGAAACAATGGACTTCTTATTTTCTCTTCTCCCTCTCTCTCTCTCCAGTGTGGCTGCAGTGGCTGCTTGGTGTCTGTGCCGTGGTGTGTGTGCTGAAGTCTGCCATCAGCGTTCTGCACCTGATCACCGCCTCCAGGAACATGGCTGCCATCGACATGTCCGACCGTGAGAGGGAGAGGAGCAAGGCCGAGTGAGAGAAGGAGAGGGGGGACCTCTTAATCCCTTGGTACGTGTGTAGATCTGAGAGGATGGGTGTAACAATTTGGTAGCAAATCCACCTTGTCCTCTGATAGGCTAGGTAGGGCTGTTGTCCTACGTTTACACCGACCCAATCCTCTCAGATCTACTTGAGTGCCTAGGGGCTAGAGGTCGAGTTAGGATTAGGCAAAGAAGAGGGAGAGAGAGAGGGTGTAGGAGGCTGTAGATGGGTGCATCTCAATAGTCTAAAATGGCTTCCTTTCCTCATGTCCTTTCCTTCCATCTGCACAGATCTGAAAACAAGGGATTGGTGAGAATAGTATAGTGGATGCCTACTAGTCAATACTGCTTACCCATCCAGTTCTCTCACATCAGACGAGAGAAAGGAAAGGAGAAGAGGAGAGGAAGCCACTTTAGACTATTGAGATGCACCCAAAAGTCTCAAATAACCCACTCTCTTAGTCACAGCACTGATAGCAAAGGACTTGAAATAGTGGGGAAATCATTGGAAAAAAACGTTAGGCAGGAGAGAATGAAATTAAGCAAGGAAATGTGGATATTTGAGAGGATTGGGACAAAGCCAGAAAGCAGAGTCAGAGTTGCTGTGTTTGTTGAATAGAGTTGAAGGAGAAGGTGCGGGAACAAATATTATTGTGTAATGTAGCCCAAAACACAGATGGAGGTTAAGAGGAATCAGGGGACCTTTTTAAAAAGCACACTGATGATGGCTATTTTAGTTAGAAGATTGTAGCAACTTAAACCTTCTGTTATGAATCCTACTAAGTGGTAACGTCCAAGCCACTATTATTGCTGTTCCTATTAATATTTAAATTATTGTGGTGGTTTTTATTATCTATCGCTATCATCAGTAATGATTTTGAAATAGTTGCACTAGAGATGTAGGGTCGCCATCAGTTCACTTGTTATTTTGACGATTGAGTCTTTACAGCTTGACTTTACCTTTTTGTTTCTATTATTACTTCTTTTTTTTACTGTGGTAATAGATCGAGGTAGAAGTTGCCCCGGCCACAGATCTAGGATCAGATTACCCAACAATACTCTTAACCTTGACCATCAGGAGGATAACATATCTGACCCTGAACCAGTGCTTAGTTGCAACCAGTGGCAGGGGCGCAACTTTCACTGGGGACGGGGTATGTCCCCCCCCCCACGTTCTGAAATTGCATTTTTGTCCCCCCCTAGTTTTATAATCGGTGTGCTATAGGACCATGCGGACGCCTCCAAGTGGTCGGGTAGGCTGTTTGGAGTGTTTAATAACAATATGAATGGAAAACGAAAGTTGCGCCCCTGGGTAATGGTGACTGTAGAGGTGGTGTTGGGCCTTTAGGTTGCAGTGATGATTGGATGGGGAAGACACACACACTTTCTTAGACGTGTGTGTGTGTGTGTGTGTGTGTGTGTGTGCATGCACTTGCCACACACACATACTCACGCACTTGCTTACAGACATGCATTCATATCTATTTGGCACATTCTTGAGCTCAAGTGAAGACCACCTGAGTATTGTGTTTTTATTGTTATTATGAATATTATTCAAAGAGCTTTTCTATCATCACTATGTGACCTTGTGTATTTATATACTGTGGCTGATCTGTTTATTGTCAACTACTAGAAACTATATTTGGAGTGTTGTGATGTAGCTATCAGCCAGATGGCATCAAAGATCCCTAGTTCATTTTAGTTCAACAACACGTTTGGGAGAATGTACTGTATAATTTTGATCATTTAAAAGGTGAGAGGGAGGAGTTAAAACACAAGCTGTGTAAGTCGTAAGATATATGATTATATATGAGAATTCATTGTGGGTGTCAGTGTAAGAACCGTAAGGTGTTCAGGTTTCATTTCCATGCAGTGCCTCCAGCTTGCAGACGTTGTGGAGAATTTATTTGTCAACGGTAATAGATGAAAAGGCAATAAAGACATCTTTGAACCAACCAGTTTACTCTCCTGTGCCAGGATCTTCAGTTATTTGCATGGCTTCTTGTTCTTGTACAGTGTCTTTTTTTATATTTATTTTTTAGGCATTTCGTAAAGAGAAACTTTACGAGGGAGAGCTAAAGGGCAGTGGGCCGGCGGACTCGCACCCATGCCGACTGGCACAAATGCGTGGCCACACCTTGTACAGTATCCATTGAGTTTCTACATAGTGCTGTCAAAGTAGAGGTCCAGAGTTGTTATTGTGCAATCCAGCGGCATGGGTTAATAGGAGGGACTTATCGAGATCCTATAAAAATATTCTAATTCCTTATTTTATGCTGTAGAATGATTAGGTCCGAGTTTCCCACTTGGAAAGTATCAGAATCAACCAATAGGAATTTATACGCTAAAAACGTATGCAGAATTTTACTCTTACTTCTGATGCTGCTTTCAAGACAACTTGTGTCATTAGCAACGTCGTCATTGTCCTCCACGGGAAATCTGGGAGAGGACTGTATATCTGTCTCCGTGCGTACAGTCGTGGTCAAAAGTTTTGAGAATGACACAAGTATTGGTCTTCACAAAGTTCGCTGCTTCAGTGTTATGAGATCTTTTTGTCAGATGTTACTATTACATTTACATTACATTTTAGTCATTTAGCAGACGCTCTTATCCAGAGCGACTTACAGTTAGTGAATACATATTTATTTTTTTATACTGGCCCCCCGTGGGAAACGAACCCACAACCCTGGCGTTGCAAACACCATGCTCTATCAACTGAGCTACATCCCTGCCAGCCATTCCCTCCCCTACCCTGGACAACGCTGGGCCAATTGTGCGCCGCCCATGAGTCTCCCGGTCGCGGCCGGCTGCGACAGAGCCTGGATTTGAACCAGGATCTAGTGGCACAGTTAGCACTGCGATGCAGTGCCTTAGACCACTGCGCCACTCAGGAGTTAAGTTTCTCTATGGTATACTGAAGTATAATTACAAGCATTGCATAAGTGTCAAAGGCTTTTATTGACAATTACAGTGGGGAAAAAAAGTATTTAGTCAGCCACCAATTGTGCAAGTTCTCCCACTTAAAAAGATGAGAGAGGCCTGTAATTTTCATCATAGGTACACGTCAACTATGACAGACAAATTGAGAAAAGAATTCCAGAATATCACATTGTAGGATTTTTAATGAATTTATTTGCAAATTATGGTGGAAAATAAGTATTTGGTCACCTACAAACAAGCAAGATTTCTGGCTCTCACAGACCTGTAACTTCTTCTTTAAGAGGCTCCTCTGTCCTCCACTCGTTACCTGTATTAATGGCACCTGTTTGAACTTGTTATCAGTATAAAATACACCTGTCCACAACCTCAAACAGTCACACTCCAAACTCCACTATGGCCAAGACCAAAGAGCTGTCAAAGGACACCAGAAACAAAATTGTAGACCTGCACCAGGCTGGGAAGACTGAATCTACAATAGGTAAGCAGCTTGGTTTGAAGAAATCAACTTTGGGAGCAATTATTAGGAAATGGAAGACATACAAGACCACTGATAATCTCCCTCGATCTGGGGCTCCACGCAAGATCTCACCCCGTGGGGTCAAAATGATCACAAAAATCCCAGAACCACACGGGGGGACCTAGTGAATGACCTGCAGAGAGCTGGGACCAAAGTAACAAAGCCTACCATCAGTAACACACTATGCCGCCAGGGACTCAAATCCTGCAGTGCCAGACGTGTCCCCCTGCTTAAGCCAGTACATGTCCAGGCCCGTCTGAAGTTTGCTAGAGTGCATTTGGATGATCCAGAAGAGGATTGGGAGAATGTCATATGGTCAGATGAAACCAAAATAGAACTTTTTGGTAAAAACTCAAGTTGTCGTGTTTGGAGGACAAAGAATGCTGAGTTGCATCCAAAGAACACCATACCTACTGTGTAGCATGGGGGTGGAAACATCATGCTTTGGGGCTGTTTTTCTACAAAGGGACCAGGACGACTGATCCGTGTAAAGGAAAGAATGAATGGGGCCATGTATCGTGAGATTTTGAGTGAAAACCTCCTTCCATCAGCAAGGGCATTGAAGATGAAACGTGGCTGGGTCTTTCAGCATGACAATGATCCCAAACACACCGCCCGGGCAACGAAGGAGTGGCTTCGTAAGAAGCATTTCAAGGTCCTGGAGTGGCCTAGCCAGATCTCAACCCCATAGAAAATCTTTGGAGGGAGTTGAAAGTCCGTGTTGCCCAGCGACAGCCCCAAAACATCACTGCTCTAGAGGAGATCTGCATGGAGGAATGGGCCAAAATACCAGCAACAGTGTGTGAAAACCTTGTGAAGACTTACAGAAAACGTTTGACCTGTGTCATTGCCAACAAAGGGTATATAACAAAGTATTGAGAAACTTTTGTTATTGACCAAATACTTATTTTCCACCATAATTTGCAAATACATTCATAAAAAATCCTACAATGTGATTTTCTGGAATTTTTTTTCTCATTTTGTCTGTCATAGTTGACGTGTACCTATGATGAAAATTATAGGCCTCTCTCATCTTTTTAAGTGGGAGAACTTGCACAATTGGTGGCTGACTAAATACTTTTTTTCCCCACTGTACATTAAGTTTATGCAAAGAGTCAATATTTGCAGTGTTGACCCTTCTTTTTCAAGACCTCTGCAATCCGCCCTGGCATGCTGTCAATTAACTTCTGGGCCACATCCTGACTGATGGCAGCCCATTATTGCATAATCAATGCTTGGAGTTTGTCAGAATTTGTGGGTTTTTGTTTGTCCACCCGCCTCTTAAGGATTGACCACAAGTTCTCAATGGGATTAAGGTCTGGGGAGTTTCCTGGCCATGGACCCAAAATTTCGATGTTTTGTTCCCCGAGCCACTTAGTTATCACTTTTGCCTTATGGCAAGGTGCTCCATCATGCTGGAAAAGGCATTGGTCGTCACCAAACTGTTCTTGGATGGTTGGGAGAAGTTGCTCTCGGAGGATGTGTTGGTACCAGTCTTTATTCATGGCTGTGTTCTTAGGCAAAATTGTGAGTGAGCCCACTCCCTTGGCTGAGAAGCAACCCCACACATGAATGGTCTCAGGATGCTTTACTGTTGGCATGACACAGGACTGATGGTAGCACTCACCTTGTCTTCTCCGGACAAGGTGTTTTCCGGATGCCCCAAACAATCGGAAAGGGGATTCATCAGAGAAAATGACTTTACCCCAGTCCTCAGCAGTCCAATCCCTGTACCTTTTGCAGAATATGGCTTCCTCGCTGCCCTTCTTGACACCAGGCCATCCTCCAAAAGTATTCGCCTCACTGTGCGTGCAGACGCACTCACACCTGCCTGCTGCCATTCCTGAGCAAGCTCTGCACTGGTGGTGCCCCGATCCCGCAGCTGGTGCCCCGGTCCTGGCGCTTGCTGGACTTTCTTGGGCACCCTGACGCCTTCTTCACAACAATTGAACCTCTCTCCTTGAAGTTCTTTATGATCCGAAAAATTGTTGATTTAGGTGCAATCTTACTATCAGCAACATCCTTGCCTGTGAAGCCCTTTTTGTGCAAAGCAATGATGATGGCACGTGTTTCCTTGCAGGTAACCATGGTTAACAGAGGAAGAACAATGATTTCAAGCACCACCCTCCTTTTAAAGCTTCCAGTCTGTTATTCTAACTCAATCAGCATGACAGAGTGATCTCCAGCCTTGTCCTCGTCAACACTCTCACCTGTGTTAACGAGAGAATCACTGACATGATGGCAGCTGGTCCTTTTGTGGCAGGGCTGAAATGCAGTGGAAATGTTTTTGGGGGATTAAGTTCATTTTCATGGCAAAGAGGGACTTTGCAATTAATTGTAATTAATCTGATCACTCTTCATGACATTCTGGAGTATATGCTAATTGCCATCATCAAAACTGAGGCAGCAGACTTTGTGAAAATTAGTATTTGTGTCATTCTCAACTTTGGACCACGACTGTACATACTTACGTCACACGCGATATCTCAGACCCCACGGGCCTGATTTTGACGAAACTTTGGTGAATGAGGCGGCATGCCATAGAGATCCGGCATTTACAAAATTACACTGATTGGCCAGATTTTTCCACATTTTGTTAAGTTACAGCCTTACTCTAAAATGTATAACTCTTAAACGCTACTCATCTGGCACAGAATGACCGATCTGCACGAAACTTGATATGTGGCATCTATGGACTAAGGTCTCTCAACCCAATATTTTCCAGACTGTTGACCAATAAACATTCATGTGGGTGTGGTCTGGCACATAAATATAAGCTTATAAATCAGTCAAGGATATTCGTATTGTAACAAAATTTGGTACACGTTGCAAACACTGTCGAGACTCCACATATGCCAGAACATTAATATCGACCACAAGGTGGCCACAAGGTGTTTGACTCAGTGATGAAATTTGGAAGAACTTCTCAGGTATGAGTCTAGCTAACCACGCGATATCTCAGATACCACTGGCCCAATTTGGAAAAAACTTGGATGAATGATGTGTCTTGCCATAGAGATCAGCCTTTTACTAAATTAAACATTTGCCCAAGGGCCTATAGTAATCAACTGTACGTACGTTAGTAACACAGAAGAGGTGCCTCTTACGCACAGTAAAAAATAAATAATGTGGTTGCTTGTAAATTTGTATTTTATCGTTTTTTGGAAGTACAGTGGGGAAAAAAAGTATTTAGTCAGCCACCAATTGTGCAAGTTCTCCCACTTAAAAAGATGAGATAGGCCTGTAATTTTCATCATAGGTACACGTCAACTATGACAGACAAAATGAGAAAAAAAATCCTGAAAATCACATTGTAGGATTTCTTATGAATTTATTTGCAAATTATGGAGGAAAATAAGTATTTGGTCAATAACAAAAGTTTCTCAATACTTTGTTATATACCCTGTGTTGGCAATGACACAGGTCAAACGTTTTCTGTAAGTCTTCACAAGGTTTTCACACACTGTTGCTGGTATTTTGGCCCATTCCTCCATGCAGATCTCCTCTAGAGCAGTGATGTTTTGGGGCTGTCGCTGGGCAACACAGACTTTCAACTCCCTCCAAAAATATTCTATGGGGTTGAGATCTGGAGACTGGCTAGGCCACTCCAGGACCTTGAAATGCTTCTTACGAAGCCACTCCTTCGTTGCCCGGGCGGTGTGTTTGGGATCATTGTCATGCTGAAAGACCCAGCCACGTTTCATCTTCAATGCCCTTGCTGATGGAAGGAGGTTTTCACTCAAAATTGCACGATACATGGCCCCATTCATTCTTTCCTTTACACGGATCAGTCGTCCTGGTCCCTTTGCAGAAAAACAGCCCCAAAGCATGATGTTTCCACCCCCATGCTTCACAGTAGGTATGGTGTTCTTTGGATGCAACTCAGCATTCTTTGTCCTCCAAACACGACGAGTTGAGTTTTTACCAAAAAGTTCTATTTTGGTTTCATCTGACCATATGACATTCTCCCAATCCTCTTCTGGATCATCCAAATGCACTCTAGCAAACTTCAGACGGGCCTGGACATGTACTGGCTTAAGCAGGGGGACACGTCTGGCACTGCAGGATTTGAGTCCCTGGCGGCGTAGTGTGTTACTGATGGTAGGCTTTGTTACTTTGGTCCCAGCTCTCTGCAGGTCATTCACTAGGTCCCCCCGTGTGGTTCTGGGATTTTTGCTCACTGTTCTTATGATCATTTTGACCCCACGGGGTGAGATCTTGCGTGGAGCCCCAGATCGAGGGAGATTATCAGTGGTCTTGTATGTCTTCCATTTCCTAATAATTGCTCCCACAGTTGATTTCTTCAAACCAAGCTGCTTACCTATTGCAGATTCAGTCTTCACAGCCTGGTGCAGGTCTACAATTTTGTTTCTGGTGTCCTTTGACAGCTCTTTGGTCTTGGCCATAGTGGAGTTTGGAGTGTGACTGTTTGAAGTTGTGGACAGGTGTCTTTTATACTGATAACAAGTTCAAACAGGTGCCATTAATACAGGTAACGAGTGGAGGACAGAGGAGCCTCTTAAAGAAGAAGTTACAGGTCTGTGAGAGACAGAAATCTTGCTTGTTTGTAGGTGACCAAATACTTAATTTACACCATAATTTGCAAATAAATTCATAAAAAATCCTACAAAGTGATTTTCTGGAGAAAAAAAATCTCAATTTGTCTGTCATAGTTGACGTGTACCTATGATGAAAATTACAGGCCTCTCTCATCTTTTTAAGTGGGAGAACTTGCACAATTGGTGGCTGACTAAATACTTTTTTCCCCCACTGTACATACCGGGCATAACGGCAGTAAATGGTAGCTTTATGGGCATCTCCTCTACCAAGATACTGGTTCAGGCTTTGGCTAGCTAACTACACTGAACAAAAATACAAACACAACATGTAAAGTGTTGGTCCCGTGTTTCATGAGTTGAAATAAAAAATCCCAGAAATGTTCTATATGCACAAAAAGCGTATTTGTCTCAAATTTTGCACAAATTTGTTTACATCCCTGTTAGTGAGCATTTATCCTTTGCTAAAATAATCCACCCACCTGACAGGTGTGGCATATCATGAAGCTGATTAAACAGCATGATCATTACACCAATGCACCTTGTGCTGGGGACAATAAAAGGCCACTTTAAAATGTGCAGTTTTGTCACACAACACAATGCCACAGATGTCTCAAGTTTTGAGGGAGCGTGCAATTGGCATGCTGACTGCAGGAATGCCCACCAGAGCTGTTACCAGAGAATGTAATGTTAATTTCTCTACAACAAGTCGCCTCCAACGTTGTTTTTGAGAATTTGGCAGTATGTCCAACCGGCCTCACAACCGCAGAACACGTGTATGTCGTCGTGTGGGCAAGCGGTATGCTGAGTTCCCCATGGTGGCGGTGGGGTTATGGTATGGGCAGGCATAAACTACGGAAAAAGAACACAATTGTAATTTTAATGCACAGAGATACCGTGACGAGATCCTGAGGCCCATTGTCGTGCCATTCATCCACCGCCATCACCTCATGTTTCAGCATGATAATGCACGGCCCCATGTCGCTAGGATCTGTACACAATTCCTGGAAGCTGAAATCATCCCAGTTCTTTCATGGCCTGCATACTCACCAGACTTCTTACCAATTGAGCACGTTTGGGATGCTCTGGGTCGACGTGTAGGACAGCATTCCACAGGGATGCTGGCCCATGTTGACTCCAATGCTTCCTACAGTTGTGTCAAGTTGGCTGGATGTCCTTTGGATGGTGGACCATTCTTGATACACACTGGAAACTGTTGAGCATGAAAAACCCAGCAGCGTTGCAGTTCTTGACACAAACTGGTGCGCCTGGCACTTACTACCATACACCGTTCAAAGGCACTTAAATATTTTGTCTTGCCCATTATTCAACCTCTGAATGGCACCCATACACAATCCATGTCTCAAGGCTTAAAAATCCACTGATTGAACTCGATTGAATAAGTGACATCAATAAGGGATCATAGCTTTCACCTGGTCAGTCTGTTCATAATGTTTTGTACACTCAGTGTATTTATCACAGAACCACCAAGAAATGAAGAGCGACACCATGGCTGTCTTTTAGGGCTTTTCTGTAGCTCTGCAATGAAATTATGAAAATACAAGACAGGAACACATCAGTCTTCAATGCACCATCTGACAAGTTGTTCTTTCTCTCTGTGTTTTCAAGGACAGGAGCTACGAGCAGTAACAGGGTGCTTGCTAGCAGGTGATGTAAGCACCCAGATGAAATAAAATACATTCAATTAAATAAAAACAGAAGATAATATCTTCCAGCTACTGTAGCTGCCTCCTAAACATCAATCGGTAGTACTAGTAGCGCAACAAATGAAAATATAAACCAAAAGTAAAGTTCCTGGCGATCATAGCGTTCTGATTCCCACTTCTGTCTGAACTTGGCATATTCCTGTTCGCGGGTTTGGGCCACTGACCATTAACCTGGATGTTCTGTTCTGCGTTGTGTACTGTTCTAATAATTTGAAGTTTGATGGAATAACCATTGTAACTCTCCTACAATAGTCAGTTTTAGCAGCAGCATTATTTTACAGACAGAGATGCAGATAGGAGTAAGGAGTCCAGTATCTCTGGAGCATTAGCCTACCTCACTGTGCTGCATTCTAGCCTTAACAATCTATTGAAAACAAAACATTGTTGTCATTTGGATGTATATTCCTATTGCTATGAAGCTGTTGCACCTGCAGCGTGTATATTTACCTTTAAGAAGTGTGATATTGTTTTATTGCTCTCATGCGTTTCTATTGATGTCAGCCAGTTGGGTATTCTCAATATTATGTCACTATAAGGATGTTGTGATATATGTTTGGAGTTGGGCAATGTTACGCAATTTTATTGCATTACTAGCTTTTGATAAATAGGTATTTCTGTCGGCCGAACTGGCGGGGGCAAGAAGTCGGATGCACGCCACGGAGAAGACGGGAACAGAGAGGAGGGTGCATAGGCTACACAAAATACTTTCCCTTTAAACAGGGGACACGGCGGCGGGGGATAGATAGAGAGGGGAGAAGAGAAGAGATTTTTAAAAAAATAAAAGGAAGAAAGACAGCGAGGGTGGGAGGGAGAGAGAGAAATAGAAAAAAAAAAGAAAGATGTCATCCTCTCGTTTGAAAAGCCGAGGCGAAGCTTTGGATTGCGGCGGATCAGGGACTCTCTAGCTAGGGACACGATTTTACGCAACACCGCGGCTTTGGAATCCACCACCGCTTTGGCCTCTCGAAGCTATCGAAATAAATTACTCTTCCTACACGCATTCATAAACAACTGCTGACTTATTATTATTACTTTTTATATTTTTTCGTTATTTGTAATAACCTAATTTTGCATGAATTTGAGAATAGGTTTTTTTCTTAGGCTATAATATAAATATACAATGTAAATTGCATTGTAAATGCATCATTAGAAGCATGCATCAACCATTTTGTCGCATTTTAGTTATAATATAATGTTGCATCCTTTCGTCCCACACCATATAACAACATTTTAGTCTAACATTATCATTACTGTCATATATTATTGTCATATAACTGATAGCCTTTCAAAATTGATCATTCATCTTCAATAATAATTTATGTTATTGAATGCACCACGATTTAAACTTTCACACAGAAATATTCACCTTTGATATTTTAAACTGCAGAGAGGAACTAGGTATGCTACAGACATTACAGCAGGTGGAGTGATTCATCAGTTGGCCCCAGCCTATGGTTGGTTGGCCCCCAGAGTCTCAGGCGGATATATATTTCTACAGTTTTGACTCCTGGCCTAAAAGTATCTGACATCATCTTGCTTCAAAATGGATTCTTCTTGGAGTAATTTTCTGTTTCAGGTAAGTTTGTGTGTGTGTGTGTTTGTCAGAGAAATAAAGATACAAATGGTGTTTAGTGTCTCACTCATCAGAGTGCTATGGATGCTGAAGTGAATGCACTTGGGATCCTGGGATCATACACATGCTTCTTATGTTTGTGATGTCATATAAGTCTTAAGCTGACAGTTTGCCAACTATGCCCCTTACAGATTTGTTGTAGTACTGCTTATGAGGACAAGAGTGAGAGCTTGTGTGTGTGTTGACTGGGGTCAAAGGTGGCATGATCCCCCATTGATGTGTATTTCAAGTCCTCAGCAGCTAATTCTTGCTTTCATTTCCCCAGACTCCGCCCTCACAGAACCAGTCTGAGACAGCCCTCCAATCAGAGCTGCTTCCGGACATGACTGGCTCCGCCCAGAGCCCCCCTACAGAGCACATAGCCCCGCCCCCATCCACAGTGGACACAGCTGCCCTGAATGAAGAGCCTTTACCTGGTGAGCATGCAGGTCTTATGTCCCAAAAGGTACCCTTTTCCTTATATAGTACACTACTTTTGACCAGCAGCCATACAGCTCTGGTCAAAAGTAGTGCACTGAGTATGGAATAGGGTGACGGGTGCCATTTGAGACGCAGCCAGGATCAGGTACAATTTACTTAATTGATCAATTCTAAATAGTCTATAATAATAATATTAGAATAATAATATATGCCATTTATAAGACACTTTTAACCAAAGTGACATAAATACATTTTTGTATGCGTGGTCCCAGCGGAAATCGAATCCTGGCATTGCAAGCGCCATGCTCTACTGACTGAGCCACAGAGGACCACTATGTTTATTCAATATTATTCAAATTCAATAAACACATATGGAATCCCAAATAAACTACTGGATAGGAGGGGGGTGGAGGGGCAGAGAGAAGTTTTCTTGTTGTCAAGAGTAACAGCTGCTGCAGACTAAGTGGAAGCACCTTGATGTCCTCTCTTTACATATCAAAGCTGAAAACACACACACACAATCCAATATCTATTCAGCCCCACCCTGAACCATGGGATTTCTTACCTCAGGAAACAATGTCCTTTTCACACTCCCTGTGTCTGTTGCATATGTTTGTGACAGACAGAGAGGGAGAGAGGGGTGGGGAGAGAGGGAGAGGAGGACTAAAGAGAGGTTGTGAGAGAGATAAAAAGACAAAGAAATGTAATTGAAAAATAATGAGTGAATCGTCTACATCTGTGATGGTGAGAGCTGTGCAACAATGCTACATCATAGTTTCTGCCCAGCTAGCACATAACCTGGCGGGGGGTCTGGGGGTCCTCCCCCATATTTTGGGGGGGCATCTAAAGCTAATTTGCTGCATTTCAACACACTCCAATATGACCCATGGCGCTTCTAGACGTCTCTATTTAGAACAACAAAAAGTAAGCAAAAATGCCCCCAGTCATCAAGCTAGGTAAGAGATCATTGTTAAATATGTTTAAGTGAACTAGATCAAAGGTAATTAAATAATCAATATTGTGTTGCACCTTTAATCAACAAGTACAAAGACTTTTGATTGTCTTTATTAAGACATCCTCTATATCAAATTTCAGCCAGACCGCCCAGCCAGCCCGAGCCACCTGCACGCCTGACCCCCACCAGTGTAGTCAATACCTCAACTCTCTCCCAAAACAATTTTTTCCTCACTTTTCTTTTTCTTCCCAAGGGAAAGGTTTGAAAAAACAACAACAAAAAACACACATACAACTACACATTAACACACAAAAACAGCACATCATCCATATAATTCATCTCATAGGCCTAATAGTACTGTAGAGCTTTTTTTACTTGCACACAATATAGCTGGGTCACCCTGTCCTGTCCCTAGAGTTCCACCACCCTGCAGCGCCCCAACCCAACACACCCCACTCAGCTTTAGGATCTTAGTGAAACATTCATTATTGGTTTTGGGTGTGTTATGCCAAGGCCAGATTGACAACCCACAGGACGGTAGACCCCCAGGGCCAGGACTGAGCAGCCCAGCAGCTAGGGATTGCCTAAATAGGTATCTATGTTTTAAATACAGACTCCTTTTGTCATACTGCATTCCATATAAGGCATGCAGACCTTATGAAAGTTGTCCAGTATTCCCTTAATCTTGTAATAAATTAAATCTAGTGATACATAACTGCCATCGATTGTGCTCTGGCAGCCCAATGGTGGAACAAGCTCCCCCATGACGCCAGGACAGCGGAGTCACTGACCACCTTCCGGAGACACTTGAAACCCTACCACTTTAAGGAATACCTGGAATAGTATAAAGTAATCCTTCTTCCCCCACCCCCCATAAAAATAAAAAAGTGCTATCATAAGTTGAATGCACCAATTTGTAAGTCACTCTGGATAAGAGCGTCTGCTAAATGATAACCAACCTTCCAATTAATGGCAATGCATTTCTTAGATGCTTAGTTACATTTGACATTTTAGTCATTTAGCAGACGCTCTTATCCAGAGCGACTTACAGTTAGTGAGTGCATACATTTTTCATACTGGCCCCCCGTGGAAAACGAACCCACAACCCTGGCGTTGTAAGCGCCATGCTCTACCAACTGAGCTACACAGTTTCATTTGATAACAGTCTCCAGTATCAACATTTACAAGCAAATAAAAACAAGGAGAAGGGATAATCTGTACACATGCTGAGATAAAAGACATACTCTGCCAGAGTTCAGCCACAAGACCATAACATATTCAAATATGTCCCCTTTTGTATTTTACACATTCAGCAAAGGAATAACATTTCTGAGTGCATGTTATTCAGTTACACTGGCATATAGTATGTTCTATGGGTGGTCTTAAACTGCAGTAATTTATGTCTAAAATTAAATTAACATGTATGGGCATTCAAACAGATCTGTATCCATTCATCATAATCAATATCTTCTACCAGGTCTTCCTCACATTTTTGTTTTACATGTTTTGTGTCATCGGGAAAAGCCTCTATCAACCCTTGTTACAGTTTGGAAATCAACTTTGGAGGTTTGTCAGACTGCCTTAAAATAGTTTCAATCTTTGAAGCATCGGGCTTGTCCAGTGTTTGCTGCACAGAGATAAATTCACCTCGGCTCCGTCACAGACTGGTCTTCCCTTCCCACTATCTGATCCTCCTAAGATGAGGCATGACAAAGAATTACCTTGGTGTATATTTATACATTATATTATCCAAGAATAGAATCAATGGTTCAATAATTGAAATGACCATTATTCCCAGATCCCAGACTGTAACCTTAATCATAAGATGCTGTCCTGTAGCTACTGTAGGTCTACCTATCAACTCAAGATGGAACTTTGTATAATTCACTGATATTGCTAATATACTGCAAAATTCACCGGAGCTCCGTAGACTGGTCTTCCCTGGCTGTCTGACCCTACTGGGACACCTGTCACCATCTGATCCTGCTAAGACATGATCATAGTGTTGTGTACTGATGGTGCACCATGATAGTGAAGCCTGTAGAGCTCTTTATTACTCTGTCAGTTTTAAAAGTAGAGAATTAGCTAGGGAAACTGACAAATCAATAACATTACATTGCTGTACTGACTCAAATAAAAACTCACATTCCACAAATAAAACGTCAGAATTATCGGTCTTCAAACATTTGGCCGCTGGTTTCATCGTTTGATTCAGGTCTTATGTGAATGAGGCATAAATAATACCTACTTTTGGCCAGCTCTCTCTCTCTGATGGTACATCAACTGGCGAAAGCTAGCTAAGTTCATTTACTTCTGTTGAAACAGGACAAAAAGGCTACAAACATTTCCATACAATCAGCTGTTAGATAGTAATAATAGCCACCTCATATCGCTATCTGACAGATAGCTACAGGCTAGAGCTGAACTGACTGTGGTAGCAACTAGCTAGCTAATTCGCTCACCTCAGTCTAGAGGGGATAAAACATTAGCTAACGTTATATGTCAGTTACACTACTAGCTCAGCACTGGGAATAAACACTAGTTTAGATTTTTTTCTGTTAAGTCAAACAGCAGTTACTTTGAAAAGCTATATCAGTCAACTAAAGAGTAGCCAGTTTCTGCTCTGCTTGCTTTTACAACTCGGAGAAAGAACTCAACACATACACACTGAGAGCAGCTGCCTCTGTTCAACTCTCCTGTGCTGGTCCTGCCAGCCTTTCAGAAGCTTTGCCTTCACACAGCCTGTCTGCCCGCTCTCTGGTGTGCGCGTGGTCCTAAATCCAGCTGTCTGAAACCTCCAAACAGCCTAACTGACCACTCTAAGGCGTCCGCATGGTCCTAAACTACACCAACGCCGTTTTTGGTATCACAGTGCAACGATAAAACTGGGGGGGGGGACAAAAATGCAATTTCAGAATGTGGGGGGGGGGGGGTCATGCCCCTGACTTTAACAGAACGTTTACTAAAAGTTCCAACATAGTTACATTTAATTACAAATTTGGTAATGTTCTAGGAACGTTCTCCAACTGGTTTGACATTGACCATTTTTTAGTACTTCAGTACTTCTGCATAACGTTTCCTACAGGTTTCCTTATGGTTCTATTTAAAGTCATTTTCTCAAATTGTTCCTAGAATGTTAAGAAAACTTTCCATAAAAAACATAAGAAAACTTTAGTAACGTTCAGAGAACGTTCTAAGAATGTTATTTAAAAACATATACATTCCGTTCTCAGCATCAATAAAACTCTCTCTATCCTCAATCTTATTAAATGTGTTCTAGGTGTGTTGGCTGCACCCACCAATTGGCCACACCTGATCTTAATGAGTGCTTGTTTCCTTTTAAATGAGGTCTGTTTGAGTAGACTAAAAATGTGTAGAAAAATTGGCATTTTAGGTCCATCCTGGTGGCGCAGTAGACTAATTCTATAGATAAAGAACAGAAGATCATAGGTTCGAACCTCACTGACACTGTGCCACAATCAAAAATAAATGTGTTTGCGTAATTATTGCCTAAGCAACTTTACTTCCATTTGTCCTATCTGTGCTTCGATTTCAAAACAGTTAACCCAAACTAAGTTAGCAGTGTTATTAAAAGTTTTATTAAAACATGTTCTCAGAACGTTATTTAATTACCATCAAATTACCTATAATTTCCCTTCTCAGAACGTTAATAAAACCTTCCAGGAAAACCTTCAGGTAACCATAGTAAAATGTTCTCAGAACCTCCTTGCAATGTACATTTTCACTTCTGTTCTCAGAACATTTAAAAAGCTTTCCATTTTGAATGTCAGGAAACTTATGTCTTCATTCCCAGAACCAATGGGAAACCAAAAACCTATGTTCCCACAACTTCCAAGGAATCAAATGTGCTAGCTGAGTGGTCATTCATCAGACGCTTTCATCCTAAACAACTTACTGTATACAAATGTAGAGGGGCCCAATAGGTTACTTATTCAGTATGTGGGGCCCATGTAGGAATCCAACCCACAAACTCTACCCTTAGTTCCCTTTCAGGAGTTACCTTATCGCACACTTTTGTGTTTCTTCTTTCCCTTTCCCCTCTCTCTTTCCTCTCTCTTTCTTTTCCCTTTCTCCTTTAGTGAAGGCCGTCTCCAAGCCTGGCCGGCCGACACACATCTGCGACACATGTAACAAGCAGTTTAAGAACAACTACAACCTCCGGCGCCATCAGTCGGTGCACACTGGCATCAAAATGAAGGACAGAGCAACCATAGAGAGGGAGGATGGGAGCAAGGGAGGAGGAGGAGGAGGACGGCAAACAATCCCTCTCTCCCTCCTCCACTTCTCTCTGCCCTTTCATCCTCCTCCCGCAGAATCCCTCCCCCAACCCTCCCCACTTGGAAACCAGGAGGGCCAACCTGTTGCGGTGTCCATCGCCCCAGCGACCGTCACCATGGCTGTGCCCCAGGTGCTCCAAGCTGCAGTTGTGGTTTCCGGGACAATGGTACAGGTTGGTTGGTGCCTGTTTTGTCATTATTATTGAAGAATCATTTGCTGCTCCCTTTGCCGTTCTCTCTCTCCTCGCCTACATTATTTCGCAATGTAGCCAGAGTAGCTATACTGACTCCAAAGCCAGCACCAGCCAACTGTCCCTTCCTTCTCATCAAACCTAGAGCCAGAACCCGGGGCCTCAACCCAACCCCAACCCGAGTCCCAACCAGGTGAGGAAGAACCATGCGTGTGAGGCCTGTGGGAAGGCCTTCCGAGACGTGTACCACCTGAACCGCCACCGGCTTTCCCACTCGGACGAGAAGCCCTACCACTGCCCCATCTGCCAGCAGCGCTTCAAGAGGAAAGACCGCATGAGCTACCATGTACGCTCACACCAGGGAGGGGTGGAGAAACCTTACGTCTGCCCCCACTGCGCCAAGGGCTTCTCACGGTGAGAAGGGGGATGACTGGGGGGTATACACACATGCACATATATGTACATGCACACATGATCTCTGTAGTGCAAGGGTAGCACTATCGACGAGAAATGACCAATATGACACGCGCGGGGTCTTAATCCCTTCTCCTGTCTGTTCCAGACCCGACCACCTCAACAGTCACGTCAGACAGGTGCACTCAACTGAGAGACCCTTCAAGTGCCCGGTAATCCTCTTCTTTCTAACTCACTTTAACTCTTTCGCTCTCTCTTTTTCTACTCTCTGCATGTCTTTTTGACCCCCACGATGAATCTGTCTCGGTCCATTCGTCTGTTAGTTAATAAGTCACACGCAATATCTCAGATGGGTCTTGCCATAAAGATCAGTGATTTACACAATTACACTGATTGGCCAGATGGTGGCACTATAACAAGCGATTAAAATGCTAACTTTGAAAGGTCACGCCCCTCAACCCGTTTGACCTGAAGTCATGAAGTTCGGTACATACAGTACCAGTCAAAAGTTTGGACACACCTACTCATTCCAGGGGTTTTCTTTATTTTTACTATTTTCTACATTGTAGAATAATAGTGAAGACATCAAAACTATGAAATAACACATATGGAAATAGGTAGTAACCAAAAAAGTGTTAAACAAATCAACATATATTTTATATTTGAGATTCTTCAAAGTAGCCACCCTTTGCCTTGATGACAGCTTTGCACACTCTTGACATTCTCTCAACCAGCTTCATGATGTAGTCACCTGGAATGTATTTCAATTAACAGGTGTGCCTTGTTAAAAGTTAATTTGTGGAATTTCTTTCCTTAATGCGTTTGAGCCAATCAGTTGTGTTGTGACAAGGTAGGGTTGGTATACAGAAGATAGCCCTATTTGGTAAAAGACCAAGTCCATATTATGGCAAGAACAGCTCAAATCAGCAAAGAGAAACGACAGTCCATCATTACTTTAAGACATGAAGGTCAGTCAATACAGAACATTTCAAGAACTTTGAAAGTTTCTTCAAGCGCAGTCGCAAAAACCATCAAGCGTTATGATGAAACTGGCTCTCATGAGGACCGCCACAGGAAAGGTAGACCCAGAGTTACCTCTGCTGCAGAGGATACGTTCATTAGAGTTACCAGCCTCAGAAATTGCAGCCCAAATAAATGCTTCACAGAGTTCAAGTAACAGACACATCTCAACATCAACAATTGAGATGGTTTGGGATGAGTTGGACCGCAGAGTGAAGAAAAAGCAACCAACAAGTGCTCAGCATATGTGGGAACTCCTTCAAGAAGCATTCCAGGTGAAGCTGGTTGAGAGAATGCCAAGAATGTGCAAAGCTGTCATCAAGGCAAAGGGTGGCTACTTTTAAGAATCTAAAATCTAAAATATATTTTGATTTGTTTAACACTTTTTTGGTTAATACATGTTTCCATATGTGTTATTTCATAGTTTTGATGTCTTCACTATTATTCTACAATGTAGAAAATAGTAAAAAATTAAGAAAAACCCTTGAATGAGTAGGTGTGTCCAAACTTTTGACTGGTACTGTAGGTCCCTCCTCACAAGGAACAGATTTGCCTCAGGGACCCATAAGGTCAGCCATGATGGATTTTCTGCCATTTTGGATTTTGTGAAAAACACTTACTCCTCTGGCACCTAATGACCGATCTGCACGAAACTGCATCATTCGTGGGAGACAACATATTAACTCTTGCCTTGTTTTTTCTCCCTATTTTCAACCTTGTTTTCTGTCATATGTCCCTTGCTTCTCTGTATACACTGTATAAATTGTTTTAAAGGCAATTTAATGACATTGACCTGCCTAGCTACTAAAATATAATGATGAAGAAAATGTCAAAATGTCCAAGATACAACAATGGTTTTGTGTGTGTGCACGCGTGTGCTACACAGACCTGCACGTCTGCCTTCGCCACGCGGGACCGTCTCCGTGCCCACCTGATTCGCCATGAGGAGAAAGTGCCGTGCCACATCTGTGGCAAGCTCCTCTCTGCCGCCTACATCACCGATCACATGAGGGTCCACAACCAATCACAGCACCACGCCTGCCACCTGTGCAACCGCAGTGAGTGGACATCTGTGTGCTTTTTTAAGTTTGTGACAGCAGAGGAGAATACATGTGTAACGGAGGTGGTTACACAGGTATCCTTCTCTCATTTACATGTTTTACATTTTAGTCATTTAGCAGACGCTCTTATCCAGAGCGACTTACAGTTTGTGAGTGCATACATTTTTCATACTGGCCCCCCATGGGAATCGAACCCACAACCCTGGCATTGCAAGCGCCATGCTCTACCAACTGAGCTACAGGAGGCCCCGATATTCCTCCCCTTTCCTCATCACTCATATGTCCTTCTCTTTTGTTCCTAATCTTTTGTTCCTCACCTTTTCTTATTTCTCAATGCTCTCCCTCCCTCTCTCCTCCTCCCTCTCTCCCTTGTCTCCCTCCAGGCTTCACCACCCTCACCTACCTGCGTGTCCACGCTCAGAAACACCACGGCCAGGAGTGGAAGGAGAGCGGCGGGATGCGGGGCATGTTCGGTGGGGCCGGTGCCGGCGGGGTGCTGCTGTGCCAGCTGTGTGGGGTGCAGTGCAAGACACCCACCCAGCTCCAGGGCCACATGGGCACCCATGCCGCCCTCCAGGTCCAGGGCGCCCCCAGCCCCAGCAGTAGCCCCGCGGGGACCGGTACCATGGCTGTGGCCGTGTCTCTGTCAGGCAGCTCAACCGTGGGCCTGCTGGTCACTGACTGCTCCAGCATTGCCCCCCAGCCTCTCAGCTAGCAGCCAGGCCCATTGGAGGGAGGGGGAAGGGGGAGAGGGGATGGAGGTAGTGGGGGGCTGTGGAGACTGCAGTCAGAGCAGTTGAGAGAGGAGTGGATTTGGCTCTTTGGTGAAGTTTCCCCTAAGTACAGATGTAGGATCAGCTTCCCCTCCCCCAATCCTAACCTTAACCATTAGTGGGGAAAATGAAAAACTGACCCAGGATCAGCATATAGGGGCATTCACCCTCTGGTGGATGTCTGTATGTTATGAAGGCCAAGTATGCTGCAAACCAGGTCCCGTTTGTATTCGATCCTATTTAACATGTTGCTGTTGTTTACGCAACAGTCACTTTATCAACTGCCATTGGTGGACACAGAAGGAAAGGAGAGACCATGGAATCCTCCTGTTTTTTTGTATTAAATCCTACTGAACGAAAGAGAACGTTTTCCAGTGCAATATGCCACATTTCCATTCACACAGAACACAAACTCCCATAACAATGTTTGGGATTTTACAAATGTATCACCATTTATTTTCCTTGGAAATATTAATTATTCAGTATATGATCACCCAGACGCAGTATGAGCTATGGTCCTACATTGGCTTTTAGCTTTTTAAGATGAACTGTCTCCAAGAAAGGACTGTTGCCAGAAACATGTCATCACCATGTAACTTTACCCTATGACTTATAGACAGATGGCATCAAATGGGTATTTATTTGTCTGTATATTTGGACACTGAATGCTAGTCTTTCTTTGTCTATTATCTCGTTGTTATTATTCTGGATGCTCTGATTTTAAAATTCTCTCAAAGTTGAATTGGTCTGAAAAGTATTTGTACTTTTGTGACACATTTTTGTGAGACTGCATTCTTGACTGTTCATCTGTTGGTGTAAAATCTCCTATGTTAATGTCACTGTATTAAAGCTGTAGTATGTATAACCTACAGTTGAAGTCAGAAGTTTACATACAGTGGGGAAAAAAAGTATTTAGTCAGCCACCAATTGTGCAAGTTCTCCCACTTAAAAAGATGAGAGAGGCCTGTAATTTTCATCATAGGTACACGTCAACTATGACAGACAAATTGAGAAAAAACTTTCCAGAAAATCACATTGTAGGATTTTTTATGAATTTATTTGCAAATTATGGTGGAAAATAAGTATTTGGTCACCTACAAACAAGCAAGATTTCTGGCTCTCACAGACCTGTAACTTCTTCTTTAAGAGGCTCCTCTGTCCTCCACTCGTTACCTGTATTAATGGCACCTGTTTGAACTTGTTATCAGTATAAAAGACACCTGTCCACATCCTCAAACAGTCACACTCCAAACTCCACTATGGCCAAGACCAAAGAGCTGTCAAAGGACACCAGAAACAAAATTGTAGACCTGCACCAGGCTGGGAAGACGGAATCTGCAATAGGTAAGCAGCTTGGTTTGAAGAAATCAACTGTGGGAGCAATTATTAGGAAATGGAAGACATACAAGACCACTGATAATCTCCCTCGATCTGGGGCTCCACGCAAGATCTCACCCCGTGGGGTCAAAATGATCACAAGAACGGTGAGCAAAAATCCCAGAACCACACGGGTGGACCTAGTGAATGACCTGCAGAGAGCTGGGACCAAAGTAACAAAGCCTACCATCAGTAACACACTACGCCGCCAGGGACTCAAATCCTGCAGTGCAAGACGTGTCCCCCTGCTTAAGCCAGTACATGTCCAGGCCCGTCTGAAGTTTGCTAGAGTGCATTTGGATGATCCAGAAGAGGATTGGGAGAATGTCATATGGTCAGATGAAACCAAAATATAACTTTTTGGTAAAAACTCAACTCGTCGTGTTTGGAGGACAAAGAATGCTGAGTTGCTTCCAAAGAACACCATACCTACTGTGAAGCATGGGGGTGGAAACATCATGCTTTGGGGCTGTTTTTCTGCAAAGGGACCAGGACGACTGATCCGTGTAAAGGAAAGAATGAATGGGGCCATGTATCGTGAGATTTTGAGTGAAAACCTCCTTCCATCAGCAAGGGCATTGAAGATGAAACGTGGCTGGGTCTTTCAGCATGACAATGATCCCAAACACACCGCCCGGGCAACGAAGGAGTGGCTTCGTAAGAACCATTTCAATGTCCTGGAGTGGCCTAGCCAGTCTCCAGATCTCAACCCCATAGAAAATCTTTGGAGGGAGTTGAAAGTCTGTGTTGCCCAGCGACAGCCCCAAAACATCACTGCTCTAGAGGAGATCTGCATGGAGGAATGGGCCAAAATACCAGCAACAGTGTGTGAAAACCTTGTGAAGACTTACAGAAAACGTTTGACCTGTGTCATTGCCAACAAAGGGTATATAACAAAGTATTGAGAAACTTTTGTTATTGACCAAATACTTATTTTCCACCATAATTTGCAAATAATTCATTAAAAATCCTACAATGTGATTTTCTGGATTTTATTTTTCTCATTTTGTCTGTCATAGTTGACGTGTACCTATGATGAAAATTACAGGCCTCTCTCATCTTTTTAAGTGGGAGAACTTGCACAATTGGTGGCTGACTAAATACTTTTTTCCCCCACTGTACACCTTAGCCAAATACATTTCAACTCAGTTTTTAACAATTCCTGACATTTAATCCTAGTAACAATTCCCTGTCTTAGGTCAGTTAGGATCACCACTTTATTTTAAGAATGTGAAATGTCAGAATAATAGTAGAGAGAATTATTTATTTCAGCTTTTATTTCTTTCATCACATTCCCAGTGGGTCAGAAGTTTACATACACTCAATTAGTATTTGGTAGCATTGCCTTTAAATGGTTTAACTTGGGTCAAACGTTTCGGGTAGCCTTCCACAAGCTTCCCACAATAAGTTGGGTGAATTTTGGCCCATTCCTCCTGACAGAGCTGGTGTAACTGAGTCAGGTTTGTAGGCCTCCTTGCTCGCACACACTTTTTCAGTTCTGCCCACAAATTTCCTATAGGATTGAGGTCAGGGCCACAACTTTGGAAGTATGCTTGGGGTCAGTGTCCATTTGGAAGAGCCATTTGCGACCAAGCTTTAACTTCCTGACTGATGTCTTGAGATGTTGTTTCAATATATCCACATAATTTTCCTTCCTCATGATGCCATCTATTTTGTGAAGTGCACCAGTCCCTCCTGCAGCAAAGCACCCCCACAGCATGATGCTGCCACCCCCGTGCTTCACAGTTGGGATGCTGTTCTTCGGCTTGCAAGCATCCCCCTTTTTCCTCCAAGCATAACGATGGTCATTATGGCCAAACAGTTCTATTTTAGTTTCATCAGACCAGAGGACATTTCTCCAAAAAGTATGATCTTTGTCCCCATGTGCAGTTGCAAACTGTAGTCTGGCTTTTTTATGGCGGTTGTGGAGCAGTGGCTTCTTCCTTGCTGAGCGGCCTTTCAGGTTATGTCGATATAGGACTCGCTTTACTGTGGATATAGATACTTTTGTACCTGTTTCCTCCAGCATCTTCACAAGGTCCTTTGCTGTTGTTCTGGGATTGATTTGCACTTTTCGCACCAAAGTATGTTCATCTCTAGGAGACAGAACGCGTCTCCTTCCTGAGCGGTATGACGGCTGCGTGGTCCCATGGTGTTTATACTTTTATTTGTTTTTTATTTAACCTTTATTTAACCAGGTAGGCCAGTTGAGAACAAGTTCTCATTTACAACTGCGACCTGGCCAAGATAAAGCAAAGCAGTGCGATTAAAAACAACAACAACAGAGTTACACATGGGATAAACAAAACGTACAGTCAATAACACAATAGAAAATCTATATACAGTGTGTGCAAATGTAGTAAGTTATGGAGGTAAGGCAATAAATAGGCCATAGTGCAAAATAATTACAATTTAGTATTAACACTGGAGTGATAGATGTGCAGAAGATGATGTGCAAATAGAGATACTGGGGTGCAAATGAGCAAAATAAATAACAATATGGGGATAAGGTAGTTGGGTGGGCTAATTACAGATGGGCTGTGTACAGGTGCAGAGATCGGTAAGCTGCTCTGACAACTGATGCTTAAAGTTCGTGAGGGAGATAAGAGTCTCCAGCTTCAGAGATGTTTGTAGTTCATTCCAGTCATTAGCAGCAGAGAACTGGAAGGAATGGCGGCCAAAGGAGGTGTTGGCTTTGGGGATGACCAGTGAGATACACCTGCTGGAGCGCATACTACGGGTGGGTGTTGCTATGGTGACCAATGAGCTAAGATAAGGCGGGGATTTGCCTAGCAGAGATTTATAGATGACCTGGAGCCAGTGGGATTGGCGAAGAATATGTAGTGAGGGCCAGCCAACGAGAGCGTACAGGTCACAATGGTGGGTAGTATGGTGACTTTGGTAACAAAACGGATGGCACTGTGATAGACTACATCCAATTTGCTGAGTAGAGGGTTGGAGGCTATTTTGTAAATGACATCACAGGAGTCTAGGATCGGTAGGATAGTCAGTTTTACGAGGGCATGTTTGGCAGCATGAGTGAAGGAGGCTTTGTTTTGCGAAATAGGAAGCCGATTCTAGATTTAACTTTGGATTGGCGATGCTTAATGTGAGTCTGGAAGGAGAGTTTACGGTCTAACCAGACACCTAGGTATTTGTAGTTGTCCACATATTCTAAGTCAGACCCGCCGAGAGTAGTGATTCTAGTCGGGCGGGCGGAAGCAGTGTTCGATTGAAGAGCATGAATTTAGTTTTACTAGCGTTTAAGAGCAGTTGGAGGCTACTGAAGGAGTGTTGTATGGCATTGAAGCTCGTTTGGAGGTTTGTTAACACAGTGTCCAATGAAGGGCCAGATGTATACAAAATGGTGTCGTCTGCGTAGAGGTGGAACCCCCCTCCTCCAGCGTACTATTGTTTGTACAGATCAACGTGGTACCTTCAGGCATTTGGAAACTGCTCCCAAGGTTGAACCAGACTTGTGGAGGTCTACACTTTTTTTCCTGAGGTCTTGGTTGATTTCTTTTGATTTTCCCATGATGTCAAGCAAAGAGGCACTGAGTTTGAAGGTAGGCCTTGAAATACATCCACAGGTACACCTCCAATTGACTCAAATGATGTCAATTAGCCTATCAGAAGCTTCTAAAGCCATGACATCATTTTCTGGAATTCTCCAAGCTGTTTAAAGGCACAGTCAACTTAGTGTATGTAAACTTGTGACCCACTGGAATTGTGATACAGTGAAATTATAAGTGAAATAATCTGTCTGTAAACAATTGTTGGAAAAATTACTTGTGTCATGCACAAAGTAGACGTCCTAACCGACTTGCCAAAACTATAGTTTGTTGAAAAACGACTTCAACTGTATATGCACTTTATCTGTGAATATGAACAGCATCTGATATCGGAGATGCAGTAGAATAGAAAATGAGTATTTCTCTGAATGGAAAAATGTTTAATTATTATTTCAATGACCCCTCCTATATAGATGTAGTTATGATAATCTAAATATAGATTATATGAGCCGTTGATCTATTGTCCATGGCATAGTTTACACCAGTGGTCTAACCCTCCCCCACATTTTCTCCTCTGCTTTGCTATCCATCCCCCAACTCCTCCTACTCACGCACTATCCCACTATTTCAAACAGCTGATTTACAAGAAAGAAAGGGATAATTCGGAAGACATGTTTAGCAGATGATATAGAGAAGAGCGATGGAATATATCACATAGCAGCTGGTTTAATCTCTCTTGGCACTTTTCCTTTTAAGCATTGGGTATGATATTGCTAGCTTGTTAGCAACTTAGCTAGCTGGCAACCCCCGGCTAACGTTATGTAGCTAGCGATGCAAAACTGACTTTCGTTGTGTAAAATCAAAAGAGGACTTCCTCGCGCTGCGAACCACGTTGGGAGCTGGTTGGTTTTTGTTTCATTTTCCAGGAATCGTTTCGTCTACTGAAAGTGTTTTTGCTCAAAGCAAATATATAGGTCACGATAGTCTGCTAGCTAAATACCCGGCTTTCTATATGGGCCATGGAACAGCTGGTTAGCATTCGGGCTAATGCTAGCTAGCTAACGTTCTACGAATCTGAATTTCATTGACCGACATCTCGAGCTGGAAGAACCGGGCGTTTGCTACCCTTATTTAGCTACCTCTGCAACAGAGTGAAACTGGTTAGCTATATAATAAGCGAGTGTAATTACTAAGCTAACTATATGCAAACACAGTTGTGTGTTCTTTTCGGTTTAGCTAGCTCGTTAGTTAACATCAACCAGACAAAGGTAGCTAGCTATGCCCGGGCAACAAACTAATGTAAGCGCGAGCTGGTAGTCAGGTAATGTAACATAGCATTGTTAGCTAAGGGGAGACCTCTTTCTCATCGTAAAATTAGGCCACATAACATTAAGTACAAATGTATTGACAGTGACCGGCATTGTTTTCCCCATCCAGACTTGTATTGATTATATGATCTCTGGGCAATTGGATAGCGTTTGTGTCTCTATAACTCAGGAATTTCTGGACCCGACAGTGTTTTTGAACACATTGCTAACTATACTTATAGTTTTCTGTCGTGACCTACCTCACTAAAGCCAATACTGGTGATTCCACGACAAGAGTCTAATAGCAAGCTAAACAACACTGCTCCTGTTATTATATAGCTAGCAAGATAGCTGCTAGCCAATTCAGACATTGTTTACATTCTCCGTTGCATGTTCTACAAGCGAGGAACATAGTCACAATCATGCCTGCATAGAACATTGAAGTCAAGCTCTCGGTTCATGGATATGTAATGCATGCAACGCTCAAAGCGAATACAGTATTAGACATAGCTCCCAAACGAACTCTTCTGATAGGGGTTTGAAATAGAATGGCATTCCATGGTACAGGCCGGCAGCAGACAGTATGTGGTAACCTGTTCCCCGGATCTGAGTTAGGCCATAACAAGTATTTTTGCGTCAACGCCTCAACTGGAGCCACTTCCACGGGCCTCATTGCAACACCGAGTCTAACTGGACCCACTGCCCCGGTGGGGACGCCTCGACACCCGACATCTCTTGGGGGAAGCACCGGTGGCGCAGCCGCTGTACCACAGCCTCATAGTAATCCTGCCAGTGAAGTGCCAAGCCCTGCTGAGATGGAGCCTGATCGACCTATCGGTTATGGCGCATTTGGTGTGGTCTGGTAAGTTGTGCCATTTCAAATAAGAATTAAGACTGATTTCCATGAGTTTTTGCATGGTGTTTTCCCTTTCCAAAAAGGGTGTGAATCTGACAAGCGAATGAGATAGACATACTGTGTGTGTGGGTGCAAGTGCCCTCCCAATTGGTGACCAGTGCTAACAGACCCCTCTCTTCATCTTGTCCCTTCAGGTCGGTGACAGACCCTCGTGACGGGCGTAAGGTAGCCCTGAAGAAGATGCCCAATGTCTTCCAGAACCTGGTCTCCTGTAAGAGGGTCTTCAGAGAACTGAGGATGCTCTGCTTCTTCAAACATGACAACGTAAGAATGGATAGCAATACATCTATACATGGCACTGCACAACACACAGAGGATGCGTCCTAAATGGCACCCTATTCCCTATACTCTGGTAAAAAATAGTAGACTTACTCTAGGAGTAGGGTGCCATTTGAGACGTTTTCATACAGTATTACATCCATAATATAGGCATAACATAAGACATAGTAATGCATCTTCACTCTGCTCATTGATATGCTTCCATACAGAGGCTAGCTCTACAAATATCACTGTGAAGTTAGAGGTTTGTTATAGTTTAGACACTTAAGGACAAGAAGCGCCATAACAAACGTTGGCTGTGAACGGTAGATCACTTGCTGAGTGTTGACGAATGGTGGTGATTCAACATGTACAATCGTCAGGAAATGAACACAAATGACGGCCAATATTCTGAAGTCAGAAGCGATAGGATGGCCACTCACTGCTTTTAACCGTTCGCCTGTCTGTTTTGTCCTTTAGATCTCTAATCATTAAAACAATGAGAAGGGTGGTGATGATGATGTGTGTTTACAGGTGTTGTCAGCGCTGGACATTCTGCAGCCTCCACAGATCGACTGCTTCGAGGAAATGTATCCTTCACATGCGCATTCATGTGCACACACACACTTGCACACATGACAGTTGTGTCAGCTATTGTTCACTCCTGCACTTTCTCTGTCCCAGTTTCAAAGTAGTCTGAATCTACATAGTACAATCTAAATCAAGATAAACCTCAACAGAGATGATACCATTAGTGATAGTCTTGTGTTATGATAGATAGATACTCCATCTATCTTTATTAAAGTTAAATGTATTATGCTTTCTTCTATGTGGTCCATCCACATCCTATAGACGTCTGTTGTTTCCTTGACCGCGGGCCATGCCTGACCGTAGCTACGTGATCACTGAGCTGATGCAGAGTGACCTCCACAAAGTAATTGTGTCTCCCCAGCCCCTCACCACCGACCACATCAAGGTGTTCCTGTACCAGATCCTCAGAGGTAAGTGGGACGGAGGGAGGAGTAGGGAAAGGGGCAAAGTTCAAGGTTGAAAAGAAGTTGGAAGTCAAGGTTAAAGGTTGACTCCTGAGCCCAAAAACAACCCATTTGTGAGTTTGCCCCCTAACCTTTCTGGGTTTGCAGGTTTAAAGGAGCCAGCTTGTTTCATGTGATGGAGCCATATTGACGGATTCATGTTGTCATTGACTCAAACACTGAAGGGGAATTGGCTAGGGGCTGTATTTGGACTGTTATGAGTAACAGTGATTCTCCTTCTCTCAGGGCTGAAGTACTTGCATTCTGCTGGCATCCTGCACAGGGACATCAAACCTGGGAACCTGTTAGTCAACAGCAACTGCCTGCTCAAGGTAACTGTCTGTGTACACGTTTGTGTCCGCATGTGTGAATCTGTGTGTGAACTTCCTCAAAAGACATGACAAGAAAGCATGATGCTGACAAAGAAAATAATAATTTAGTAGAGGTCAGTATGGGCTGAAGAATTTAATCTATACACCTTTTGACAAACATACACGTGTATTATGCTAAAATTACACGTATCAACCTACGCGGAGTATACCAAACATTACAAACTCCTTCCTAATATTGAGTTGCAACCCCCACCTTTTGTCCTCAGAACCGCCTCAATTTGTCGGGGCATGGACGAAAGCATTCCACAGGGATGCTGGACCATGTTGACTCCAATGCTTCCCAGTTGTCTAGTTGGCTGGATGTCCTTTGGGTGGTGGACCATTCTTGATACACACAGAAAACTGTTGAGCGTGAAAAATCCATCCGGATTGCAGTTATTGGCACACTCAAACTGGTGCGCCTGGCATTTACTACCATACCCCGTTCAAAGGCACTTAAGTATTTTGTCTTGCCCATTATTCAACCTCTGAATGGCACACATACACAATCCATGTCTCAATTGTCTTGAGGCTTAAAAATCCTCCCCTTCATCTACACTGATTGAAGTGGATTTAACAAGTGACATCAAAAAGGATCATAGGTTTCACCTGGATTCACCTGGTCACTCTATGTCATGGAAAGAGCAGGTGTTCTTAATGTTTTGTATACTCAGTGTATGTTATTATCATGTAACTAAATTCCCCCACTTCCACTCCCCTCTCTCTCAGATCTGTGACTTTGGGCTGGCACGTGTGGAGGAGCCGGACCCGTCTCGTCACATGACCCAGGAGGTGGTGACTCAGTACTACCGGGCTCCTGAGGTGCTGATGGGCAGCCGCCATTACGGCTCTGCCATAGACGTCTGGTCGGTGGGCTGCATCTTCGCTGAACTACTGGGTCGACGCATCCTGTTCCAGGCCCAGAGCCCCATACAACAGGTAGACGGGCGGGAGGCACAGAACCATATTCAACAGGTTGGGAGGGAGGAAGGAAGAAGCAGGGAAAGCCATCTAAAGGTGTAATCTGTCTGGGCAATAATGTAATTTTATCTAACAATTAATAATCAAATAATTTATTGAACTTAACTGATCCTAGATCTGTGCTCCATACACTTTTGGCACTTGTGGATGGTCGGTTTTTATTTATTTAGGTTTGTTGTAAAATTAAATATCCTCTCTCTTCCACCCTCACTCCATCTCCTCACTCTATATTCTCCCTCAGTTGGATCTGATCACTGATCTGCTGGGTACCCCTCCTCTCTCTGCCATGGCATCTGCCTGTGAGGGGGCCAGAGCTCACATCCTGAGAGGACCTCACAAACCGGTACTTCCTCCTCACTGAACCTCTGAACTACCCACTAACTGATCTGACCTTCCTTTGTATTACTATGAGACAGATGTGGTCAAATATTGACACCCTTGCACTTTACAATGGAGTGCAATAGAGCAGAATGTTCTGTTTTCTCTTTTCAAAACTGGTTGAATGGCTATTTTTACCCTGTAGGCACCTTCAACTTACCACAGGTGAGATATAAAATGAGACAAACGAAAAACACCTTACTTCCATCTAGGGTTGTTACGGTGACCGTGTTACCACCACACCGGCGGTCACGAGTCATGACCGCAATCAAATTCCATGTGACCGTTTAGTCGCGGTAACTAGGCTTCTCCAAAACTGTGCTCTGATGCCGCTGATGGTTAAACTTGCTGCCAAACTTGCTAACTGCCAGTCACTAATGGCCTGGTACTTATTGTCCCTCTAATCACTCAATGCAAATGCAATTGAAAATCAAATCGAGCACTTCATGAGAACCCGTGACATTTTTATAGGCTATGCAATTGCGTGAGAGTTTTTGAAGGCCTCTGTTAAAACGAGGAGGGAGGATCCCATCAGATTTCTGTAGTCTAGGCCTACTATTTATTTCTCAACTTTCCTAATATTAAGCCCATTGCATCACTTTACAAAAGGAGTAGCCTACCTGGCTGGTATGAAAATGAACCGCAGGAAAAGTGTCCTCCATTCGTTATTTGTGCATAAGATGACATATTATTAATTTTTTCTGCCCCTGTTCTGACAGGTACATGATCATCATAGTCACAAACCATGTAGCCTAGTCCATAGGGCTATATGTTTAATAAGGTTTGTATCACAACTAAAGTGGCCAAATAACTCCAAACGCAGCCTATAGCCTAGGCATAGGACCCCTGGAACAGGGTTGGAGAGCACATAGCCTAGTGAAACGTGTTCTTATAAGCCCAGTCATTGCGCAGTCGCGTGTGTAAACAGTTTTGACTGGCCACTATTTAAAAGAGGATCCCAGCTTTCTTGTGCTGCTATATTTCTTGCTCACTTGTTAAAGTTAAGCACGTTAATCCACTTTACAACCAGTGTAGCCTACCAGGCATACATAGACGGTGTGTGAGTTTCAACTTTGGGGAGATACTTTTCACCATAAATATGCACCTTTATGAATATATACTTTTTTCCCCCTCACTGTATTTGATCCCCTGCTGATTTTGTACGTTTGCCCACTGACAAAGACATGATCAGTCTATAATTTTAATGGTAGGTTTATTTGAACAGTGAGAGACAGAATAACAACCAAAAAATCCAGAAAAACACATGTCAAAAATGTTATAAATTGATTTGCATTTTAATGAGGGAAATAAGTATTTGACCCCCTCTCAATCAGAAAGATTACTGGCTCCCAGGTGTCTTTTATACAGGTAATGAGCTGAGATTAGGAGCACACTCTTAAAGGGAGGCTCCTAATCTCAGTTTGTTACCTGTATAAAAGACACCTGTCCACAGACGCAATCAATCAATCAGATTCCAAACTCTCCACCATGGCCAAGACCAAAGAGCTCTCCAAGGATGTCAGGTACATTATTGTAGACCTACACAAGGCTGGAATGGGCTACAAGACCATCGCCAAGCAGCTTGGTGAGAAGGTGACAACAGTTGGTGCGATTATTCGCAAATGGAAGAAACACAAAAGAACTGTCAATCTCCCTCGGCCTGGGGCTCCATGCAAGATCTCACCTTGTGGAGTTGCAATGATCATGATAACGGTGAGGAATCAGCCCAGAACTACACGGGAGGATCTTGTCAATGATCTCAAGGCAGCTGGGACCATAGTCACCAAGAAAACAATTGGTAACACACTACGCCGTGAAGGACTGAAATCCTGCAGCGCCCGCAAGGTCCCCCTGCTCAAGAAAGCACATATAAAGGCCCGTCTGAAGTTTGCCAATGAACATCTGAATGATTCAGAGGAGAACTGGGTGAAAGTGTTGTGGTCAGATGAGACTAAAATTTGGCCTCAACTCGCCGTGTTTGGAGGAGGAGGAATGCTGCCTATGACCCCAAGAACACCATCCCCACCGTCAAACATGGAAGTGGAAACATTATGCTTTTGGGGTGTTTTTCTGCTAAGGGGACAGGACAACTTCACCGCATCAAAGGGACGATGGATGGGGCCATGTACCGTCAAATCTTGGGTGAGAACCTCCTTCCCTCAGCCAGGGCATTGAACATGGGTCGTGGATGGGTATTCCAGCATGACAATGACCCAAAACACACGGCCAAGGCAACAAAGGAGTGGCTCAAGAAGAAGCACATTAAGGTCCTGGAGTGGCCTAGCCAGTCTCCAGACCTGAATCCCATAGAAAATCTGTGGAGGGAGCTGAAGGTTCGAGTTGCCAAACGTCAGGCTCGAAACCTTAATGACTTGGAGAAGATCTGCAAAGAGGAGTGGGACAAAATCCCTCCTGAGATGTGTGCAAACCTGGTGGCCAACTACAAGAAACGTCTGACATCGGTGGAAAAACCCTTGTTGGCAATCACAAAGTACTAAGTCATGTTTTGCAGAGGGGTCAAATACTTATTTCCCTCATTAAAATGTAAATCAATTTATAACATTTTTAACATGCATTTTTCTGGATTTTTTTGTTGTTATTCTGTCTCTCACTGTTCAAATAAACCTACCATTTAAAATTATAGACTGATCATGTCTTTGTCAGTGGGCAAACGTACAAAATCAGCAGGGGATCAAATACTTTTTTCCCTCACTGTATTTTTTTCTATTTATTAATTTTTGTCATTTAGCAGACGCTCTTATCCAGAGCGACTTACAGGAGCAATTAGGGTTAAGTGCCTTGCTCAAGGGCACATCGACAGATTTTTCACCTTGTCGGCACGGGGATTAGAACAAGCGACCTTTCGGTTACTGGCACAACGCTCTTAACCACTAAGCTACCTGCCGCTTCATCGCATTTGCAGGCTTGTGTAAGATTGCCTACTATTTGTAATGTGATGAGTAGATTGAAGTGTCATAATTTAGGCTAATAATATAACTCAATCACTGTTCGCAAAAAAGACCGTTCAATGCATGGCTGAGCACGTATAACCTAGAGTAGGTACAGTTGAAGTCAGAAGTTTACATACACCTTAGCCAAATACATTTAAACTGTTTTTCACTATTCCTGACATTTAATCCTAGTAAAAATTCCCTGTCTTATGTCAGTTAGGACCATCCACTTTATTTTAAGAATGTGAGATGTCAGAATAATAGTAGAGTGATTTATTTCAGCTTTTATTTCTTTCATCACATCCCCAGTGGGTCAGAAGTTTACATACACTCAATTAGTATTTGGTAGCATTGCCTTTAAATTGTTTAACTTGGTTCAAACGTTTCGGGTAGCCTTCCACAAGCTTCCCACAATAAGTTGGGTGAATTTTGGCCCATTCCTCCTGACAGAGCTGGTGTAACGGAGTCAGGTTTGTAGGCCTCCTTGCTCGCACACGCTTTTTCAGTTCTGCCCACACATTTTCTATAGGATTGAGGTCAGGGCTTTGTGATGGCCACTCCAATACCTTGACTTTGTTGTCCTTAAGCCATTTTGCCACAACTTTGGAAGAATGCTTGGGGTTATTGTCCATTTGGAAGACCCATTTGCGACCAAGCTTTAACTTCCTGACTGATGTCTTGAGATGTTGCTTCAATATATCCACATAATTTTCCTTCCTCATGATGCCATCTATTTTGTGAAGTGCACCAGTCCCCCCTGCAGCAAAGCACCCCCACAGCATGATGCTGCCACCCCGTGCTTTACGGTTGGGATGGTGTTCTTCGGCTTGCAAGGCACCCCCTTTTTCCTCCAAACATAACGATGGTCATTACGGCCAAACAGTTCTATTTTTGTTTCATCAGACCAGAGGACATTTCTCCAAAAAGTAAGATCTTTGTCCCCATGTGCAGTTGCAAACCGTAGTCTGGCTTTTTTATGGTGGTTTTGGAGCAGTGGCTTCTTCCTTGCTGAGTGGCCTTTCAGGTTATGTCGATATAGGACTCGTTTTACTGTGGATATAGATACTTTTGTACCTGTTTCCTCCAGCATTTTCACAAGGTCCTTTGCTGCTGTTCTGGGATTGATTTGCACTTTTCGCACCAGAGTACGTTCATCTCTAGGAGACAGAATGCGTCTCCTTGAGCGGTATGACGGCTGCGTGGTCCCATGGTGTTTATACTTGCGTACTATTGTTTGTACAGATGAACATGGTACTTTCAGGCGTTTGTAAATTGCTCCCAAGGATGAACCAGACTTGTGGAGGTCTACAATTATTTGTCTGAGGTCTTGGCTGATTTCTTTAGATTTTCCCATGATGTCAAGCAAAGAGGCACTGAGTTTGAAGGTAGGCCTTGAAATACATCCACAGGTACACCTCCAATTGACTCAAATGATGTCAATTAGCCTATCAGAAGCTTCTAAAGCCATGACATCATTTTCTGGAATTTTCCAAGCTGTTTACAGGCACAGTCAGCTTAGTGTATGTAAACTTCTGACACACTGGAATTGTGATACAGTGAAATAATCTGTCTGTAAACAATTGTTGGAAAAATTACTTGTCATGCACAAAGTAGATGTCCTAACCGACTTGCCAAAACTATAGTGTGTTAAAAATAAATTTGTGGAGTGGTTGAAAAACGAGTTTTAATGACTCCAACCTAAGTGTATGTAAACTTCCGACTTCAACTGTAAGGACAACTCAGAATATGCTATTCTGTTCTTCTGAAATAGGCTACATTTTCTTCATATCATGTTTCTTTAGACCTGTCTAAAATAAATAATGGATTTATTGTGATGGTGTAAGCTAATTAAATTAATTTCTTATGCTTTTTTGTACTTGGATAGTAGGCTATGCGTGGAAGCCAGGAGTTGCCAAATGTGATTGTTTGTGTTTATGTTAATAATAAAAAAGATTTAAAAAAATAAAATAAAAAAAACGTGAACACCCCCACATTTTTTTAATTATCTAATCTAGACCCCACCCACCATCCTTATCTAAAACCAGGTGCAGCAGTTCATGATGTAAAATCTCTGTCTCCCCCCCCCCCCCCCGCCCCTTCTCTCTCAGCCGTCGCTCTCTGTGTTATACATGCTGTCGGACGGGGCGACCCACGAGGCCGTGCACCTGTTGTGTCGTATGCTGGTGTTTGATCCGGTGAGTACAGACAGAAGTCTATAGGGAATTGTCACTCTAACGGCTTTCTCTTGTATAGGGAAGTTGTAGTTTAAAGCAACAAGAGCTGAAAATGTAGCTACCTACCGCTGAGAAGGAAAATGCATAGCTAGCTACAGTAAGGGAGAAAAAAACAAGATTAGAGAGGGACCAACTTTTTCTCCGTGTGTGTGACTACCTCAGGCCAAACGGATCTCGGGCAGTGACGCCCTTTCCCACCCCTACCTGGACGAGGGCCGTCTGCGCTACCACACGTGCATGTGCCAGTGCTGCTACTCGGTGCCCAGCGGGCGTGTGTACACGCGGGACTTTGAACCGCCCGCCGACCGGAACTTCAGCCACAGCTACGATAACAGCCTGCTCTCTGTCTGGCAGGGCAAAGGTAGGAGCTATCTGGTGCTCTTCCCTCAACTCCTCTTTCTCTTCAATTCTCTTCTCTTTTCCAACCCAGCTTGCTATTGAAATTGATGGCCTGTTGCGATCTCGCTCTCGCAATCTCCTCTCTCTCGCTTTCTCAGAGCTCATCCATCGCTTCATAACAGAGCACCAGCAGGGGAAGCGAGTGCCGCTGTGCATCAACCCCCAGAGTGCCGCCTTCAAGACCTTCATCAGGTGAGGAACACCAAGGGAGGGAGGGAAGAACACAACTAACATACATGCAGCTTAAAATACTATTTTGCCATGTACTATCTACATCTCTCTTTCTTTGTCTCTCTTTCTCGATCTTTCAGGTCTACTGCATGGCATTCCTCCAAAGTCTCCAGGAAGGAGGAGAGATGAAGGGGAGTATAGTTCATGTACAAGAGGAATCATGGGAAATTCAGTTTGATAAAAAGAACAAGACTTGCTTTGGTCAATATAATAGAGATAGGTTTGTGTTTCTCTGGATGAGGTGTGAATGAAACAGTACGCCAGCCTCTGAGAGAAGAACAGTGTCTGTCAGAGGAAATGCTCAATTTGACCAAAGACTACATTTCCCTTCAATGAAAACTACAGTTCCAACTATGAAAACGACTATTGACACTGGTGAAGAGTTGACGACACCAAAGCTATAGGCATTTCCCCAATGCTGAAAACTAAAACGTGCTGCTGAATTCAAAAAAAGAACAAAGAAAGAGGAAGAGTGGTAGAAGAGAAATTATTGGAAACATTTATTACTAGAAGAGTTGAAGTTGGTTGTGTTGTGCTCCGACTTGGTTGATGGTGGAGACAAAGGAATAGCTGTTTTATTAATTTATGTTAAATTGTTCTGCTCTGTTAATTTTGAAGTCATTCCAGCCTCGTGCAATATGATGAAAAGTGTCTAAGCAACGTGCTCCTGGCAATACCATACTCTCTTACCTGTGCTCTCAGTGACTTAGTCATGTTAATGTCACATTGATGACTCTACCTTTTATCATTTACTCTATTGATTTGGTTTGATAGTTTCACTGGACAGATCTTAGATCTGCGCTACGAGGCAAGCTCTGGCCTTGAGCGTTGCTCTACGCTACTCTTGAATTTTCCCTCCTAATCTGCCCTCGTCCATAACACTAAACCATTTCCAAGACAACAAATTAACTGCGTTCTTTGATTGGGTGGGGCCACGGCAGGGAAGGAGCTTCTGGGACTCGAGGCAGATGGATCCTCGCCCATGTTTTTAAAATCGTATTATTTTATATTTTAATTTATTGTGTGTTTTGAGCTTTTCTGTGAGTGGCGGTTCGAGCTTGAGCACGTGTTGTGCCCATGTACTGAGTTGTAGTCGGCCATTTCAGTGTGTGTGCTCACGTGTGTCTGTGTGTAGAGTTTAGGGGAAAGTGCAGTTTTCTGCTTCAATGATCTCATTACCTCAAACTGTTGGAGTCAAAAAGGGAACCCCAGAGAGAGTCTACTGGGTAAAGTGTACATAGACCCAACTCAACTACTATGTACTGGAACGTGATGTCGTTCATTTGTACTAAATCACACTGTCCTTCTTAACCTCTCTCTGTCACTCCCTCCCTCCTTTCTCCCTCTTGGAGAGAGAGAGGGATGGAGGAAGAGGGACAGATGACAGGAAGAACAGCTTGTTGAAATGTATTGGTGAAATGCTGCTGTATTTTGTTTTCTTGTTTTGGTTTTCCTTTATTGGTTGTTGGTTTATTTCCAATTTAGTTCACGGTTCAGGTGTTCCATTGCAAAGACTGTGGACCCGACCACACAAATACACACAGATATTATTCACCATTAACAGTGTGCCTCAACTTTTTTTCCCACAAAGAAGAATCGCAAAGCTCTGTGCGCTGAAGCTCTGACTGGAGCTAGTACTAACTAAAATGAGGCTCCTGAAGACGCTGTACTGTGCTTGTTGGCATTGCGGTCATGGCAGTGGTCAGGCCCTTGTCCTGCCATCTGATGGTGCTATTGGAAGTGTAAGCTTGGGGGTGATGGGGATTGCCAGAATGTTTCACTTAAACCTGCATGTGTGTATTTATGATAAAAAAAGGAAGCGGATTTTGGATTTGAATGCAGTGCAATTTGAATCCTTGTGATGACGTTAATTAATTAGATTTTAGGAAATATTAATATTATTTTTATGTTTTTATTTAGCTCTGTTTTGTGATGTGATTCATTTAAAAAGTTATTTTTTGGTTTCCCAACTTTGCTATTGTCATTAGTAGAGAGCCCAAGCAGGCTGAGTTTTAGAAGAGATCACCAGGGTCCGTCTCTCTCCCTTACACCCTCTCTATCCCCTTCACACTGTCCTTTCGTCAATGTTCGCCTTTATAGAAGGGTCATATTCTCAAAGGCACCATAAGTAAGAAAACAGACTAAAACTGTCCATAAGGACATCCTCCTCTTCTTTCCTTCATTGGCACTGATAGGAGAAGAGAAGACGGGTTAAAGCAATGTAGTAGAGAGAAGCCCAGTTGGGGATTTGCTTTCACATGTCCAGTTCTCTTCAGATCTAGGATCCATCCCAAATGGCACCCTATGCCCTTTGTAGGGCACTACTTTTGAGGGTCTGGTCAAAAGTAGTGCACTATATAGGGAATAGGGTGCCATTTGGGACGCAACCCTACTGCAGGAAAGGAAGCAAGTCTGTATCCTTTGTTCATGAGCTCAATAGGCATGGGAGAGAAGACTGCACCTGGGCATGTAGATGTTAGAAATGTTTCTGATGATAAGAGGGAAAAAAAGTGATACTTGTGTTTTTGTATATTCTGAATATGAAACCGATGTTGAATACTGCTGTTTTGAAAAAGTTAATATTCTGTTTTTTTTGTTTTTGTTTTGTCATGTTTTAGGAAAAGTCTTTGACTTGTGTTCCCAACAAATACTTGAATTTCTTAAGAAAACGACTAGAGTAAAGTAGTGAATAAATGGATAGTCACTGGATAATATTCCTGTGTGGTGTCTGCTTATCAATGGGGAGGGGTCTCAAAGGGAGAAGTTACATTGTACTGTATCAGGTTGTTGACTTAAGGGCTGCTGCCTCAAATTATTAGTTATTTTTGCCCCATGTTTTGTTTTTTGGTTGTATACTTTTTCTCGCTTTCAGAAAGTTTGGTTGTAATGTTAGCTTTCTCTATGGCAATTTCAACGTGTCTGACAATAACTGGTTATTATGCCTATTGCATTATAGCCTATATACAGCTGCGGAAAAAAAATAAGAGACCACTGCAAAATTATCAGTTTCTCTGGTTTTACTATTTATAGGTATGTGTTTGGGTTAAAATAACATTTTTGTTTTATTCTATAAACTACTGACAACATTTCTCCCAAATTCCAAATAAAAAGAGCTCAATTGGTAGAGCATGGCGCTTGTAACACCAGGGTAGTGGGTTCGATCCCCGGGAAATCCCATACGTAAAAATGTATGCGCACATGACTGTAAGTCGCTTTGGATAAAAGCGTCTGCTAAATGGCATATTATTATTATTATTATTATTAAAAATATTGTCATTTAGAGCATATATTTGCAGAAAATGACAACTGGTCAAAATAACAAAAAAGATGCAGTGTTGTCAGACCTCAAATAATGCAAAGAAAATAAGTTCATGTTCATTTTTAAACAACACAATACTAATGTTTTAACTTAGGAAGAGTTCAGAAATCAATATTTGGTGGAATAACCCTGATTTTCAATCACGGCTTTCATGTATCTTGGCATGCTCTCCACCAGTCTTTTACATTGATGTTGGGTGACTTTATGCCACTCCTGGTGCAAAAATTCAAGCAGCTCGGCTTTGTTTGATGGCTTGTGACCATCCATCTTCCTCTTGATCACATTCCAGAAGTTTTCAATGGGGTTCAGGTCTGGAGATTGGGCTGGCCATGACAGGGTCTTGATCTGGTGGTCCTCCATCCACACCTTGATTGACCTGGCTGTGTGGCATGGCGCATTGTCCTGCTGGAAAAACCAATCCTCAGAGTTGGGGAACAATGTCAGCGCAAAAGGAAGCAAGTTTTCTTCCAGGACAACCGTGGCATGATTCATGCGTCCTTCACAATCTGCCCGATTCCAGCCTTGCTGAAGCACCCCCAGATCATCACCGATCCTCCACCAAATTTCACAGTGGGTGCAAGACACTGTGGCTTGTAGGCCTCACCAGGTCTCTGTCTAACCATTAGACGACCAGGTGTTGGGCAAAGCTGAAAATGGGACTCATCAGAGAAGATGACCTTACTCCAGTCCTCTACGGTCCAATCCTTATGGTCTTTTGCAAACCTCAGCCTGGCTCTTCTTTGCTTATCATTGATGAAGGGCTTTTTTCTAGCTTTGCACGACTTCAGCCCTGCCCCTAGGAGCCTGTTTCAAACTGTCCTCACCGTGCACTTCACCCCAGCTGCCGTTTGCCATTCTTTTTGTAGGTCACTTGATGTCATCCTACGGTTGTTGAGTGACATTTGAATGAGTTAGCGGTCATCCCGGTCAGTAGAGAGTCGTTTTCGCCCTCTGCCGGTCTGTAGCTTTGTTGTCCCCAATGTCTGCTGCTTGACCTTGTTCTTATGAACCGCTGTCTTAGAAATGTTAAGGATGGAAGCAACCTGACACTCACTGTATCCCTATGCCATTAAAGCCAGAATTGAACCCTTCTTTTCCTCACTCAAAACTTTCTTTTTCAACTCTTTTGGCATGGTCAATAGTTATTTTTTGATTAATTTTACTTTTGAGGTGCTATTAGCACTCTTTTTGCCATCCAGCTGGTCCTATTGCAAGAGGATAGTGATGACCACAGCAGTGGTTTTTATACTTTTCCTCGTTAAATAAGATTTGGTTCATGTGATCACCTAATCAGTATCTAATTCAGTAGAATAAGGTGTGCCTGTGTTGGAATTCAACAGACACTGGAATGGAATGGCTGTCATACATGTAGAGATGCTGATTTAAGAAAAATGTGCAGTGGTTTCCACAGCTGTATGATACTGAGATATTATAATCCGTTTATACACACGACAAGCTGTATTATCCTCCAGTAAAGTGTTACCCAATTTATCACACATTATTGTACAGCTTATCAGGTTCAGGTTGACCACACTGCAGAGGTTGTGCAAATTAGATTGCTTCTATATTTTCTATCCATGTGCTAAACATAATAATTTCCAAGATCAGACATGTTTAGTGAGCTGTAGGCCTATATACCTATTTAAGCACTCTAAGCTGGCTTGTTTAGCGGACCCCACTGTGTGTGGAACTTTTACAGTCTTATCTGAGTTTGAGCATAGCTACATTAATTCTCAAAATAGTCAAGTTAATAATTCAACACATGGTTTGGGTTTAACAACTTGCAGTTTGATGTCTAATAAAACTGAATGACTTTTTCCTATCCAGCTTGATCTGAAAATGACTGGCAATTATTAAAGTCCGTTGCCCTTCTTGAAAAACAAAAAATACATTGTCCAGGGACAGCTGTAGGCTGTCACAGCACAGCTAGTCCTAGGAGTAATAGCCTATGAGGCGACCTCATCCGCCACAGTCCATTATACTTGGATATTAGCCTACCATACCTGGGGACCAAGGGGGCGGAGATAGAGGTGGCAGCGAACTGGCTATGTAGCCGGCTTAATGGCTACACTTTAGCCACAGCGGGACTGTGTCATGGATACACTATGATTTTTTCGATAGACTAACGTTTGCTGAAATTAGTTATACGACAACGGATCCAGTGCGACAGGTCCTAAAACAATATGCAGCTAAAGACTTCACAGTGAATGTATCGAATATTATCGGGCAAGCAATAGGGTCGGTCGGTCGATATGGCATAACGGTTCAGATATCAGTAGGCTAGTACGGCCGCCAAAGACGAGAAGAGAAGTGCCCTCGCAATATGAGTCAAAACAACACTCTCGAGCGAGCCATCGACTTCAACAGCATTTCGCCGCTCAGAAATAATATTGCTGAAGCAACGATCGGACCGCAGCACATCGGGGCGGGAGTCATATTCTGATTCGGACCAAGACCGAGACCACACGTCAGAAGCGGGAGGACATACAGACACATCCATTTGTCTTGCTTGACGCGAGTAATCTGATTTCTTGCAGATATCCCGAATACGGAATAAGACGACAAAACACAAAGATAATGTGGACCAATTCTCGACGTGTAGGCTACCACCAGGACCCAACACACTGATTTCCCCTTGATCTGACCGACTGGGCCGCAGAACGGGACGCCGCACCACCCAACTGTAAATTTAGCCTATCCATATCTTCTTCTTTTACTCTCCCTTTAATACCCCAACACCAAACCTCCCAACTCTTCTTCATTCTCACCATCCCTGCTCCGTGGTTAGGCAAGAAACGCCATGTGTCTATAATAAATGTTGTGTGTGTGTCGTAAACAGTCACGCTTTAGCCTATACAGGCCTGAATAATCTGTCACCCATCGCATGTTGAGTGGTTAGCAAGCATGCATTGTCTGTAAAAACTGAAACCAGGCTATACAATTTATCTCTTGCGTGTGTTATTACTAGACAAACCGCGTGCCACACAACCTGTTACAAGCTTCAATCACTCTTGTGCATGAAACGACTGCAGGTAAAAATGTATCGAATACAAATATAGCGAGCTCGCAGTCATACTCAAATAGTTACATTGATTTGTCCTGCTTGTAGTCTACACTGGCCTACAGTTGGCTACAGTAGCTAGCAAGCAAACATATGACAAAGGTTAGCCTATGCAGATTTGGAGCCGTGCCAAGACCGGCACAAGTCTGCCATTTTCAAAATAATGTGTTGCTTTTTGTTGTTGAGTTGACTTAATGGGTCGTGATAACTCCTATTTAGTGCAAAACAGACTTGTCCCGTTATTTTTTAATAGAGGAGGACCGTGTTACTTAGGCTATTTACGCGCATTGCGTATTTGACAATTGAGTCTGAGCCACGTTGTTGCCTTTGTTTTCTGCAAAGTTAACGATATAGCAACGTCAAGATATGCTTGGCATCATATGGGACGGGGTTATGGAGGGGACCAGTGGTTTTTATCCCCCCCTGTAAATTGCTGGTAGCCTACAGTCAGGAGGTGTAGCGTATGCACTGCTGTGCTGAACAAAAAAAACACAGCTAGCCAAGATAAATCTTAAAAGTATTTATATTATGTCCAGATAGGCCTTTAGCCCGTCAATCAAAATCGCATGCAGGTGCACCCATTTGTTGGTTATGGGATGAACCTGTTATGTTGTGATGGTGCATCACCTTCCCATATTGTCCAACATAGCCTAGGATGGAACAATAGGCCCCTCCCCAACAACATCCCCCTCCACCACCCCTCATACCCCTCATCATATCCCATCTGTACTGTAGGTACTCCCCTTTGTCAGCTGTCACCCCATTTCCTCTCTCTCTCTCACTAATTCCTTCTCTCCCAGCTGTAATCTGTCTAAATCTCCTGCTTTTTCTAATCCCTTTCTAAATCTATTTTGGTTTCAGCCACCTTTCTCTCTCTCTCTCCACCTATTCATCCTGTCTCTCTCCAGTCCCTCTGTGAGTACATGCATTTACCTAGAGCGCAATGACAGTGGAAAACCTAAATTAATTCATTCCCCAATGGCGTTAGGTAGCACAGCTGGGACAGCCAACAATACATGACGCCTACAGTGTAGTCAATGGATTTGTCAGCATTTGTGAGATTAGAGTGTAGTGTAGGGTCTGTCTACACACAAGGTAATTACTTGAGTGGATACGATTTTGATCATGTTTTAAAGGCAGCATGATGACACTGAATAAATGTGACATTCGTAGAAACTATACATTGACAGTTGAACAGTTTTATATGTGCAGATAACTATAATTTATTGTACATTTACTGCGCTCTTAATCAAGGTGTGTGAAACTGATTTGATGGATTTTCTGTATTTTTTTCTCCCTCTGTTCCCCATCCACCCCATCTTCTGTTTGTTCTGTCTGTCTGTGTGTGTGTGTGTGTGTGTGTGTGTGTGTGTGTGTGTGTGTGTGTGTGTGTGTGTGTGTGTGTGGACCCAGAAGCCATCCAGGCATCTGCTGGTTATGAGCAGGGGGTTGGGAGGGAGGTTTGGGGAGTTAACAAACATACCACCCACAGCTTTATCGTAGCCCTCTCTTTCCTCGTGTGTCTATTTTATTAACATGAACTGTTACCACCCAAAATATCCCCAAAACTAGCCTACTAAAAACAAATACAACATTTCACCCATATTGCATTAGCATAACATAGCATAACACTAGCATAACATTACTATTAGTATAACTAGCATAACATTACAACAATTCTGTACCAGTGTTCTATTGACAATACTTATACGCTGACACACATTCTAATGATATACCTATCAATACCTTCAAACATCTAGCAGTAAATGATAATTCCAAACTCTGCTACCATAGCTTTGAGAGTACCCTGCATAGATCAGTCATTCAACCTTTCCCACTTGTCAAGTGGTTTGAGGGCAGTGGTGAGGCACCTGTTGAGACACACACTCTGGGACCATGCTGAGCATCCTGGCTGCCGGCTCCATCTTCTTCCCGGGCCTGTTCCTACTGTCTAAGAGATGCCTGAAACATGCCCCAGGCCTGGGCTTGAGCGAGGGAGACGCCGCCATCGTGTCTGCCAGGTACACACACAACACATAAACACACACACACTTACAAGTCAGATACATGAGTCAATGTGAGGACTATACCTACCTATCATACCTTTACCTATGCTATTCTGCTTTGCTTGACATTTTATACTATTCTGCTATGGCTTACATTGTTGAATGTCAATACATTTTTCTATGGAGTTGTTATGGGTATGAATATATCAATTGAAACCCCACTCTCTGGCCCCTCTCTCCCCACTAGGCTGGTGTCATCCATCCAAGCAATCATGGCTTCCTCAGCTGGCTACATCATTGCATCCTCCTGTGAGGACATCATCGAGGATCAGTAAGTACAACATAATTATAATGCAGTAGTAGTTGCTGTAAAGTTTTGTGTTTCAGGTGTGTGTGTGTGTGTTTAGTGAGGCTCCTTAACAGCTTCTACCCCCAAGCCATAAGTCTGCTGAACAATTAATGAAATGGCCACTCGGACTATTTGCATTGAGGAAAACATCAGGCAATAATTGTGTATGATATTCTGTGTAGAAAATAACCATAATTGATCATGTTATTTTTTCACCAGTCTGATTTACTGCCTGGTCCTGTCCACTCTGTTCTGAAGGAAACAGAAGACACATATGTGTTTCTGAAAGTCTTATGTTTTCAGGGGTAGCTTCAACCGTTTAAAAGTTAGAGCAACATTTCTAGGAAGAAAACAGAAACCGCTCTGTTTATTACAACCGCAGTTAGCAGCTACCGGAGGTTACTCACGTAACCCTGGTTCTATGAATCAAGCGCATTTTCCCCCCCAGAGTTTCTCTCGCGACCATTTTTAACTGGAACAACCATTTCAGTAAATGGTGCAATAAATCTAACTGATTGGATTAGTTTAGAATAATGTATGTTATTTATCCTTATGTAGCATAAGATTAATCAGTCAATGTACATGCAAAAACACAGATATTAAAAACAATCCTAAAAATGTCTACCTGCAGTAGAGCATGCTGGGAAATCTGAAAATGATGGGCTTGATTTTAATGGGAAGGTTTTACTCTCCACAGAGTAAAATTGACACAATCACACTCAACACTGGTTATTAACCCCAACACTGGGGTTATTTTACACCAATGAGTGTTAATTTCACTCTTACAGAGTTAATTTAACTCCTGAATCAACACTCAAAATGTGACATTGAAAAATCAACACAAGTTAACACTGGCCAATTTGCTGTGTATGTTTAACTTTCAATCCAAAGAAAGTATGAAAGTGTGTGTGTGTGTGTGTGTGCATGTGTGTACGTAAGAATCTGTCATTATCTCCCTGCTCACCTTGTCCCTGTTAACCTAATTAGTATTTCAACCTAATTAACCTCTGTCTGTCCCCAAGCCAGCAGCACTATTTTAGTATCTGTAATGCAGTCACACAGAAGCCATAAACCTAGACTGCAGCATGCTGCTATGGAAATGTAGGAGTAGCTACTCAAACATGTCTCCACTGGTTTTACAACTGCAACTTTGTTAACAGTGGACTACAGCAAAACTATATACAATGCACACTGAAAGTGTCATGTTTTTGGTTGGAGGAAGAGGAGGAGAGGAAAAGGAGAGGAGGAAGAAAGGAAGACACTTTAGACTAGCGAGATGCTGTGATTCTCTGTGATTCTCGTCCTAAGATAACTCACAATGTGACACAGGTGCTCCTCTTAACCCCCTCCCTCTCTCCTCTTCCCCCTCATCCCTCCATCAATTAGGAGGAGGGGGGAGAGAGGGGGGGGGGGAGAGAGAGGGAGAGGAGAAAGGGAGAGGAGAGGAGAGGGGGAGAGAGATGGAGCTAGAGAGAGAGATACTGCCCTCCCTCCCCTTGCCCTCATTTGCCAGTCAAAGTCGGGAGGCGCTCGTGTGAGTGCCGGCTTATTTGACTACCAAATCACGAACCCGTCCAAATCACGCTCGTGCCCCAGAGCAGTGCATCCTGGCCAGTCACTTAACCCCCTGACATCTAGGCTGGAGCCTCACAGGATGCATCGCACTGAAATAGGCAATCGTGTATTTACATCGTAGTCACATAGGCAGGTACAGTGTACATGTAGTTACAGTGTAGGTACACATTGTTACATAGAACTTAAACTATTACACCTTCCCTTCTCTTTCACTCTTTCTTGCTTTCTCTCACGCTCTCACCTTTCTCACTTTCTCTGTCGCTCACCCCCCCTCTCTTCCCCCCCTCTTGCGCCCCACATCTCTCCAGACATTGGCTTACCAGTACCTATATCCTGTTTGCGGTGCCCTACTTTGCGTATGACATCTACGCCATGTTCCTGTGCTACTGGCACAAGCTGCAGGTCAAAGGGCACGAGGAGGAGGGCGGCAGGCCTAAGCCAATGGGCTCGGCAGTGGCCAGCTACCTGCGACGAGAGTTCCTCATGGTGCTGCACCACGTCGTCATGGTGACCATCTGCTTCCCCGTCTCCGTGGTAACTATCTATCGCTGTAACTAGGGTGGTGCCAGCGAACTATTTTGTTAGTCTACTGTGCTATGGTCTGTCTTATGTCTAAAAAGGAAAAAATTACAAATTATAAATGATACACACACACCCTTAAAGTCTTGACAGAAAGAGATGGTGATTTGGTTTGGTTAACATCCCTTCTATGGACACTTGTTTTTAAGGAGAGATAAGGTGTGCGTGTTTGTGAGCTTTTCTTTCAGTGGCCTGTCTATATACTTTATCGGCCATATCATGGCCCTCTCGCTCTCCCTCTCTTCCTATTTTTCTTCTCTCGCTCTCTCTCTCTCTCCTCTCTCTCTACTCGTCCTCTCCTCATCTCTCGTCTCTCCCTCATCCTCGGTTCTCTCTCTCTCCTCTCGTCCTCTCTCCCTCTGCTCTCTTCTCTCTCTCCTCTCTCCGCTCTCTCTCTCTCTCTCTCTCTCTCTCTCTCTCTCACGTTTGGTTAGTTCTGGAGGCAGGGAAAGGGGGATTACTTCCAGGGTGTCATGTTCATGGCTGAACTCAGCACTCCGTCCGTCTGCCTGGGGAAAATCCTATCCAAGTAATACTCACTCACTCCTTAATCATCCCTCCTATCATGCTCTGCTATTTCCTCTTCATTTACCTTTCATTTCTGTACTCTTCTCTATACTATTTCTTACCCTCTTCCTTATCATCCTTCTTATCTATTATCTCTTTTCTATATTCTATATCTATACTCTTCATATTAGCTCTATCTTCTTATCTATATCTCTCTCTTATTTCCTATCTTTCCTACTCATTCCTTTCCTCTCTTGCTATCATTATCTATCTCTCTCTCTATCTTCTCTCTCTTTCTCTATTCCATTCTTCTGTCATTTAATCTCTTGATTCATTTCCTATCTCTCCTTCTCATACTCATATCTACTTCCTCTCTTTCCTTCTTTCTCTCTTTCCCTTCTTTCATCTCTTGTTCACTCTTTCCCTCTCTCTTCTATATCACTCTGTCATCTCTTAACTATGCTTCTTAGATGACATCTTCATATATCATCATCTTTCACTCTCTCTAGGATGAATCTATAGCATCTCTTCAGCTACTTGATATGCTCGTTTCCTATCGTACCTTTCCGATCTCTATTGCACTCTCTAGAGAGATTCTATCGCTCTTTCCCCTCGATAGCGGTGATAGCTCCCTCTCTTCTCTATCTATCTCTCTCTCGCTCTCTCTTTCTCTCTCTTCCCGCGATTTCTCTCTCTCTCTCTTTCCTCTCTTTCCCTCTTGCTCTCTCTTTCCCTCTCTTTCCCTCTCTTTCTCTTGCTTTTTCTCTCATCTCTCTCCTCTCGCTCTTTCTTTCTTTTTTCTCCTGCTTTCTCTCTCTGCACCTCTTCTTCCTTCTACCTTTCTTCCTCAGTCTCTTACTCTCCTTGCAGCAGTCTAAGAACTTGAGTCTTTCTGATTCTGAAGTGCTCACTTACTAGCTTTCATGTTAACATTCTTGTCTCCTGTGATTTTGGGTTAACATTTACCCAAGCTTTCCTTCTCTGTCCTTCACCCTGCTCTCGTTTTTTTCCCTCCCTTGCTCCTGCCCTCTCTCTCTTTCGATCTCCCTTTGTCCCCCTCAGTACAAGAAGCAGCACACTCTTCTTCATAAAGTGAATGGCGCCCTCATGCTGGTCATTTTCTTCATCTGTCGAGTTCTGCTCTTCCCCTACCTCTACTACGCCTACAGCAGGTAACATACTGAACACTGTCTGTCTGTCTGCCTGGCTGTCTGTCTCAGTCTGTCTGCCTGTCTGTCTACTTGTCTGTCTACTTGTCTCTGTCTGTCTGTCTCTGTCTGTCTGTCTGTCTCTATCTGTCTGTCTGCTTGTCTGTCTGTCTCTGTCTAGCTGTGTCTTTCTGTCTGTGTGCTTGTCTGTCTGTCTGTCTATCTGTCTATATCAGTCTGTCTGTCTGTGTGCTTGTCTGTCTGTCTGTCTGTCTATCTGTCTATATCAGTCTGTCTGTCTGTCTGTCTGTCCCCAACTTCATCCATGCATTTTTTATCTCACGTTCTTAAGACCTACGATGGTAGGCTACACGTTTAAGTTTGCAGGCTTCTGACCTTGCTACTTAGCTAGCAGATAATATCATTCATAAATAAGCAACATTCTTTCTCATTTTTTGATTGGCGGCAGGTAGCTTAGTGGGTAAGAGCGTTGTGCCAGTAACTGAAAGGTCGCTTGTTCTACCCCCGAGCCAACTAGGTGAAAAATCTGTCGATGTGCCCTTAAGCAAGGCACGTAACCCTAATTGCTCCTGTAAGTCGCTCTGGATAAGAGCGTCTGCTAAATGACTAAAATGTAAATGTAAAAAATGATTGAAAATATCTTCCTTGCTTGCATGTAGCTATCTAGCTACTCGTCACCATTTTTTTTGTTATCTAGTTCTATCAAACCTTAGGGAAAACCACATGATTTCACATGGAAAATGACACGTGAAATCATGTAACAACATGTTATTTGGAACACTTATAATAATAATAATATGCCATTTAGCAGACGCTTTTATCCAAAGCAACTTACAGTCATGCGTGCATACATTTTTGTGTATGGGTGGTCCCGGGGATCGAACCCACTACCTTGGCGTTACAAGCGCCGTGCTCTACCAGCTGAGCTACAGAGGACCACACTTCACGTGACATTTCACATATGAAAACGTGCACTTTTGGAACATGAGTCCTTATGATACACACACAGTGCTGTTAACACACAGTGTTTTCAACTTACATATTTGACACATTTTGACATACTCTGAGTGTACAAAATAGTAGGAACACCTTCCTAATATTAAGTTGCACCCCCTTTTGTCCTCAGAACAGACTAAATGTGTTGGGGCATGGACTCTACAAGGTGTCGAAAGCGTTCTACAGGGATGCTGTTCCATGTTGACTCCAATGCTTCCCTTTGGGTGGTGGACCATTCTTGATACACACAGGAAACTGTTATGCATGAAAAACCCAGCAGCATTGCAGTTTATTGCCCATTCACCCTCTGAATGGCACACATACACAATCCATGTCTCTATCTCAAGGCTTAAAAATCCTTCTTTAACCTGTATCCTCCCCTTCATCTATAGTGATTGAAGTGGATTTAACAAGTGACATCAATAAGAGATCATAGCTTTCACCTGGATTCCCCTGGTCAGTCTGTCATGGAAAGAGCAGATGTTCCTACTGTTTTGGACACTCAGTGTACAGGACTACATTGTGTATGTTTATTGATACAGTAATTATTATTCAACGTGTCCTCACCTGGGATTTGAACTCACAACCTCTTGGTTCATGGCATTCCAATTTTTCTGCTACGTCATTACGTCGGTGTCAATAACTGATTTCACCTATATTTCTACACTTTGGACATCAATGACTAATGAAATCTCGGTCGACCAACAGCTTATCGACTAGTTGACTAAATGGGGTCAGCCACTAAAATACACCATACCATTTCTTTACTTATAATGGTGTGTGATGGTTTGGGACAATCTGAAACATGAGCAATGGACATTAGACTGGTGGAAATTTGTCCTTTGGTTTGTAGTCCAAATTTGAGATTTTTGGTTCCAACCGCTGTTTCTTTGTGAGACGCAGTGTGGGTGAACGGATGATCTCTGCATGTGTAGTTCCCACCGTAAAGCATGGAGGAGGAGGTGTTATGGTGTGGGGGTGCTTTGCTGGTGACACTGTCTGTGATTTATTTAGAATTCAAGGCACACTTAACCAGCATGGCTACCACAGCATTCTGCAGCGATACGCCATCCCATCTGGTTTGGGCTAAGTGGGACTATAATTTCTTGTTTTAACAGGACAATGACCCAACACACCTCCAGGCTGTGTAAGGGCTATTTGACCAAGACGGAGAGTACTGAATATTGATGATTTATAAGGCACATTTAACAGTTAGGCTATTGATTATAGACCTAATTAAGTTGGAGTTTCCTCTCTCCTCACTTTTCTTAGACAATTAAGGCAAGGGCTGTTCTCATGTCCTAACTCTGCTGCTGCCTCCACCGCATTGTTCTGAACACCAATATGCTGGTTAACTTTGCTATTATGCGCATAGCAACATGGTCTAGGAAAAGGTGCCAATTCAACAACATTTTTACATTTTAGTCATTTAGCAGACACTCTTATCCAGAGTGACTTACAGTTAGTGAATGCATACGTATTTTTTTTTAATATTTTTTTTCATACTGGCCCCCCGTGGGAAACGAACCCACATCCCTGCAGGCCAAACCCTCCCCTACCTTGGATGACGCTGGACCAATTGTGCGCCGCCCATGGGTCTCCCGGTTGCGGCCGGCTGCGACAGAGCCTGGACTCAAACCAGGATCTCTTGTGGCACAGCTAGCACTGCGATGCAGTGCCTTAGACCACTGCGCCACTCGGGAGTCAGCACTGATGTGTTTCAGAACCGTGGACAGCGACCACTATCCAACGTGGGAGAAAGCGTATTTGTTATAAAATAATATAATTTGTATTAGTGTTGCACCATTGTTCTTATGTAATATAACCATATACAATTTCAGTAGCACATGTCTTAGAGTGATGGACATGTTACAACATGTGAGCACATGTCAAAACATGATCTCATGTCTAGCGTGATCGTCTTTAAGGCCTCCACAATGGATTAGTCTACTCAGACAGGCGCGAATCAGACAGGTGCCTTGTACACCATGATATATATATTTTTTAGCTACTGCTCAACTAATTAAATCTCGGTCGACCAGCAGCTTATCGACTAGTTGACTAAATGGGGTCAGCCACTAAAATACACCATACCATTTCTTTACTTATAATGGTGTGTGATGGTTTGGGACAATCTGGGACCATCACGTGACGTCCTGACGACTGGTAAAACAAATGCCTTACAAACATCTTAACATGGTCCCTTACGGAAAAACAACTTGAATTTCACGTGATCACATGTTTCACATGTGATCTTGTGATCTTATGCGAAGGTAATGTGACAACATGTAAAGCAACATGTGATAACATGAAACTACACGTTACAACATGAGCACGTCAAAACATGATCTCATGTGAAGTGTTCCAAAAACATGTTTGCAAGTGATTTCACATGTGAAATTTCACTTATACATGTTTTGACACATTTTCACATGTGAAATGTCACGGTAATGTTCCAAAAAAACACATTTTCACATGTTTCGTGTAGTTTCATGTTATCACATGTTGTTACATGTTATCACATTAACATAAAATGACGTGATCGCAATGTGAAATTCATGTGTTTTTTCCGTAAGGGAAGCATTCTTCCTTGATTATTTGTATTAAATCAGATTGTTCAGTTTAAAGTCTTTAGCCATAAACCAACATCCTTGCTGATAGCTAGCTTGAGCCAAGGTGTTTTGTTTTAGAACTTGTTCAAATGAACAAGTTTGCGCTAAGTAAGTTTTAAAACATCTGGGTAAGCTTGTTAGCTAGCATCATTAAGCGAACATAAACCCTCATTCCCCCCTACTCCTCACCCTCCTCCTCATTGTGTTGCAGGTATGCCTCCATCCCCCTCTACACAGTGCCCCTGGGGGCTCCCTGGCAGTGCAACGTGGGGGCCTTCTGCCTCATGGCCCCACAGGTCTACTGGTTCACCCTCATCTGCAGGGGCGCCTTCCGCCTCTTCACCGGGGCCTCGGACTCCCGACCCCCGGCCCCCCTCAACAAGCCTGATGGGGGCTGCTGCCCCGGCCAGGGAGACGCTTTACCTCCTCCAGCCAACGGCTACAGTCCCGTCCCCTACCAGGCAGACAGAGAGACCGACACGCACTGAGAAAGAGAAAGAAATAGGGAGGGAGAGAGAGGAAGAGAGATCACTGTGGGGATGGGGCCAGCCAGACCAGGCCGGGGGAGGGAAGACGGAGGTCTGTCAAGGGAATGTATTGTACTGTATTGCAATGACACTGTAACCTAGGAGAGAGAAGAGAGGGAGAGAGAAAAATTGTTTCTCATCCTCTACCACTCTCTCCCTCCCTCCATCGCCCCTTTAGAGTTACATGGACCTCTGGAAGAAGAGAGAGACAGATGGAAAGAGGAGAGGGTGAAGAAAGAAAGAAAGAAATGAATAAGGGAGAGAGACAGATAAAAGCATAGACAGGAGAAAGACTTGTGAAATGGCAAGTATTTAAATATTACGTGGTTGTACACACTGATTTCAAACTGAATGGGAAAAAAAATGTATGGATTGAAAAGCGAAACAATGAAAGGATGAGAGATAACACATTGAAGAGCAATAGTGATAGAGGGATGCACAGAAGGATACAGACTGATTAAGCAAGAGCGATAGATCTTATTTGACTGAGTTAAAGGGATAGATAAAAAGTTGTCATCTCTTGAAAGAGAAATTCAACTGCTGTTCTAGTTTAGGGAAGGATACAAAATGAATATATCATAATGTATAGAAATATGTAGTCAATTAGTATTTGGTGAACAGTTGATTTTGGTGACTGCAGAAAGGGGGACAAAGACAATACCAGTATTTCAACTTGTGATCTGGTACTGTATTATTTGTCCATCAAGATGATCCACTCTGGATCAATTGAGTGGGTCTTGTCTTGGGAAAGGACAGAGGGACACGCACCGGCGCCTCTGGTATCGCTTTGTTCTGCCTTCTCTCCCCTCTGAAATTCTCTCTTTCTCTCCCTTTTCTCCTTTGAGAGAACTAATGTGGGAGGAGGGGAAGGGGGTTTACCCCAAAATGTGACAAGTTTATAATAGTAGATGAGTAAATGTCATTTTAGGTTTTTATATTGTTCTCATTCAAAGCATTTATTTATTTATTCATGTTGATAGTTTTTTATTTATTTATGTATTGTGATTTCTTAGTATGGGTAGACAGAGATGGAGAGAGAGATGGAATGTTGGAGAGATTAATTAATAGAGGGAGGGAGAGAAGGGGGAAGTAGTAGACTCAAATGGGACAATAATGCAGCCACGCTGTCCCAGTCACCCACCCAAGTTGAGTAACGCTGGCAGGCAGTCTTCAATACACCACTGGGTGGGTCTGTGCAGCTTACCAGATCTTTACAATGCCTGGAGAGGTGTTTAATGTCTCAGAAACCCCATCAACATGATATAACGCTCTGATAATGTGCACAGAACCTGTGTATCAGGAACACTGCTATTATCACCATGGTACTGAAATGTTAGGGAAGGCTGTTGTGGAATATGGTCTCCTGCAGACTAAACAGGGTAACCACATCTTAGAATGTAGATGCATTCTAGAGGCATTGTACAGGCGTTCTAGAGTCTGATGATGTAAGGGATTCCTAGATGATCTAAAGCAGTATTATGAAGGATTTAGAGAGAGTAAGTTGTTGCAGTGTGTTCAACCGTATGGGTGGTATTTGAAAGGGATTGCACTGGCTGACTAGTGCTATTACTGCACTGTACTGGCAACTGAGGTACTCTAGTCTCTTTATGCACTGAGGGATTTGTGTGATAGGACCGAAGAAGAAACACATTGACAATGCACTGAGAGAAGGGAATGATGGGGGGTAGTAACATGCAGCCAAACACAGGCTCCAAGTTCTAATTTGTTGCCACTATTTCAACCACTATTTTGTTTTTTTTTGTTTCTTTTACTTGTGTTTGTTTTGGTGCCAATGTGGCTATCTAAGGTTGTGTCATAACTGCAAGTCAAGAGGGTTGAAATGTGCTCCTTGAAACTCAACCCCAAGGTGAGCGGACCTTGAACACTTGACCACTGCCATGGGTTGTGACTTGGAGCAGGTCGACAGTGGGACTCTACTAGCCTGGTCCCAGATCTCTACTGGTACATGGAAGAAAAGTGAACAGATAGAGGGACTACTGTATAATGGACTATACTTATTGCATCAGGCTGTTTTCTTCTGTATAGCTGCATGATAGGAATGAGAGAATGGCTTTTTGACCATTGGCCAATATTAACCTGGGAACACTGTAACACTTAACTTACTTACTATTTACAATGTCAGTTATGGTACTGTTTAAAATGGCTTATTGAGGACTTGTTAATCTCCGCACCCAGAACCAAATCAGCTACTCGATTTTAACATTTTTAAATGTTTTGTTACGATAGATATTTTTTTATTTTCATTCATGCTTTATAACTGATTTAAAGGCACTGATTAAAGGTACATTGATTGGGAAATTGTATGATCAACATTCTTTTGCATACCAAAAATTAGTCCTAAGCGTCCGACAAGGGATATAAAGTGTAGAGTTGATCGTACAAATCAAATGTCATTCCTCAAAAATGAATGATATGTTCACAAATGTCAGTTGTAACAAAGATTAGGGTATCTAGTCAATACGCATCGCGGAAGGTCAGCTTTACAGCGTGATTGAAATGTAAAGGCAATGTTCCCGCTTTAGCGGAAACTGCATTCACGGTAAACGCTGCATATGACGGCTCAATCGGAAATTGGCCTTTACATTTCTATTGCGGAATCTGTAATGCTTCAGCTTTACAGATTGAATAGAGCCCAATTATTATTTTTAGGCGTCTTCAACACCAGAGCTGTTTTTTTTCTGTTCCTCATCTGACTGAAAGAGGTCGCTGAAACTGCCACTAAATATCACTTGCACTCGATTGCAAAGTTTAGTTCCAGAAGATATGCTTTGAGTGAGTGAGATAGTTGTTGGAGTTAAAAGACAAGTTGGTGATGATTTAAGCCAAAACTGTAATGTAATCTCCTTCTAGTGACTACTGTTGCAACTGACCCCCTCTAGTCCATTATAAATGATGCCTTCATGTTAAACCCTATGAGCAAAAAAAAAAATGTATTTCAACCAATTTTGCTCACAAGTGTTAACTCCCAAAAGAAAACATCATCCATTTTACCAGTTCCTACAGTTCAGTAAGTGTCCTCTGTCATGGAAAGTATTTTTAAAAATTGACTGCATCTTCCATATTGTTTGTTTGTTTCTTTTATTAATTTATTTTAATGTGTCTCTTTTATTTATTGAAGAGGTTTGAATGTACATATGAATACATATATAGATGATATATATCCTGTACGTATGGGCTTGTGTTCTGTCTGTTGACTGCTGCCTGACTAACCGTGGGCTCTACTGTGTAAACTCCTGTCTGTGTCTGAAATGGCACACTGTTCCCTACATAGTGCACTACTTTTGACCAGGGCCTGGTTAAAGTAGTACACTACAGTATGTAGGGAACACTAGGGTGCCATTTCGGACGCAGACCTGTTCTGTTGGCAGACATATACTCTCCTCTCCTGCTCTGACTACCAACATGACATCATAATTCTACCATTCTAGCACCACTGAATTGCTTTTGACAACAAGCACCAGTCTCATCGTGGTGAAGAACTTGGAGTGAAGTTTTGTTTTAAATGCAACAGATTGACCAATAAAATCCTCCCCATTGTTTGTGCATAAAGATGATTCCTGGTTGAGTCTGTTTATTTCATTCAAGACTCACTATACTTTGAACAATGATCTCACTTTAAATGGTATTCATTGATCAATTCTCTCAAGACTGCTGTTTGAGTATCCTTCCTACAGTCCATGGCCCACATTCATAAAGCTTCTTAGAGTAGGAGTGCTGATCTAGGATCAGTCCCCCCCCCGTCCATGGAATCTTATTCATTATTATCTAAAAAGCTAAACTGATCTTAGTTCAGCACTCCTTCTCTGAGATGCTTAATGAATAGGTACCCAGGGCTCTGCAATTCTGTTTCTCAAGGGTCAAAGTAGGACTACTGCTGGTTGTGAAACACTGCCAAACTTGACTGGAATTCTATAAATGAAAAATATTATAGGCAAACTGTATTATATTTATAATATATTTTAGTTGAACATAGACTAATTCATTTTAGCAGATGGAAATATGATAACATACAGTATATTAGTTTATAGAGAATTGCGTAGAGTGCCTATAGAAAGTGTACACCCCCTTGAACTTTTTTTCAAATTTTGCTGCCTTAAAAATCTATCTAATAAGCAATTAAATTATATTTCCCCCCCCCTACAGATCTACACAACATACTCCACATTTCCAAAGTGAAAGAAAGTTATAAAACATTTTCCAAATTAAGAAGAAAAAAATGAAATATCATAATTGTGTACTTGGTGGAAGAACCTTTGGCAGCCATTACAGCTGTGAGTTATTTTCATTAAGATTCTAACAACTTTGCACAACTTTTAGGGCATTTTATATCCAGCGTTTTTGTTAAAATTGCTCAGGCTCAGTAAATTTGGTTGGGGATCATTAATGGACAGCGATATTTAAACCTTGTCTCAGATTTGTTAAGCAGACTTAAGTCAGGACTGAGACTAGACCACTCAGGAACGCTCAACACCTCTTGGAAAGCCATTTTGGTGTGTCTTTGGCATTACAATTTTTGTAATTGTCTCGCTGAAAAATAAAACTCTATCCCTGGGTTAGGTTTTCAGAAGACTGAGGTAGGTTTTCATCTAACTTTTACCTGGGCTTTGCTCCTTTCATATTTATTTTGATCCTGACAAACTCCCCAGTCCCTGCCGATGACAAGCATACCCATAACATGATGCTGCCACCACAATACTTGGCTTCTTATATAAATAGTCTGAAAGCTGCTGAAAAGGCCAGATATTTAAACAAACTGGATTGTGGGCCTTGAAATGTGTCCCTTTGCTAGGGGAGACATCCACTGGACAAACGATATGAGTCACCATTATCACACATGTATCATCCAATGGTTTATATATACACTAGATGACTGACAGGGGGCGCTGTTTTGAAGCTACCGCACCTCCATCCCATTGTTGTAAAACAATATTTTGGAAGCTATAGAAATGCATTTACTAATGTCTACATTTGTTTTTGTCACGTGTATTATATTACAGACAACTTCATGCGTACTTCTACATTATATTATGTGAGCTAAATATACAAATACAAAATTGAAAAAATTTATGTATAATTTTTTTAAATATATGTTACTGTCCCCACTACAACAAAAATACTTAACTACATGTGATTTTGTCCTTGAAACACTTACATAAAATACTGTATAATTCCATTTATTCCTATGGAGGACTGCTTTTCTGAGTGCCAATATGGCCGACCGGTAGCTTCAAAGGCTCTCATTGGCCAAAACATAGCGTAAACAATCCAGGGTTTATATACATCATTGGTATCATTACACCATTTTATAGTTGCCGTGGCGCCCTAGTAGCAGCCTAAGCATAGAGGTCCTGTAAATTTGTACATATTTAGTTATTTGTAGTTTTTTTAAATTGTTTTTTTTTAAATCAGCTCTTTCTTTTTTGATAACATTTACTTTTTATTGCATATATATCTGGTGCATTTGAGCCACGGATTTGCAGATTGACTGAAAGGTTAAGACGTTTTGAGAAAAAAATAAAAACGAATAGCCTAAATCAAACAAAATCAAACAAAACAAACCATTTCGAAGTTGCAGCAAATTTCGAGTTGATTGTGGTGCATTTAAAAAGGGTGGTGCATTAGGGGAAATCCCTCACTGAGACGTAGTAAACCATGCAGCAGTTACCACGGGGTTATGCTGCGTTCAAAACAACTGGAAACTCGGATCAAAACGAGCTCCGAATGGGAATAATCTTTTGAACGGTCATTCAACTCGGAATTCCAACTCGGGAACTCGGGCCTCTTTCTATAGCTCCGAACTGAAGATCAATGACGTCATGATTTGACTTAATATTTTTCTGAGTTCCCAGTTGTCGTGAACGCACCAATAGTTATACAAATCTTTGGTTGTACTGCGGCAATGGGCTCCTAGAGCAAATAAACTAGATACTACAATGGTGTTCGTACTGTCTGTCAATCGTATATAGTACATTTATGAATATTATGTGGTCCTCTGTAGCTCAATTGGTAGAGCATGGCGCTTGTAACGCCAGGGTAGTGGGTTCGATCCCCGGGACCATGCATACGTAAAAATGTATGAACACATGACTGTAAGTCGCTTTGGATAAAAGCGTCTGCTAAATGGCATATTATATTATTTATGAATATCAACATAACAGCGGGCGTCCAGTAAACCACGTGACTTGTAATCGTTTTTCCGGGATTGCTTCCGCATGGTTTCCACTAGATAGCTCAGCCACAAAGTTAAAATTGGCTTTTTGGTCTTAATTTAAGGTTAGGATTGGTCATAAGGTTTGCAGTGTGGTTAAGGTTAAGGTTAGGGTTAGGATTAGGTTTAGGTTTAAAATAATATTTTAAAGAAAACAAATTGTAGAAATAGGCTAGGTTTATGACTTGGTGGCTATGGTAACTAGTGACGACTCTTCTGCATAGACAAACCAGGTACGCCCACCAACTCAATAAAAACACAGAGGCGATATAAAAGCAAAATAAAAGAAGCGCATTGACCACCGACTTTTGTCAAGCTAGGAGAAGTGAAGGATCTGCTCAATTATTCAACAAAGGTAAGAAACTCTCATAGCTACTCTAGACTAGTTAGTAGCCTATTCTCATGTGCAATAGTGGTAACAAAGTAGTCCTAATACATGTAGATTACCTTAAAACTCTGGTAGTGGATAAGAAAACTTATACTTGCAAAAAATTGCAACGTTTGTATGGCTGTTGGTTGTTTGTGGATGTGAAACAGATTGTTCACATATTTGTCTTTCAACTTAAAAAACAACAACATTTACACATCAACTTGGTTCAATGCATTAGGCCTACATTTACGTTCCTTTACTTTTGTAACCTGCTCTCAAGACATTTCAAAAGTTGCTAAGAAAAAGCCTACAACAGAACTTATCATCCAAATGAAAGTTCGTCATCCCTCCTGGTCAAAGCAATAACAGGAAACATAATATACAGGGCCCGATTTCCCAAAAGCATCTTAAGGCTAAGTTAAGATGCTTTTGGGAAACCGGGCTCAGATCAGTGAGAACTGAATAATGTACTGTTAAAGTATAGGAACTAGGCCTTACGAGAATGCTTTGTGTGCTATTTCCTAATTCTATAAGGGAAACACCCATATCACCTGGCACTGAACTCAATGCAAAACGGATGCACTTTGCCCCCCATAAAGAAACGATACTATGTACATATCTCCTACACCACTGATTGTAAGTGCTGTATCAATAGGGTGTCTCCATCCCTCCCTCTAAACAGCAGAGATTAACGTCATGCTCTTTGACTCTTTCTGGAACATTTTAATTTCCACTGTGGTGTTCAATGTACGACAGGGCAGGCTAAGTGTAAACCTTTCTGCAGTTTGGAAGTTGAATGGCAGGCATAGATTTTTAAAAGGGAGATATATTTTGTAGACACACGCACACTTACATCTGCATTTCTGCCTCGAGCACAGCATTATCAATGCAAAACATGTAGATGTGGAGACAACAAACTTTGCACACATACCAGATGAGAGTTTAAGAGCATAAGCGAGCAAACTGATCATTGCAATTTGTCACACCTTTCTAGAAACAGATTTTAAAAGCCACTTCAACAGAAAGCACTACCTCTTACGCTCAAGAATGCACAAACAAATCTTACCCTCCTTAACTTAACCACATCCCCCTAAGCTAGGACATATTTATTTTACCTTTATTTTACCAGGTTAGTCTCATTGGGATTAAAAATCCCTTTAACAAGAAAGACCTGGCCAAAATAGCAGCACACAGTTTTACACAATCGGGTGAAAGTAGATTTAATTTGGCCATTGACATTAGGCCAGAATTTATGCGTCCACTGCTGTCCCCCCCTTTCCTGAACCAACACTTGCGCTTGACATTTTGTTGTGTACCATATGTGCTATTGGTGTCATGGATGGGATTGTTGCTGTGAGATGGTGTGGGTGACAATGGTTACTGTACTGTACCTTCACATCTAGTACAGGACACAGCGCACACCTTATAAATCCGTGAGCTCAATATACAAGCTATAGTAAGTGAGGTATGTGTACTGTCCCTCTTGCTTAATAGTTCTTGAGTGGGTGGAGGCACTGGAATGTACAGTGAAATAGCAATAGAATTGGGTGTGCTAGTTTGCGAAAGGTGTCTGTATGACTGATTTGTCATGTGTTTGGCTCAGATTTGTGTGAATGACAGATGTGTGTGTGTGTGTGTGTACATGGTGGGAGTGTCCATAGTTGTGTCTTTGGATAGAGAGGCATGTTGTAATTACTTTTGTTCTCTCAAGCCCACCTGTATACCTATTACCTGGTCCAACCAGTTTGCGTCAGTCGTTCTGTAGTGTCATTGTCAGGTGTATTTACTCTCACCATTCAGGAGCTCTCCCACAAATGACTGAGGATGTCTGTTAAAGGACACTGTCGAATGGGAATCTTTTCTCTTGAGTTATAGTGTACACTCTAGGATAGTATAAAGAATAGTTCCCTTAACGCAGACAGTGGTGGACAAAGTACCCAATTGTCATACTTGAGTAAAAATAATGATACCTTCATAAAAAATTACTAATGTAAAAGTGAAAGTCAACCAGTAAAATACTACTTGAGTAAAAGTCTAAAAGTATTTGGTTTTAAATATACTTAAGTATCAAAAGTAAATGTAATTGCTCAAATATACTTAAGTGTAAAAGTATAAATTATTTCAAATTCCGTATCTTAAGCAAACCAGACGGCACCATTTAATTTAATTTTTTGGATAGCTAGGGGCACACTCAGACATCATTTACAAACAAAGCATGTGTGTTTAGTGAGTCCGCCAGATCAGAGGCTGTAGGGATGACCAGGGATGTTCTCTTCATAAGTGCGTGAATTGGACAATTTTCCTGTCATGCTAAGCATTCAAAATGTACTTTTGGGTGTCAGGGAAAATGTATGGTGTAAAAAGTACATTATTTTCAATAGGAATGTAGTGAAGTAAAAGTAAAGATACCCCCCCAAAAATGACTTAAGTAGTACTTTAAAGTATTCTTACTTAAGTACTTTACACCACTGAGCAGAGATGACAGTAAACCTAGTCCTGGACTGAAAGGCACTTCTCTATTGGACATCTTTTTAGTCCAGGAGTAGGCTTGAAGCCAAAAGGATTATTGGCTCATTTTCTTACACCAGTGTTTCAAAATACAAAATGGCAGAGAGAGAAGCTGCTTGAGAGGAGAGCTAGATAATGGAGTCCTAATGGGGGATCAGCTTTCACCTGGACAGCTCCTTCAGATCAGAACCACCGAAAGAAAAGAGGCAACAATGGGAGAAACATTTTACATTTTGGACATATTTAACAGACTCATCCAAAGGGACTTGCAGTCAGTGCATTCCACTTATGGTAAGATGGCTACAGTCAGGGGAGGAGGATGAGCTTGAGATCCACCCAATGAGTCAGGAGGTCAGTGTGCAGTCAGTGGGCATGTTCGACATTGCAGCCGACTTTAAAGGTGGGTCGAGACGGACTGATCTACAAATCACCTTGCATCATAAATAACTGCTCAATATTATTTGTAGGTCAGTCCGTCACAATTGATTTATGATACATCACGGTTTTGTTGCTCTCGAACATGGCCAGTGTCACCTTTAGGCAGTAGGGCAGGCTACTTCAGGGGCCTGTTCTGAAGGACATAACATTACAGAACTTTTCAGATAACCCAGACTCAAATTGATCTGGTGTTTACTAACCGACCTGATCAAATAACTAAGTCCATCAACTTACTAACTGGCATATCTGACCACAATATTGCATTGGTGGTTAGAAAGCTCACTAAAAAGAGATTTAAGAACCATATTAATGTGCAACAGTATGATTAAAAAAAAGACCGAAAAGTGAGCAGTGTAACTACGATACAGCTATAAGTCAAATTGACTGGTCTGATCTGTTAAGCAATGAAGATCTAGAGTCTGGATACAGAACGTTTCTGTCAGCTATTGATAAAGTGGATACCTCTTTTACCAGGACATTTCAACGTAAGCCAAGACGAAACACCTCTCTGCCATGATATTATAACCACGATCGATAAAAGACAGTACTGTGCAGCCATCTTCATCGACCTGGCCAAGGCTTTCGACTCTGTCAATCACCGCATTCTTATTGGCAGACTAAATAGCCTTGTTTCTCAAATGACTGCCTCGCCTGGTTCACCAACTACTTCTCAGATAGAGTTCAATGTGTCAAATCGGAGGGCCTGTTGTCTGGACCTCTGGCAGTCTCTATGGGGGTGCCACAGGGTTCAATTCTCGGGCCGACTCTATTCTCTGTGTATATCAATGATGTCGCTCTTGCTGCTGGTGACTCTGATCCACAGACGACACCATTTTGTATACATCTGGCCCTTCATTGGACACTGTGTTAACAAACCTCCAAACGAGCTTCAATGCCATACAACACTCCTTCCGTAGCCTCCAACTGCTCTTAAACGCTAGTAAAACTAAATGCATGCTCTTCAATCGAACGCTGCTTGCACCCGCACGCCCGACTAGAATCACTACTCTCGGCGGGTCTGACTTAGAATATGTCGACAACTACAAATACCTAGGTGTCTGGTTAGACCAGGGGTGTCAAACGTCCGGCCCGCGGGACGGATCAGGCCCGCAAACGGGTTTAATCCGGCCCGCGAGATGATTTTGTAAAGTATAAAAATGTGCTGCAATTTTTCAATAAAATAAACTGCTGTTCCAATTGCATCCACTGGATGGCGCAATAGCAATTGTGTTAAGCAAGCAAACTGTTTATACCGGGGCAGAGCAAGTAGGTCAAGCACGTGCAGCCAGTCCGGATGAGCTACTTTGTTTTGCCCGCGATATTTATTACGGCTTCTACTTTTAACATTATGTGCTTTGGCACCCTCATTGCCCCAATATGTCTGTCAAAAAAGAGAAAAGTGGACGCAGAGTGCAGAGTGTTCCAAGAAAAATGGTCATCCTCCTATTTATTCACGGAATTGAATGGGAAAGCTGTATGTTTGGTGTGTTCACAGCATGTTGCAGTGCTGAAAGAATATAACCTTCGTCGCCACTATGTGAGTCTTCATGCCGACATATATGACAACTTTCAAGGACAGCGGAGAAGAGAGAAGGTGAATGAACTGTTGGCTGGTCTGAAGAAACAGCAGTCTGTGTTTACTCACAGCCGAGACATCAGTGACGCTGCAGTGAAAGCTAGCTACCTCATTGCTAATGAAATCGCAGTGGCTTCAAAACCATTTAGTGAGGGTGAATTTGTAAAAACATGCATGATGAAGGCAGCGGAGATTGTGTGCCCTGAAAAGCGTCAGGCTTTTGTAAATATCAGCCTGACAAGAAACACAGTTGCAGACAGGATTTCTGATCTTTCAGTGGATTTGGACAGCCAGTTGAAGCAAAAAGTAAAGTCATTTATTGCGTTTTCGGTTGCAATTGATGAAAGCACGGACATTACAGATGTTGCACAACTGGCCATTTTCATCCGCGGAGTTGATGACACATTGACCGTCACCGAGGAGTTCGTGGAGTTGGTGCCGATGACAGATACAACGACAGCAGCTGATATTTTTACCGCATTCGTCGGCGCGCTGGACAGGGTCGGAGTGGACTGGTCCCGCGCTGTCAGCCTGGCTACAGATGGTGCGCCCTCAATGATCGGGAAAAAAGCAGGCGTTGTGACAAAGTTCAGAGAGAAAGTGCAATCTGCAAATGGAGGACGTGATTTTTTGACTTTTCACTGTATTTTGCACCAGGAGGCTTTGTGTTGCAAGTCATTAAAGATGGATAACGTCATGAAGGTGGTCATCCAAACTGTTAATTTCATCCGATCCAAAAGCCTGAATCACCATCAGTTTGACAGCCTTCTCAGAGAGAAAGACCACATCTATGGCCTGCCATACCACACTGAGGTAAGATGGTTAAGCCGAGGTGCTGTGCTGAGGCGTTTCTTTGATTTACGAGAAGAAATTGAACAGTTCATGGAAGAAAAGGGCAAACCAGTGTTAGAATTTTATTCCGCAGAATGGATGCAGGACCTTGCATTTATGGTGGATGTTACAGAGCACCTGAATAACTTGAACAAACAGCTGCAAGGGCGCAACAAAGTTGTCACGCAGTATTATGACAGCATACGTTCTTTCAAGTTGAAGCTGTCATTGTGGGAGACGCAACTCGCCGGTGGTGATGCAGCTCACTTCCCCTGTCTGAAAAATGTGTGCGCGACCCAACATGTGGCAGACATGAAGCGGTTCAAAGATAAAATAACGGGACTGTTACGGGAGTTTGAGCAACGCTTTCAGATTTTTGGTGAACTGGAGAAAGACTTCAACGTTTTTTGCTCGCCATTCACCGTGAATCCCTCTGATCTGCCCGTCAGCATCCAACTTGAAATAATAGACTTGCAGTGTGACTCGGATTTGAAGGGCGAATTTGCCGCAGCTGGCTTGGACATATTTTATCAGAATCTCTTGCCAGGTTACCCCAACTTGACAGCCCTCGCTGCAAAACTGTTGTGCATGTTTGGAACCACATATCTTTGTGAGCAAGTTTTCTCTGTAATGAGCATGAATAAAACAAAGCTGCGCTCAAGGCTCACGTACAAGCACTTGAATCACATCCTGAAGTTGGCTGCCACTCAGGATGTGATGCCTGATATTGATGCGCTGGTGAAAGCTAAAAGATGCCAGGTATCAGGAGTCAAATAAACTATGCAACCCCACTTAAAGTGCTGCATGAGACACCCTGATATAGTTCTGTGATCTGTGATATACTTCTGTGAATCACTGAGGCATTGTGTGTTTGTGTGTTCTTTGTCCTCAGAACTTTCAAATAACTTGAGGTGTTTTATGATTAATAGTGATGTTGTGCTTTTGGACACACTGTCCTCAGGCTCCAGCTTTATGTTTATATGTTTTTATGTTGATGTGCTATTGTTTTTAATTGTTTTTATTTTATTTGTATATTTAACCTATTCTTGACTCTGTGGTTCTTGCACTTGTTTGGGGAACAGGATTTCATTATTTGTATCTACATTTCTGCCTGAGAAATGACACCCTGATATAGTTCTGTGATCTGTGAAACAGTTCTGTTAATCACTGAGGCATTGTGTGTTTGTGTGTTCTTTTTCTTTAGAATTTTCAAATAAACTTGACGTGTTTTATGATTAAAAGTGATGTTGTGCTTGTACTATTTTGGACACACTGTCCTCAGGCTCCAGCTTTATGTTTTATGTTGATCGTATTAAAACAAAGAAAACAATCTGAAGTTGTTGTTTTTAAGTTATATATACCATGATTTTTCCGGTCCGGCCCACTTGGGAATAGATTTTCCTCCATGTGGCCCCTGAGCTAAAATGAGTTTGACACCCCTGTATTATTGGATGTAATGTATTTGTATTTTGTATTGTGGCTGTGTAATTGCCTTTACCTGCCCTGACTACGGGTGCAAATTAGCTTTTGGCAAACCCCGGCACATTTACATGGATGTTGCATTATTGTAAAATTGATGTTGATTAATGTGCATTGTCCCCTATAAATAAAATAAATACTTAAAAAAAAGACAAGTATCGTGTAGAATAGAAATATGATTATCTGTCAGATAGAATAGGAAATTGTGTCAGCTCTATTCATTGTATTTCGGTACGTTTCACATCACTGTTAACCCTTTCCACTCCGGCCGTTCCAGATGATATCCAGGAATAGCGGGAGCAGAGGAGGGATGGAATTTGAGGGGCAGTTGGATGCGTCAATCATCCGTATCCCACCCCACCACTACATCCATGTCCTGGACCAAAACACCAATATCGCCCGTGTGGAGATAGGACCACTCACCTACATCAGACAGGACAATGAGAGGTGAGGAGTGTGTGTGGTGTGTTATCGGTCATTTATCTGATAAGGTCTGCATGTAATTTCCTAATTCCAGGTGCGATTGGTTGTTTTCAGTTTCTTCTAAGCCTCCTGATGCCAAACAAGCCGTTTTATCTCTGTGGTTACAGCATCACACACTGTTTGACAGCACACTTTGAACGTTGCCAAATATCACGTTTTTAATGGCACCTTTTAGGTGTTTCTTTACAGGTTTAGGTTAGTCAACATATGCCTTGTACAAACACGTTTACACTCAGTATGTGTGTATGTACAGTATCTGTGTAGACTAGTATGTCAGTCATTAGGTGACTGTATTGTACCCTCCTTCCCAGAGTGCTGTTCTCCCCCGTGCGAATGACCATGGTCCCTCCTCGCCACTACTGCGTGGTGCTCAACCCCGTCGCTCGCGACGACAACGGACAGGTGCTCTTCGACCAATCAGGACAGGCTAAGCTTCGCCATGCCGACCAGGAGATCCGGCTCACCCAGGACCCCTTCCCCCTCTACCCCGGAGAGGAGATCCAGCAGGTACTGTCTGTCTGTTAGGCGTCAGCGCTAAAGCCTAGGTATTAGCAGTGCAGGGAGCTAATGCAAGTCTTCAGGTCTCAGAGCAGAGGTTGCTCAGCACACAAGTGTGGTTCACTGAACCACCTCCATTACAATCACGTTGAGCTAAAGCGCAGGCATTCACTTGGAGAGATAATATAACTGTCTGGGACCTGGGTGCTTACCCGGTTCTCCTGCATGCCACAACTGTGTTAGCCTGCGGAGTTAAAGCCTAAGCATTAGACGTTTGGAGAGTTAAAGCAATTCTCTTTTTTTTTTCTTTTTTTTCTCTCCCTACCCCCTCCCAGCACGTGACAGCGCTGCAGATCGTCTACCCAGACACCGCTCTGCGCCTACAGGCTCTGCTGGACTTTGAGGAGGTGGGAGGAGAGAAGAGGGTGGCTGGTGATGAGTGGCTGTTCGAAGGGCCAGGTGAGTTCTCTGGGTCCAACTCCTAACACATCCATTACAACTTTCCTTGGGTCCTTACAGGGGTCATATTGATATTGATAAATGTGTATATATTTTTTGACCAAATCAGAGCATTGTTTTAACAAGATGGCTAGTGCTCTTTCAATTTGTTTCTAATTTGACTTGCTGAAGTCAAATCCAATTTTATTCATCACGTACACAGTTTACAGCAGGTATAAAAGGTGCAGTGAAATACTTTCTTGCAAGCTCCCTCAACAGTGCAGTACAAATATCAATATAATTAAAGTCAAATAAAAAAATAACAAGTAGTAGAAGAAAGTAGTATGCAAGAAACATAGTACATTCCAAACAGTATGTAGTACCCAATTTCAAACACAGCCTGATCACCTAATAATGCTTCTCTAACCCCCGACCCCTAACCTCTGCCCCCTCCCATAGGGACATACATCCCCAGGAAGGAGGTGGCAGTGCTGGAGACCATCAAGGCCACGGTGATCAGAGAGAACCAGGCCATCCGCCTCCGAGCACGCAAAGAGGGAGTGGACAGGAGCGGAGTCCGCAGGGTCACTGGTGAGACAAACTGTATTTACTGTTTTTAATGTACATATAATGTATGTACACATAAGTAGCAGATGTTGTATCGCTATCACACACACAGACATACAGCACTCGGTGCGCACACACGCCTACTTAGCTGAGTGATTCCCTGTGTGTGTGTGTGTGTGTGTGTGTGTGTCTCCAGGTGAGGAGTGGCAGGTGAGTAAGGTGGGGGCGTATCTACCTGGGGCTCATGAGGAGGTCCTCGACATCGTCAACGCTTTCATCCTCACTGACAAGGTAACACCTCCCTCCTCTCTCTCCCTCGCTTTATCGATCACGTCCCCTCCTTCCTTCTCTCCCACCCTCGCTTTACCTATCACTCCCCCCCTCCCCCTCACTTTACCTATCACTCCCCCTCCCTCCTCTCTCTCTCCCTCACTCTCCCCCCTCTCTATCCCTCACTTTATCTATCACTCCCCCCTCCCTCCTCTCTCTCTCCCCCCCTCTCTATCCCTCACTTTATCTATCACTCCCCCTCCCTCCTCTCTCTCTCTCCCTCACTTTACCTTTCATACTAAGACATTTTTCTGCCAGCTTTACCATACCTCCAACTTTTTCCCGTCTTTTCTTTATATCTGAAAGGTATTGCTAGTAATAATTTCGGTAAAGTTCTGCCTGTGGCTTAGTATGAAACGTAGCCGCAATGCTACGTTTATTTTTATTTAATCAATTTTAGAATAAGGCTGTAACGTAACAAAATGTGGAAAAAGTCAATGGGTCTGAATACTTTCCGAAGGCATTGTATTCCATTATATTCTTACTATAAAATATGTCTGACTGATCGTATAGGTGTCTTGTCTGTTTTAATAAACAAAATAACAAACTGTTGATTTCATTTGAATGGCGCAGCCATGGCTGCACTGACCTGTAACATAGGCCTAATTAATGCTCTTCTATTCTTTTGAAAATACAATTTATTTAAAAAAATATATTTTGTGTGTGTATATATATATATATATATATATATATATATATATATATATATATATATTTATTTATAAAAAATAAAAATCTCAATGGATCTATTAAAATAGATGCCCACCCACAACTGCACACCACTACTACCACATGCATGCGCACGGGAGGGATAAAAGACGTATGCAGGCAAGAATGTGGTAAAAATGGCCCTGTTTGTAAGGGTCATATAAACATTTTATTTTATAGGCAAAATACAGTAAATCCTATGTGAAAGCGGTCTCTCACTCTCTCACTCTCAGAAAGCACTGCACGTGCGAGCACTACGGCCATTCCGTGACGCTGTGGGGCGGGACCGGCGCACTGGGGAAGAGTGGCTTGTTACTATGGCAGAGCGGGAGGCACACATTCCATCGGTTGCCGAGGAAGTGGTGGGAGTGGTCAACGTGACCACGCTGAGCAGCCGTCAGTACTGTGTGATCCTGGACCCGGTAGGACCAGACGGTAAACCACAGCTGGGTCAGAAGAGGGTGGTCAAGGTGAGACTGAAAGAGAGCTCTGTCTTTCACTCCTTTGTTTGGTCAATTGTTTGTTTAGTCACTCATTGCCGTTTAACACACTGGTGAGGAAGTTCAGTGACTTCATTGTTTTTGTAGCTTTTAGTCACTTCCCCAATTAGCTTTAATTTAACACTGCTCTCTCTCCTCTCCTCCTCCCAGGGTGAGCGTTCATTCTTTCTGCAGCCAGGGGAGCATTTAGAGGAGGACATCCAGGACGTCTATATTCTCTCTGAGGAGGAGGGCCTGGTGCTGAGGGCCGTAGAGGCCTTCAACGATACACAAGAGGTGAGGAAAGAGGTGGGAGGGAGAGGGAAGGGTGGAAGAATTTAAATGCAGATGGGAGAGGAAACAAATACAACGATCCTAAACAGGACTGTACAAATCCATTCAATTCTCTGTCCTTTCACACTCTCTCACTCTTTCTTTCCCTCCCTCTCCTTCTCTCTCCCCTTCACTTTCTACCTCATTCTCTCTCTGTCCCTTCTCTCTCTCTCCCTCCTTCTCTCCTCTCTGCCAGCAGGAGGAGGAGGAGGAGGAGGAGGAGGAGGGGGGGGAGGAGGAGAGGGCCAAGCGCTCCCGGAGGGGTGGAGTCCAACGTCGCCCCGGTGACCGCTGGATGCTGCGCGGACCAATTGACTACGTCCCCCCGGCTGCCGTGGAGGTGATGCTACGGCGACAGGCCATCCCATTGGACGAGAACGAAGGAATCTATGTCCGAGACATCAAGACAGGAAAGGTGAGTTTTACCCCGCTGAATGTTTGAACACAGGGGCTACGTCCCAAATGGCACCCTATTCCAAGGATAATCAACTAGATTCAGCTGCGGGACAATTTCTTTTTTTCTTGTGCGGATGGTGGGGAGGCCGGAACATAATTACAAATAATTAGTAGACTGCAAATTGGCCGCAAGAAGCCCAAACATATATATAATATTTGACTGAAACATAATCATTTCAAATCTGCTTACATTTGTTTATGATCACATGCGTAGGTCTCTATTAACTTGATGGTAATAGGCGCTCATGTTGCCCCTAGTGGACAGTATCTCCCCACGTCTTGGGGACCAGGGGCCTCATTTCTAAACTGTGCGTACATACAAAATATACCCCGACGTGCGTGCTCCAGTTTTCACACAAAAGTTGGCATTTCTATTTAAAAAATCATGACTTGAGAATGTGCTCACCTCCCTGCAAACTTTAGACCATGCGTATGCACATCTGCTAGTGGTTGAATTATTGTATTGCAAGCTGACAAGTAAGTAGGCTATTTTGTGCAAATGGGGGATATGATAAATTAAAAGCAGGAAAATGTAAACAAGAATTCAGCCATTTGCTGTTGGTGAGAAGAGCGAAAATCCTTTTTTAAATTTTATAAAATCTAAAATAATTAAGACATAGGAATCTTTTTCCTATTTTATTTTATTTTCATAACCATTGCAGAATAAATTCCTCACCTTTTCTGGCCATGAGTTCATATTCCCGAAGTAGCCATACAACAAATTACCATGCGCATCTCTCACTTAATTGGACCTAGCAAATAGATATAGGCTATCAAGTGTTGCAATCCCATGGGCACCGCGGTTTATAATATACAGTCAAATTTGAGAGGTAAACTGTTTATCTTTTGCATTGAAGTAGGCCTACTGTATGCTACTGTAATTGCATTTTTTTTTTGAGTAGCCAGCCGTAGACAATGTTTCAGAATTCGCGGGCAATCCATGTTTATGTTGGGGAAAAGTCGATGCAAAACATTGTTGAATTCAAACGTTCTGCTGGCAGGTCCACAACAATTTTGACACTGTCAGATACAGCATAAATTAATGCATGTTGACATTTGGTCATGAGTCTTGCCCTGGAAGCAGAACTGAGTGGTTTCCGCTAAATGGGTCAGCTACATAGTCTAAATTGTCTATATCTTTAAAATTCATTAATTTAAGGTATTAGGGTTAGCAGTGTGGTTAAGGTTAGATTTAGGTTTAAAATCAGATGTTATGACTTTGTGGCTTTGCCAGCTAGTGACCATTCTGCACAACTGCTTCCAGTACATGAGCCATCTCAATAAATGCCAACCTAAATAAACATTCTGCCAACACAGTAAATATACCGGTAACTTATGTAAAATATTTGACAGTAGGCCTATGAATAGGCTATTGTTGTGCGATAGGAGCACGGCATCATTGCCTATTCATCTCAGAGCCTATACCATGGCAGGACCTAGAAACCTAATAATCTATTGATAAACTAAATATTGAACAACAATTATTATTTTGCATTTAGCCTACTTTTAAATTGTTTTGAATATACAATACATCTTGCTGAATGTACAGACAGGCACTTGCTATAGGCAGAATGCATGTTTAGTTTGATAAAGTCACTGCAAAATATCAAAACATTCTGCCCACACCGCTACAGAAATGTGATCAAAATTGCCATTGCTCTTTTAGAAACTGCCGTGGCCTAATTCCAATAGCTCCAATTTATACAGTAAATAAAGGGCGTTATTTTCATCATCAAAGGTTGAATGGAGGTTGTTTTCCAGGCAGAGTTTTAATGCTTGTTCACAGTTTTACGACAGGTCTGATTTTATAACGAGAAACATGCATATTTACAGTATGGTATACGTCAAGTTTATAAATCTCAATATTTTTGTATGTGCGCAGATTTTTCAGAAATGGCGCACGCAGAAATGTATTATAAATGAGGCCTCTGGAGAAACGTCTAATATTGCGGTGGATCTGGTGTGAGCTGGCTGATTCTCTATATAGTGCATGGGCACCTGACTGTCTAAAAGTGAGGGTTCAATTACATTTCTTAAGAATTTTTTTTATTTTTTTGTAGGTTCTGCCACAATTAAATTATATTAGAGTACTCAAATTATTTGTATTTATTTCTAAACACAAGGCCAGAAAAAATGTGTGCATATATCTACAGTAGGGAGAACAAGTATTTGATACGCTGCCAATTTTGCAGGTATGTGATGCAATAAAATGCTAATTAATTACTTAAAAATCATACAATGTGATTTTCTGGATTTTTGTTTTAGATTCCGTATCTCACAGTTGAAGTGTACCTATGATAAAAATTACAGACCTATACATGCTTTGTAAGTAGGAAAACCTGCAGAATCGGCAGTGTATCAAATACTTGTTCTCCCCACTGTATATGGCAACAGTGCGCAACAATGCCTAATTTATCATAACCATTACAGGTAACGAATCCTAATTGCTAAATTGCCCCATATACAGTATATTCAATCAATTAAATATATACAAAAACAGCAATTTTAAGATTAATTTATTGAAACCGTAATATCAACTGGTTATATTATATCGTGGAACACAATCTTCAAAAAGGCAGTAACCTCAGCAGTTGTGTCATTAAATAGCAAACACCAGTCTCAACGTCAACAGTGAAGAGGTGACTCCGGGATGCTGACCTTCTAGGCAGAGTTGCAAAGAAAAAGCCATATCTCAGACTGGCCAATAAAAATAAAAGATTAAGATGGGCAGTCTGAGATATGGCTTTTTCTTTGCAACTCTGCCTAGAAGATCAGCATCCCGGAGTCGCCTCTTCACTGTTGACGTTGAGTCTGGTGTTTTGCGGGTAATATTTAATGAAGCTGCCAGTTGAGGACCTGTGAGGCGCCTGTTTCTCAAACTAGACACTCTAATGTATTTGTCCTCTTGCTCAGTTGTGCACCGGGGCCTCCGACTCCTCTTTCTATTCTGGTTAGAGCCAGTTTGCGCTGTTCTGTGAAGGGAGTAGTACACAGCGTTGTACGAGATCTTCAGTTTCTTGGCAATTTCTCACATGGAATAGCCTTCATTTTTCAGAACAAGAATAGACTGACGAGTTTCAGAAGAAAGTTATTTGTTTCTGGCCATTTTGAGCCTGTAATCGAACCCACAATTGCTGATGCTCCAGATACTCAACTAGTCTCAAGAAGGCCAGTTTTACGTGCCATTGGAACACAGGACTGATGGTTGCTGATAATGGGCCTCTGTACGCCTATGTAGATATTCCATGTAGCCGTTTCCAGCTACAATAGCCATTTACAAAAAATGGTTTTCTTTTGAAAACAAGGACATTTCTTAGTGACCCCAAACTTTTGAACGGTAGTGTATGTATATTTTATCTCTGGTTAAAGATCGAGTTTAGACGTCTGCCCATCCCTACCTCCGACATTGTTTTGTTTTTTTGAAGCACTGTGTCACGATGAAAATGTTTCAAACTTGTCTCGGCAGCATACATACACCATATATACAAAAGTATGTGGACACCCCTTCAAATGAGTGGATTCGGCTATTTCAGCCACACCCGTTGCTGACAGGTGTATAAAATCGAGCACACCGCCATGCAATCTCCCCATAGACAAACATTGGCAGTAGAATGGCCTTACTGAAGAGCTAAGTGACTTTCAACGTGGCACCGTCAGCATAAGAACTGTTCGTCGGGAGCTTCATGAAATGGGTTTCCATGGCCGAGCAGCCGCACACAAGCCTAAGATCACCATGCGCAATGCCAAGCGTCGGCTGGAGTGGTGTAAACATCGTCGCCATTAGACTCTGGAGCAGTGGAAACGTGTTCTCTGGGGTGATGAATCACGCTTAACCATCTGGCAGTCCGACGGACAAATCTGGGTTTGGCAGATGCCAGGAGAATACTACCTGCCCCAATGCATAGTGCCAACTGTAAAGTTTGGTGGAGGAGGAATAATGGTCTGCTGCTGTTTTTCATGGTTCGGTCTAGGCCCCTTAGTTCCAGTGAAGTTTTTATTTATTATTATTACTTTATTTTTTGTTACTTTTTCTCCCCAATTTCGATCTTGTCTCATCGCTGCAACTCCCCAACGTGCTTGGGAGGCGAAGATCGAGTCATGCGTACTCCGAGACATGACCCGCCAAAATGCACTTCTTAACACCTGCCCGCTTAACCTGGAAGCCAGCCGCACCAATGTGTCGGAGGAAACACCGTTCAACTGACGAGGTCAGCCTGCAGGAGCCCGGCCCGCCACAAGGAGTCGCTAGAGCACGATGAGCCAAGTAAAGCCCCCCCAGCCAAACCCTCCCCTAACCCGGACGACGCTGGGCCAATTGTGCGCCGCCCTACGGGACTTCCGATCATGGCCGGTTGTAATACAGCTCGGGATCGAACCCGGGTCTGTAGTGACGCCTCTAGCACTGCGATGAAGTGCCTTAGACTGCTGTGCCACTCAGGAGGCCATAAAGGGAAATCTTAACGCTACAGCATACAATGTCATTCTAGACTATTCTGTGCTTCCAACTTTTATGGCAACAGTTTGGGGAAGGCACTTTCCTGTTTCAGCATGACAATGCCCCCGTGCACAAAGAAAGTCCATACAGAAATGGTTTGTCGAGATCGGTGTGGAAGAACTTTACTGACCTCAAACCCATCGAACACCTTTGGGATGAATTGGAACGCCGACTGCGAGCCAGGCCTAATCGCCGAATATCAGTGCCCGACCTCACTAATGCTCTTGTGGCTGAATGGAAGCAAGTCCCTGCAGCAATGTTCCAACATCTAGTGGAAAGCCTTCCCAGAAAAGTGGAGGCTGTTATAGCAGCAAAGGGGGGGACCAACTCCATATTAATGCCCATGATTTTGGAATGAGATGTTCGACGAGCATGTGTCCACATACTTTTGGTCATGTAGTGTATTTGATGCAACGAGGGTAGAAATGGCTTATTTGGACGATTATTACTTACCAAGCAGAGCTGTTTTATCGAGGTACAAATATCCTGTGCTTTCTCATTTTGCGCATACAGACACAGCTTGGCTAAATTGTAACCGCGAAACGGCCACGGTCCGCTCGCATATGGGGCTCAGTCAGGACTGTTACTTTTGTAACTGAATGAAAACATTTTAACATTTTAACCAATTTTGATGTTGGGAAAATATATGGTGCAAATGCACAATGGTGTTAAATGCCTCAAAACAGCTTGGGGAGAAATCTTTTCACAGATTTAATCATGTAATATTAGGCCTACTGATTATTTCTCAGTATCTTCTTGCGAACTACTCATTGCGAGCTACCGGAGATGCAGTTTTCTGCAAAGGTGCAATCTTTTCTAGGCTGATGGAAGGCTACTTTGAGTCAGTGGGAGAATCTCAATTGCATACTCCTCGCGTCCTCTCTCCTTCTCAAAACCCATTGGATGAGAAAGTGAAAGGTCCCTCCCCTCTGAGATTGAGATTCTCCCAGATGCTGCGATACAGCGAAGCCTAATCAGACATGCCCGTGCTCACCATGGTTCTTACAGGCAAAGTGAAATAGTGCACACCTCTCAAATGATATTATAACACCCTGAGTGCATCGGACATGAAACAATAATAGAAATGTAACAGCACAAAGAAATGGATACATCATTTTATTTTGCAGGTGCCATTTTAATTTTAAACACCAGTGGTGCAACTAGTGCTTTCTAATGGCACTGAATCAAAACAATTGCGTGGTGATGGGAGAGGGGGTGCAAAATGTAATAATATGTTAAAAGTGCAATATGTAAAAATATGTCCGCCATTTCCTGGTTGCTAAAATTCTAATAGGTCGCCTAATTTTTGTTTGTGACAACAAGCATTATTGTACCACCTAAACCACTGTGAAATATATTTTCAGTAACCGAAAATATTTTTATCTGTTTGAAGCTGTTGTACAAAACCAAAAGTCAAAGACACACAAAAAAAAACTTAACAGGAAGCGTAGAAATAGCGCACATAGAACAGATCTAGTGCTTCTTAGACTTGCTTTCAGTGAGAATGACAGATCTATCGATAAATGCCACTACTATGTGAATTTGGTCGGGTCGCCCAAAAAGTTACATATTGCAGCTTTAGTTATTATATATAAAATAGGCATATGTATTTTAATATAGACTAGCTCAAAACATTACTAATCATTGAAAATGACATTACCAATGGATCCTGATACTTTTTTGGTAAAAAAGTGGGATTGCACCTGCTCCATTGCTCAGGCACCTATGATATAGTGCACTATTGACCAAGGCCCACAGGACTCTGCTCAAAAGTAGTGCACCGTGTACTGTAGGGGGGCCATTTGGGAAGTACACTAAAACACCTGATTCAAATGATCTAGGGAATCCATCCACCTGTTATTTAGCAGCCTTAAATCCCCACCCATCTCTCACCATCCCTCTCCCCTATTGGCTGCCTGGCTCTAGGTCCGTGCTGTGATTGGCCACAGCTACATGCTGACGCAGGACGAGGAGCTGTGGCCGAAGAATCTGCCTCAGAACGTTGAGACCCTCCTGGCCTCCACAAAGGACCCCCTAGCTGACCGCTCGGACCGCAGCAAGGAAGTGGAGATGAAGGACCGGGACAAGACCAAGGTGGTGTCCTACAGGGTGCCCCACAACGCTGCCGTGCAGGTCTATGACTATAGGGAGAAGAAGGCCAGGTAAACATGGCTGACAGACAGACGGACGTGGAGGGACAATGACACTGGCCCTGTCCATAAACAACCCCTATACTAGCCCAGGGCTGAAGCCCAAATGGCACCCTATTCCCTATATAGTGCACTACTTTTGACCAGAGCAACATTGGGCCCCTAGTGTTAACTTTTCCCTTTCGCCCTCCCTCCCCTTCTCTCAGGGTGGTGTTTGGGCCAGAGATGGTAATGTTGGGTCCTGATGAGCAGTTCACTGTGCTGTCCCTGTCGGGGGACAAGCCTAAGAGGGCCAACGTCATCAAGGCCGTGTGTCTGCTGCTGGGGCCGGACTTCTTCACTGACATCATCACCATAGAGACGGCCGACCACGCACGCCTGCAGCTGCAGCTCAGCTACAACTGGTGGGGTGGGACGGGGGGGCGGGGTCTGTGTGTGTGTTTTGTGTGTTTGAGGATCCTCTGCGATTTGGTCTGTCTCACTGTGCTCTGTGTCTGTTGGCCAGCTGATGTATTTAATATATCTCTACCTCGCTTCCCTCATCTCTCGCTCTCCCTCTCAGGCACTTTGACCTGAAGTCTCCTGCGGACCCATCCCAGGCTGCGGCTCTGTTCTCGGTGCCTGACTTTGTGGGGGATGCCTGTAAAGCCATCGCCTCCCGCGTCAGAGGAGCCGTCGCCTCTGTGCAGTTTGACGACTTTCACAAGGTCCGTCCACACGTCAATCATCTAAATCTGCACTTTGATGGCTTTTTAAAATACTTTTTAATTCTACACGGCCTCCAGCCCTTAGCTTCCGTAGTTTAGGTAGGCCTATACGCCGCTTTGGAAAGCGTATGCCAATTGATTCAATAACACCCCATGATTTAACCTCTTTAACCCCCTCCCTTCCACTCTACAGAACTCCAACCGGATCATCTGCTCCTCTGTGTTTGGCTTTGATGACAAGCTGGCAGTGCGTTCCAGCCTGCGCTTCCACCAGAACAGTCTGGTCATCAGCAGTGTGGACATCCAGTCAGTAGAGCCGGTGGACCAGAGGACCAGGGACGCCCTGCAGAAGAGTGTCCAGCTGGCCATCGAGATCACCACCAACTCCCAGGAGGCTGCCGCACGGTAGGACACATGACACTCACACGTACGCACACAAGGGGAGAACGACTGCCCCCTCTGAAGCCATCGAAGTTCAAGGCCAACCATGATACTGCAGGCATTGTTAGCATAAAACAGGATCCCCCATTTATAGGGAATGGAAAAATGTCAATCTTCGTGAAAACATTTTAAATAATTTGAAGACAATCGTGGTAGCAATAATTGCTTCTAATACCACAGTTGTATGTCCTTGAACTGATTTTATTTTAAAATCTCATTACAGAACAAGTTATAAGAATAATTGACTTTCTAATGGCAGCCTGCAGTACCCCTGTCTGCCTTCAACTTGAGTTATTTAATGAGGGTGGGCAGCACTGAGCTAGCCTGCAACTCACTTCCTGGAGTAGCTCAAGCTGCACATGAGACACCATCTTAAGACTTAATTTGGCTTCAATGCGCTATTGAGTCTTCACATAGGAATGATTGGTGTCACGGGATCGATGGCTTTGTCCATTCATATATACAGTCAGTGACAAACATGCATGCACACACACACTTACAGGAGCAATTAGGGTTAAGTGCCTTGCTCAAGGGCACATTGACAGATTTTTCACCAAGTTCGGCTCGGGGATTCGAACTAGCAACCTTTCAATTACTGGCCCAACACTCTCAATCGCTAGGCTACCTGCCACCAGACAGACAGACACACACAGTTAATCTTCAAATTGGGTTGTTTTTGCCTGTTTGGTAAGCGTTAACTTCTCTCCCCCCTGTCCCTCTCTCTCCTTCTCCCTCTTTGTATTCCTCTCTTTCTCTCCTCCCTCCCTCCCTCCCTCCCTGCAGCCATGAGGCAGAGCGTCTCGAGCAGGAGGCGCGTGGTCGTCTGGAGAGGCAGAGGATCACAGACCAGGCAGAGGCAGAGAGGACCAGGAAAGAGCTGTTGGAGCTGGAGGCCCTCAGGTGACCATTGATGCTATGCTGCTAACACTAACGTGCGTTAGCATCGCTAATGGGAAATGTAATGGCAGGGGGATAGCATTAGCATAACGCTAACACATTAGCTTCGCTGATGGGAAAATGTTATGGCAAGGGGCTAGAATTAACATGGCTAGCGTTAGCACCATGCTATTCTTAGTAGTGTGAATGCGAAGCTGTACCGAGTAACATTTAGATCAGAGATCCTAACATAATGTAGCTATGCTATTGTGAGTTGTGTGAATGTTAGATATGTGGCTAGCTGTGGCGCTGGGGTGAAGTTTCCCCTAGGTAGAGATCTAGGATCAGTTTTCTCTCCCCCAGCTTCAAGTATTTTGTCCAAATACTGGTGGATTCAACTAATAAAAGAATGGACGACCTGACTAGAGAGGTCCAGGACCTGAAGAACAGCTTGCAGTTCTCTCAGGGTCAGCTCAACGAGTTGAAACAGGAGAACGGCAAAATGACAGCAATCTGTAAGTCATTGAGAGAGGACATCAGTTCTGTGTGTGAATCCATGATAACAATGACGGGTACATCTATCTCGAGGGACAATCAAGGCCGAATAACATGGTTGTGGACGGAATTGCAGAATCTCCACATGAGACCTGGACGGAGGACAAAGTGAGGGAAATGATCTCTGAGAAATTGAAGATGGACCACAGGAAGATTGAGGTGGAATGCGCCCACAGGATTGGAAAACCCACCACCGGTCCAGGTGACAGGCCCAGGCCGATAGTGGTCAAGTTCCTGAGGTTCAAGGACAAGGTAGCTGTTCTGGAAAGAGCCAAGAACTTGAGAGGAACGTATATCTTCCTGAACGAGGACTATCCCGAAGCTGTGCGCCAGAAGAGGAAAGAACTTATCCCAGCCATAAAAGCTACCAGAGTGCGTGGGGACATTGCTTACATTCGCTATGACAGGCTCATTGTACACCCTCCCTCCCAGCTCTGACACACACACTTACCCCACCAGACATGCCATCAGGGATCTTTTCACAGTCCCCAAATCCAGAACAAATTCAAGAACGCATACAGTATTATATAGAGCCATTATTGCATGGAACTCCATTCCATCTCATATTGCTCAAGTGAAAAGCAAACCTGGTTTCAAAAACAGATACCGCAACACCTCATGGCACAATGCCTCTCCCCATTTTACCTAGATAGTTTGTGTGTATGTATTGATATGTAGGCTACGTGTGCCTTTAACATTTTTTAAAATTAATTTATGTAGTTCTGTCCTTGAGCTGTTGTCTATTCATGTTCTGTATTTTGTGTCGACCCCAGGAAGAGTAGCTGCTGCTTTTGAAACAGCTAATGGGGATCCTAATAAAATACCAAATACCAATTCTTCTAACGGTGTGTCGTTGTGTGTTGCAGTGCGGCGGTGGAGATTACAGGGGCAGCCAAGGCAGAGGCCCTGTCCAGAGCAGAGGCAGCCCGTATCCAGGGAGAGGCAGCAGTCAACGAGGCTAAACTGAAGGCTGAGGCCCAGAGGATTGAGGCTGTACGTATCCTCCCGCTCTCTCTATGCTGTGTGTGCGTGTGTATGGTTGAAAGTGTTGTACATTGTGTAATTCTGAAAGGTACACAACCAGTAGTTCACCTGTAATTGCTGACCTGTGTGTGTGTAGGTCTGTTTTGTTTGATAAATGTTTGAAGGTGTTCTACATTGTGTAATGCTGAAAGGTTCACATACGATGTGTAGCTGACCTGAAATTCTGTGTGCAGGAGGGCGAGCTGGACCGTCTGTCCAAGGCGAGGGAGCAGGAGCTAAACTATAAGTCAGAGATGGATCGTTTGGAAGTGGAGAAACAGCAGAAGCTGGCTGACATAGAGAGCAACCGCTTTAAAAAGCTGGTGGAAAGTATCGGCGCTGACACCCTGAAGGAGATGGCCAGAGCCGGCCCCGAGCTACAGGTACATAACTCCTTACATACCATAACACCGTCATATTTGTGCTACACAATACATTTGTCTGAATAAAAATGGCACCTGGAGAATCCTTAAGCTCTTGCTCAGGTCAGAATCGTTCTGTAATGTTTTACTTTACTGTAACGTTTCACAGAGCAGGTCTGTCTTTCTCCCACCCAATCTCAATTTAATTAAATTAGCTATATTAGCGTGCCGACATTATAAGATACCGTTTAGGATATTGGAACTGGAACACAGGATCTTATTCAATCAGTTATAATGGAAAGGAAAAATTATCATGTTAAATTAATAATCTCTCCCTTTCTGTCCATCCCTCCCCTCTTTTCCCCGCTCCCTCCCTTTCTCCCCCACCCTCTCCCAGGTCAAGCTGCTCCAGTCTCTGGGTTTGAAGTCCACCCTGATCACAGACGGCTCTTCTCCCATCAACCTCTTCAGCACGGCCAACGGCCTTCTGGGAGCTCTATCCCAGAGCCAGGGCCAGGGCCAGTAAGAGGAGGAAGAGAATGGGAAAAGGAGAATTTCGACAAGAAGAGAATAATGTCCAGTCTGAACATCCCCTACAGATGTAGGATTTCTGGTTATTTATGCACTTTGTCTGATGTAGTAACTGACAATTAGGGATATGATATGGATGACTGTACTATGGTGATTATTCTGATGTGTGTGTGTGTGTGTATGTACACATAGACGTGTGTCTGACTAAAGACGTCCAAGTGAACATTCCCATGGTTTACATGCCATTTTTACTCATCTGTTTGGTGCCGTTGATGCCCTATAAAGTGCTGTCCACTCCATGTGTTGCATATCTATACTTACCAGAATCCTGGATATTAAGGAACCTTTCCTTGTTCTCCATTTGAGGTTCATGCAAATGTATTTCATTCATTTGTTGATCCATTTATCAAAGAAATTAAAGCATGAATTTCCCCCAAAACCTTAATGAGTGTCAATGTCTGTTTGTATCCATGGTCTGTCTGTACACACATCAACACACTCTGGATGAAGTGTCTCAATCCCTTTGAAATAAACCATATTTATGCAATAACCACCATGTATCGAACTCTTCATCTAACTCTTTTGTGTGTAGCTCATGCAGAGTGACTAATAAAATAACATTAAGCTATGTGCTCTGGCCTGACTTATGACACAATCTTCTATTGATTTCTCAGCCAAATGGCAGCCCCGCCACTTGGTTTGCTATAAAGCTGAGGGATGGCAAGAGCTTGAGAAATGTATCAACTCTAAAATTGTATCATATCAAAGTATATCTAATTGAAATGACCATTGGACAGCATTATAAATATTACTGATTGCACCTTTAATCAATGATTTGATACTGATTACATTTATATTAGAAGACCACAGATTTGTCCTTGATTTGATAGTCTATTCTCGACCATCCCAATGCATATTTGACCATGTAAAATACGTAGAACAAAATGTGGTAACGTGATCAAATGTTTTGTTTGTCCAAAGAGTAAACAGACCCACTATAACTTGGCCTACATACAGGAGGTAGGTCCCTTGTGTAACTAAACTGTATTTTTAATGTTTGTGTTGCTTGCGTGTGTGTGTGTGTACAATTTCTGTCCACAGGACATCGCTAGCATACAACACTTCGCTAAAGTATCCCTCATGGCTCGGCCTGGCTGGTACTGTATATCTCCACTTCAGGTGCCATGAGCAAAGTTGGGCCAGAAATGACCAAATAATAGCCAAGCATGCACTGTCTTTTCAATTGCTGGTGAATACTGTCAACAATATTTGCACACATGATTACAGTAATAAACATATGCCTACATAAATCGGTCAGTGCACCAGCGACAAAGGAATGCTTGAGGCGGTATTCCTTTGGTCTACTATTTGCCCCATCAGTGAAATAGAGCCTGACATAAAAAAAAATAAGGGAAAGCGGGGTGAGAGAAAAGCGAACGAAAGCATCCTATTGCATGTGCTGCGTCGGGCCGTCGGCTTCTCCCTCTCTCCCCTCCTTTCTACCCGCCTCCGGGCATAGGAGTTTCCTGTCTCCCCCTCCCAGCCTCCCCCTCCCTCTCCTCAATCTTGCAGCGCAGTTGAACAAAAGAGAGAGCGAGAGAGATGATGAGGTAGCAACATAGCAAGTACAAGAGCGCAATCTGACATCCCAGCGCGTGGTCTGTAGCCTAATTTTACCGTTACCGTTTACAATAGCCTGTATCAAAAGAAAAAGAGCATTCGACGAATTCTGGGTGGAGATTTTAATCGTAGCCTACTGAACTTGTCATATTTTATATTTTTTTTACTACAAGTAGCTTTTTCTGTAATATTTGGAATTGTGATCAAGAAAAGAAAAATGTTAAGGATAATGTTTCATGTCACTCAATAAGATCAGGTAGGCCTAGGTGGATAGCATGCGGTTTCTATGTGATTTAGTTCATATTTTACTATCTGTAGAGTAAAGTATGCACTGCATGTGCGGTTTAAAGTGGGTGTGTCCTCATTGTGTGTGCATGCAGACTATGGCGCGCGCGTGTGTCTGTGTGAGAGACACAGAGAGAGAGAATGCACCAGTAATTTGTTCATTCTGCATTTTACTCCTGTACATGAGAGGAAGAGAGAGGGAGGAAAGGGAGAGGGTGCGTGTGTAATTCTCCCTCTCTCTCTCTCTCTCTCTCTCTGTGTGTGTGTGTGTGTGTGTGTGTAAGGCAGCCATGCATGTATGTCTGTAGGCATCTTTATTATGCATTCAGTGGGTTTCCAAACAGATCTATGTTAGTCTGCATTGGCCTTGTGGCATTCTTTTACATAATTTATCATCTTTACATAGAATTTGCTTGCATTTAGTGTTCCTATTTTTTTTGTTGAATTACATGTGCAATTCACCGCAAGTCCTTCTCCATCTTCCACTTCCTCTCTCTCTCTCTCTCTCTCTCTCTCTCTCTCTCTCTCTCTCTCTCTCTCTCTCTCTCTCTCTCTCTCTCTCTCTCTCTCTCTCTCTCACACACACACACACACAGGTCTAGGTGTGCCAAGATCACCTTTTCCATGATGTGCGCAGCACCCTTTCCTCCCTTCCCTTCTCTCCTCCATCCCCTAATCATTCTACCCACATCTCCTCTACTATGTCAGTCTCACTCCCTGCATGAACTGCAGATAATGATTATATGTAAATGTCATCATAATGTCCAAGGTTTATTATAATACCATTACATTTCCCATAGAAGTTCATATTTTCACAACATTCATCTTTGTAAAGTGGGTTGGGTGGTACTAAGATTGGATTGTATGACTCAACAACTCCTCTTAGTGAGGCCAAACACTTTTTTTATTAATAAATGACATGTACATCCTTAATTCGTTTTTCAGCCAAACTGCAGACCAGCCATTTGGTTTTTCAATAAAGCTGAGGGATAGAGCTGGACAAATGTAACTGCTCTCATTCATAGATGGAGCTATGTTGAGCCCAAATGGATACACACAGTATACTCTAACAACCCTATAAATGGAATGAAAGTATTTACAAGACAGAGAATATTCAGATGTCAAGTTGTAGAGGAAGTAAGGCGTGAGGGAGTCAATCAAAGGCACCTTGTCGACAAGCGCATTGCACTTGATTTTTAAAGGTAATTTACGCTAGATAGCTGCATTCCCCTTTTGTTGGGCTTGCGAGATCAAGTGCGCCTATATATGTTGTCTCAATTAAATAACCTGTAGGCTATATGCATGGGCGGAGAAGCCCGAGGCAGTTGTCTTTCCAAGAAAATTAACTTCCTTAGTATTACAGGCTATAGTTTTGGCTCCTACATTAACTGGATATTAAGTATTGATAATACATTTCTTTGTTTCTGCATGCTAAAAGTTATGCAAAACGTAGCTTAAGTGAAGTGCAAGTGTACACTCTCCTATTATACAACTAATTGACCAACGTCGGTTAGTTCCTTTTTTTGTGAGCTCAACGCGCCTTTTCTCTAGAGAGAAATCCTACCAAGCACGAGAGACATCAAATCAAGAACGCTGTAGGGAATTGTAGTTTTCAATAGGCAAATATTAAACCTAGTTCAGCGCAGAAAATGTGGTAATTAACTACAATAACCAGGATCCGTTGCGCATATTCTTCCCGGCAGACCCACACAGACCGCAATAGAGAGGAATGTACTCAACACAGCAGTGAGAGTGATAAAGTTCGGGAGGTATAGTTCTATTACCCGATTGATAGTTGTAGCAGTCTTGAAAGTATGCCATATCTACTTTGATGAACTATTAAAATAGTGATTTCGTCAGCTCTGCAGCATGGGCAGATGTGGCAACCAGTGGCGGCTCCTGAAAAAATTCTCAGGAGGGGCAATTTTTCTGATGATTTAGGTGACCTACACACGTGCACGAGTCCGTGCACGCGATTCCAGATATCTTTACCTCTGAATAAACTGCCTTTATTATACCATATCCACCCTGTCCAAAGTCTCTACTTGGTCTCAGTTCTCCAGTAAACGTGTGATTATCAACAGTACACAACGGTAACAAACAATTGGGGGAACTCACAGGGCAGATAGTAACCACTTAAAAGGAAGCGATTCCCAAACCTTCCATAACAAAGCCATCACCTACAGAGAGATGAACTTGGAGAAGAGTCCCCTAAGTAAGCTTGTCCTGGGCCTCTGTTCACAAACACAAACAGACCCCACACAGCCCCAGGACAACAACAACAACAACAACAACAACACAATTAGACCCAACCAAATCATGAGAAAACAAAAAGAGAATTACTTGACACATTGGAAAGAACAAACAAAAAAACAGAGCAAACTAGAATGCTGTTTGGCCCTAAACAGAGAGTACACAGTGGCAGAATACCTGACCACTGTGACTGACCCAAACTTAATGAAAGCTTTGACTATGTACAGACTCAGTGACCATAGCCTTGCTATTGAGAAAGGCCGCCGTAGGCAGACCTGGCTCTCAAGAGAAGACAGGCTATGTGCACACTGCCCACAAAATGAGGTGGAAACTGAGCTGCACTTCCTAACCTCCTGCCAAATGTATGACCATATTAGAGACACATATTTCCCTCAGATTACAGCGATCCACAAAGAATTCGAAAACAAACCCAATTTTGATAAACTCTCTTATCTACTGGGTGAAAAACCACAGTGTGCCATCACAGCTGCAAGATTTGTGACCTGTTGCCACAAGAAAAGGGCAACCAGTGAAGAACAAACACCATTGTAAATACAACCCATATTTATGTTTATTTATTTTCCCATTTGTACTTTAACTATTTGCACATTGTAACAACACTGTATATATACATAATATGACATTTGAAATGTCTTTATTCTTTTGAAACTTCTGAGTGTAATGTTTACTGTTAATATTTATTGTTTATTTCACTTTTGTTTACTATCTACTTCCCTTGCTTTGGCAATGTTAACACACGTTTCCCATGCCAATAAAGCCCTTAAATTGAATTGAATTGATAGTAAGGTCGCAATGACACAGAAAGCAGTTCAATGTCGGGGTACAGAGTCGCTCTCTTACCAGGATCGCGGTCCGCTCTGACCAGGGTGAAGGTGGCCGGCTCCACTTCTCTGTCCGGGACTCATCCAGCCAAGTCTCCCAGCTGTATTGGGATTCAGCTGCCAGCAGCGTTTTCATTATTTAGTCCGTTCGTAGCGGGTATGTACACGATCAACAAGATCAGTCCAAAACCAACCACTGGAAATCCATGGTTGGCAGAATGTTTGTAAACTAAGTCTACAAATTAAAAACATAAAATAACGCCGCACTGCAGGTCGCAACAGAGACGCTTCTAGCCGCCATTGTCTTAGTTACGTTCAACGTTACGTCACGTATGACGAAAGCGCGTAAGTGCAAGCCCACAGACACCCATAGAGAATGTATTGAAAGCTTTGAAATGTGAAAAAAATAGATTTTACATGACAGGCTATGAGAGACTTCTGGGCGATTTTCAACTTGACTGAAATCGCCCCAAAAACGGGCGGGGCCATTT